CCACGGTGCTCTGCCTCGATAGGCGCATACGTGCTGTAATGGCTTGGACATGAACGTACGGGGGACGATGCTACTTTTACGACATCCAAGCTGCTCGTCTGGTCTGGTCTGGGCTGTCGAGCGGGAATTAAAGGCCCCATGTCCCAGTCGAGACGGCTCGAACCCTTCATTGGAAGCCATGCTGTGGCGTCGGGGCTCTAAAATAGGAAGCACTTTTAGCAATTATCCATTCTGCTGCGAATGGTTCGGAGACGACGCTGATTGGAAGTAGTTTGCGCACTTTGGTGCCAGGACCGTACATAGGGCCAAACTTGGCACCTCACTGACTCCCACAGAACCATGAAATGGTGAGGGGGACGGTCCGCCGCTATCTTTGTCCCTCCACCAGGTTAGTCGGACACGGAATGCTGCAGCAAACTGGCGTTGACGAGCGAGTCCGGGTGGCCTGGCTGGTTATTTTACGGGCTCTGCCATCCGCCCATCCAATCCATTCTGCTGTTTCTTCATCTTCACCGCTGCGAGACAGGGTCATTCTCCTCCTTCAGCTTCTGGCAGCTGTGGACATGCTTGTGTGCCTTAGCCTAGGCTCCCGCCGTCTTGTCCCGTGGCACTTGCGTGGTGCTACTGCGCGTTGAAGAAAGACGGCAGACATGGGGTTTCGGGCCATTCAGCGCCTCTGATTCCAGGCTTTCTTTCTTTTTCCATTTTTCCTCTTTTCTTGCCCCCTCCTCTTGGACTGGCAGGGGGGAGGAAGTCTGACGAGGGGTGAATAGACCAACCCACTCTGTCGGGTATGCCCAGGGTGCAGGACGCCAGGACTCGATATCGAGAGGCCGCGAGCATCTACATTCGGACGGCAGACGAGGAGCGGCGGTCACGGAAATGGTATGATTGCCATGAACTTTGGTCATGAGACGGACGGTCGACGATGTCGATAGGCTTGTCCGAAGCGGCTTTATGACGAATGACAGGCCTCCTCCCCCCCCTTCTGCAAAATGCCCTGGGGATGCTCTGGTGATCCACTTGTGCGAGGGCTTTGGAGGTGTGTGCCGCCCTGTAGGGAATACCCTGTATGCTCGCGATCCAATGTCATGGCGAGAAGCTCAACAGCAGAGGCACGGAGAAGCGACGCTTTTGGCCACTGAATCATTATTGAGTGTATGTACACGCACTCCATACATTAGCAGGATCATGTGTGCAGAGCATCTGCAAGCCATGCCTTGCTGCGAGCTCCAGCTTGCAGACGTTGTCGACGGAAGGCCTCTTGATCGAGAAATCGAGAACGACACTCAAGAGCCGTCATTGGCAGAGCGAGCTGCTTGCTGCAATGCACCACCCGCACTCGGGCTAAACTCAGAAGACACACATGCATAAGATTTGAAACCGGTGAAGACGCAGAGAGGCTTGCTGCTGACACTGGTCCATCGCACCCACGTGGTTGGAGCCTTCGGTAGGTCAAGCCCACAATCTTGCAGTTGAACCTGGTCGAGGATGGCAGCCCCTCTGCCCTCCATTTCGCGCTCGTTGCGATCCTATCCCGGGCTCTTGTGAGGAGAATGTGGCATTCACTCGTCGTACCATTCTACGGATGGATGGTCTGGCACTTTTCTTTGCCTGCTAATACGTTCCTCTTGACTCAAATCCACAGCCCCCGTGGCCACCAAGAGGCCTCTTACGAGTCACGAAGGACGGCATGGAAGGACAAGACGGAAAGCCAAGAGGTAAGGGAAGAAAATAAAAAAATCACAAAGAGGAATTAAAGTCTTGACCGCGAACTGCTCCATTGCGCAAAAGGAAAAACAAATCAAGTCATGCGTCCTAGCAAAAAACAGACCGGAAAAAAAAAAAAGAATAGGGTGGGAACCTTGAGCAATCCAGAAGGGCGGATACGCAAAACTGGTGTCATGACCTGCTTCTTTCGCCATGACTGGCTGCAATTTTCTCCTCCAAACGAGCGGCGATTCGAGGAGGGAGAAACTCCAACGATTGCCAGCAGAGGGTCCGTCTGGATGGTGTGCCATTGATGCGGCATGTCGAGCTGGGGGATGGGAACCATGCTCAAAGAGCCCGAGCTTCTGAGCCAGCCTAGGCCCAGCCCCCAACGTGGTTCTTCGATAACTCGGGTGGCCATCGAGAGATTGGAGTTTGATTTGATTATTACCTTGTACGAAGTACTCGTACTCCGTAATACTTTGTCGGCCATACCTCCACCTCCTAGGCGTGCGAGAACCGGCGATTCTTGGTGCGGTACAGTCCTTCTGGCAGCACAAAGGCTGCCGCTTCTTCGTCACGACGGGCAGGGATTGACCACTTGCTTGGCCCGTGAAGTCTGCTCCATAGCCACAACAAGGCAAATGAGTTGATGTTCTCGCTCCTCACTCACCATTCGCCTTCGTCATGCTCGGGCAGGGAATACGAGGATCCAGAATTGGCAGCCTACTGTACTTCGAAACAATGGGTGAAGGAGACTGCGAGGACCCGCTCATCGAGCCAAGAGAGTCGGAGAAGCCTTCTGGAAAACTCGTCAACCCACTTTGGCGGGGAGCAACAAAGCACAGCGTGAGCGGTAGAGTACCTCCCGTAGCATCGTGGGTTTCTCTATCATATGATACTACTACTACTACTACCATGCTACCACTACTAGTCCTAGGTATGCCAGCACTCCGTCCTGAGGGCAGGAGAGTCACGCAGCGGACCACCCCTCCCCTGGCTCGGGCTACCAAATCGGTGGGAGCGCCTGGGAGTGGCTGGAACTGGCCTCGAATCTAAATCATCGGGTTGAAGAATTCATGACCGATGCCGATTTGCCCGTCCTGGCGTGACTTTTGGGCTGCGAAACCCCTGCCGCGCCGCGTTATGGCGCCCTTGGTCTGACGGCTAGTAAGAACAACCAGCAGTGCTTGGAGTATGCAGTGGCAACTTCAAGCAGCGAATCTCTGGCAAACAAGAGACGATCATGGCCTGAGAGCACACCATGGACAACCAATTACACATGCCATTCGTGGCAGATGCCGGCAAGAATTCTGTCAGTTATCTTCTACATTGAGCCTGCAGTCCCCGGATCAGAGTGGGCTGCATGTGGTGGTTATGGAGCAAGTACACGTATATACGCAACTCTGTCATGTGAGATACGCAGCTCTGTCATATTCTCATAGTCCCGAGCGTCAAGGCATGACAAGAAACTGTATCCATCCTGGATCAGAGACTCCAGCAAACTCGTAACAGCAGCAGGGCATCGCATCGCCCATCGCCTCTCTCTCTTCCACGGCTTGACTCAAGCACAGCCAGGGGGGAAACAGGGCGTGTGTCGGGGAACTCCAGAGATGCGGCAGCCTACATGAATTTGAACTTCGCCGGCACCATCAACGACTCAATGGCCGCTGCTTGAAGCGGTCCGGAGAAGCTTGTGCTTTGTGGTCATGACACGATGCAGTCGTCCGTGCGGGAGTTTGGTCTGCCTCTCGAATGCAAGGAACCGGCTGAACTGCCGCATGGGCACGGCCGGCAAGGCCGCAGTAGCTTCGTTGCCTCCCGCTGAAGAATGGGGATTGGCAAGTCCTTGGTACGAATATATGATGCTCACTACTTGGACATTCGGCTCGACCATATTACGGTTGCTGCCATACGAGTTATCTTAGCTTCTTTGGCAGCATCGTCGATTCATTCAGCCCGAGAACTGGCTATGACGAAGAAACTCCATCCTCGGCCCTATGCAAATGGCGACAGCTCTGTGACAGCCTGTCGTAAAATTATCGTGGCGGAAACCCCTGTCCTCTCCAAACTCGAGCAATGAAAGCACAAAAAGAAGGGAAATTTTTCTTGACACATCCCCCCACATGGCCTCTTCCTCGAGCGTCAATCTCGAATGCGACCTCCCATCTTCTCCCCCTTGCTGATGCCCAAATCGTTTCCTCGGACCGCTCACCTCCCAGAGGGCCCTGGTACCGATTCTCATGCCGGCCACCGTCAGGTCACGGCGGGCCCGATCTGCTGGGACGCAGCATCGCGTCGTCAAGCTGAACTAACGACAGTCTCCGATGTCTCACAAGTATTAATCAAGACATGCAATATGCACGCCTTTCAATGCGAGACTCCAGTTCTCTCGTCATCAGCATCGTCATCGGCAGCTTCGCTTGCTTCCTGCTACATACAAGCAAGTGTCGGCTTTTTCCAGTTCGATATTGCCGCGGCCAGCATAAAGACGTTGCACCGCAAACTTGTGGTCCCCCCTTCCCTTGGCCCGGCCCCCCGGTTTGGAAGGGGAATGGAACATGTATGGAACAAATAGGCGCGCCCACACGATTCTGTTACTACGCCTCCCAAGGGGTGTCAGAGACAAAAACTGTGCCTGCAATGCGGCGAATCTACACCCCTCAAGCGACAGCGGACATCGCACATAGGAAAAGAAGCAACATGAGCGAGAATCGACGGCGCAAAGCCAAGGGAGGGGCCTCGTCAACCTACCTAGCTAGGGGGTGTGCTGCCCAAAAGCTACACGTAACTGCCGCCTGGCCAATCAACGGCGTCACCAATGACCTGTCTCTGGGAATTCCCAGGATGCAGGATACGGGAGCTGGAGCGAAAAAAAAAAGAAAGGAAGAAGCGACCAGGGCTGAGACTCTTTGGAGGTCAGGGTCCTGTTCGTCTTGTCCTTTTGCACGGCCAACCGACGAAGCAACGGAGCGGGCTCCGTTGGGCACAGCCTGTGAGCTTCGCCCTCCCTCCATCTCCCTCTCCATGCGTTCTTTGCCACACGTTGGGCTGTTACTGTTGATGCTTGCTCGCTCGTGTCAAGCTCTCCTTGGGGCCTTGTTGCATGAACACGCCCATGACGTGCATGAAGAAATGTCAGATGGAAACATCAAGACCCTTTTCTTTCTTATACTGTTCCAAGATGGTGGAAATCCCTCAGTAGTACGGCACGAGACAATGCCGATAGGAAGCAACTGTCATCGTCTCCTCACGCACACACACGAGACCTTTGAAGGGGCCTCGCACCGCTACTTCAATAGAAAGAGGCAGACAGAGTCCGGGCCAACAGATTCATATGTTACCCCCTGGTAGCGGCCGAGTCTTATGTCCGGCCTCCACTTGCGGCTGGCGAGCTGGTACTGGCGCCTCTGGACAATCGACAGGACGGTGTGCGGCGCATGGTGTAAGAGGGCATGTACCCAGCTCGTCTGCTGTGAGAGCTGTGAAGATTGTTGCTCTGTCCCTCCTTTGCTTGTCTCCCGAAGTCTACTGAAGGTCTTCAGGAATAGGTAGTAGTACTTGTACGTAGGAAAAAGTGCTCATGCGGAAGAGTTCCTCGGCTAAGATGGGGATGTCACCGCTCAAGCTTTAACGCATGGCATGCCACCAAGCATCCCTAGTTTGATTACCTGCGAGCCGCTTCACGCACCTTGATGGCCAGTTTCTGCGGATCGGTCTCTGTCTCGTCATGGCGGACCACCTCTCTTGCGATGTCGCATCCCCAGTTTCGCGCGGTGACGAAGACGGGACGGCGCGGACAGCGGACACGGACAGCTCTCCGCCTAGTCACTTGAGAGAGACAAGAGCTTTCTTCGACTGTCTTCTGCATTCTAGTCGGCTTACATGCGGTAAGTAGTGCTGTGTTTCCACGCGGTAAGAGGAGCCAGCTCCAAGCCACGGCCCTCGTCCGCTTCGGACCGAGACTATCTAGGTGGTGAAGACTGGAGCTTGTAATGCTACTTGTGCCGCCTTTTCACTAACCTGCTGGGACTAACACCTGCTACTATTGATGAGCTTGAGCTGCGTCAGGTGGGTTCGCCGGCTTTGGCTTGTCCCAGAATGGCGGGACTGCGGCTTCACGCTGTCTGTTGCCGAGGGCTTTTGTGTTTCAAGCCGTGAGCATCTTGGCATCATGATTGCGTACTTCAAGACGCATCAGATTCGCGCTTATTATGGCCGTCTCCCGTTGACTGTCCAGTGTGATATCTGCATAAGACATGATATATCCATGGCCGTTACCCGAGCCTGTATGTAGTCACGTCTGGGATTCGGGATCGACGGCATCGAGCCTCATGGAGCGTTTCGCACTACATGCGACAGTTCCTGCAGAGGACAAGGCCTACCTTATGCTTGCCATATCCTCGCATCCAGCGGCTCATTCGGCTCGTCAGAATGACTTTCTCGTAAAGACATGCCAGGCTGCCCATCTCGCAGCTCTTCTGCTCAGGGACTACAATAACAATAAAACAGAGATTTATCTGCTTACACAAGCTACAGTTTAACCTGACTTGGCCCGTGCCTGTTCGCCGACGGCTTTTATCTATCTTTCTGGACAGACGGATCGAGTAATTCGTGTACGGCTCTCGGGACAAGGAGGAGCCAATTTGAGAGAGTTCGTGAGGCCTGCCTATCGATGAACAGACCACGTAGGAATCTCGCAACGGCGTCGCCTAGGTAGGTCAATGCTTACTGGATGACATGAAGCATGGCCTACCTGTGAAGTTACAAGACAGCCGTTTGACGCTCTGTAGGAGTGCATATTTTTCATATAGCATCCTTATGCCCCGGCGAGTCATACCCAGTGACAGACAGCAGAGCCAGCGCTATCTTAAAACGCGGGGGATCGAACATGAACATCAAACGTCGCTTGTGTTAGCAGAGTTTAGAAACAGCAAAAGAGATGCCAGAAACAGCCGTCGGTGGCTCTCCAAGCGCATCATTTCCGCTTCGACGTGGCGGTAAAGAAAAGGGACGGAGATATACAGTAGGCGAGCGAGGACCCCGGTAGATGCAGCTTGACGTGTGCATGCACGACTAATGTACTTACCTTACCTTTTACTTACACATGCACTCCATACTGCAGTGGTCGCTGGCTGAGTATTCGTATATGTACGAAGTGTATTGGTGGCTATGGTTCAGAGCATCATGCACGTGTAGATGCGTCCTGCATGCAGCCTTGACTTTTGCTAGAGGACGTGCCGGGCGAGAACGGTGAGCTTACGGAGGCTTAGCTTTCTTCTACTGGTTGGTTCGCGTTTGTTCGAGGCAGGAGGGTGTGGTGAGAAGGGCGGAGGACGTTGGTGTTTCGAGGGACTTCTTCAACCATTGTCTAGACTCTGTGGAGGACTGGGCCAAAACTTACAATACTTGTCAGCCGGAAGCGTATCCCATACTACTCTGATATGCATCTTGCAGCAGCAGCAGCAGCGACGACAACAGCCGTCGGGATGGCGCATGCGCCTCTGCGCTACTACCCGGACGAAACGGACACGAAGCTCGAGGACGCGAGAGCGAGAGCGATGATGACGATGCATGAGCTCTGGAGCATCTGACATCTTGGCAGTTGGGCGATACCACTGCCATCGTTCCGCAGCTTCCGTGCGAGCCAGTCCAACGAATAGACGTCGTCTGGCATATGCTTCTGCTTGACCACTTTGAGCTTCTCGGCGCACACATGGTCGTCTTTGAGGCGACGACCTCGGACTACTACCGATCGCACCAGCTGCCCAGTCGCCGCTTTCTCTCGATGTTTACTAGATCCAATCCATCTCGACGACGGTCTTAATGGATATCCTTCGCATCCCGGAAGCGCTCGAATACATTGGAAGGTCTTCGACAATTCTGCCTCGACGATAATGACAATGGCAATTTCGCGAGAGATCTCGCCGAACAGGAACTCACGGATCCCCAACCAAGACAGCCAAGATTTGTAATTGCTGCTAACCGTATATATTTCTTGGCAGTTCTCATGATGCTCTTGTTACTCGGGATGGTGATGGTACTGGCGAATTATGGAAGGCATGTTATCCCGGTTTGCAACCAACAAAAAGGCAACAGACTCTCATGCATCGTCGTGCCTAGTGAGAATAACTTAGTGATTCCGTCGTCTTTAAGAGGCTGTTCTGCAGACATGTCTATGAAGAAAGATTTGTCACCTATCATTTGGCCTCAATCATTGTTGGACACCGCATTGCCAGATAGTCATTCAAGAAGGCGCCGTGGGCGGAATGTGCGTGAAATGACTGCTTTAACTTGTGAAGCGGAGGGTAGTATTGTAGAGATGCTTTCATGTTTCTTCTTCTCGCTGCTTTCTGCACCAGGATATTGAAGGGTCGTGGTGTAGTTCACGATCCGCAATGGCAGTACTCCTCGCCGTAATTCAGTATACGTAGCCTTGGCATCCGTGAGAGAAGGCTATGTTCTTGCCTGCTAAACAGTGTGATTTAGACTCATATGAGAGCCTATTTACATGATTAACTGTTGATGAGTCCATACTACTTCTACTTGTCACGAAGTCGCCAAATCTCACGGTCGGGCTAGGCACATACCGTTCGATTGGTAACCTCTACTCTTGTTTCGAGCAGTTTTACTGCCATATAGAGATTCTATTCTATTGGACATTTCAACAAGACACTTCTCCACTGAAATTGTAACACAAGTTCTTGGCGATGTATGGTAGGGACTTCTCCAACCAGCGAAACGCGTCTTCTGAAGCAGTCTCTGACAGAACCTGAGGCCAATTACTGCCTGACCACTTAGGTTAACATTTCAGAAGTGTCAAAGAACCTTGGGGTCTCTTTCAGTGTCATGTAAAAGACCTCTCCTTCGAAGCTACGCCTTTCATGTCTATAACATCTGGGAACAATGGTGTTTGACTCCAATTAATTACCAGGTTGTACACCTCCCATCCCCATAGAGTTCATGCCTCTACGTCTATGTGAACTTCTTTTGTGTCTCACATGTTGGACTTGTTTACCATTGTGATTGTGTTTTCGTCGAGGAGCGTACTCCTAAGCTTCCTACGCAACAACTTTGCGAGCCCTTCCAAACCGCTTATATCTTTCCAAGACTAGACAATTGGTTCCTGGTGACCTTTCACTGCAGGAGTCATGAGATCTCCTTTGCTGGTAAGACACGCCACTGATCATCAAGAGAGCAACAGACAGCAGGCAGAAACTGATACAGGTTTTCAGAGGCCAGGACTCTGGACGCCTTCCTTATCCTCGATTTTTCTCTCTAGTGGAAAACATGGTCTATATTGAGGTAACTCAGACATACCGAAACTTTCCGAGTCTCAAGACTCTCAAGAGTCTCGTACTACTAGAACATGGCAGTAGCCATGTCCACAAGAGGGGGGCTGCTTCGGCATCGCAGCGATCAGCTTGCCGTTGCGCCTCGCTTAGAAGTTCCAACAAAAGACACGGACATCCAACAGCTTCTTCTGAGCTCGCACATCCTGTGACTCCATGACTGCGCCCACACAATGGCCCAGACGATGCAAGTATAGGTACGTAAGAACTCTGCATGAATGTACGCATCAGCAGTGAGAGTTATGGCTGCTCAAAATGTAACTCCCGCCATCACAATGTGCCGATTCCGTTGTATTCGAGCATGGTTGAACGTCAAAGTCATGTGTTGTTCAACTCAACTTCACGCCCTATCGGCCTACTTGATGCCTTGTGCTCGCGGAAACTTGAAGCAGCCGGGGTGGTAGTTCTGTTGGCTGTCGACAACCTGGGAATAAACCCTGGTAACCGGAGAAGACGTCGGGGCTAATGGCCAACAACAAGGAATGCCCTATGATAATATGGTAACAATGCTACATGCATGCATTCGCAGATAATATGCGAAAGACAACATGCGAACTGCTCCGATACGAGTCTTGGACTAGAGTGTCTGTCTGTCGTTCCAATCGCAAACATTACCCACCTCTTAGAGGTACAAGCAGCTTTACTGTACGCATGGTAGTCAGGCTCCCAGGCAATTGTTGGCTACGCTGCACACGCAACTCATAGTCAATCGATTGAACGGCTCGGTGCTCAGTATTGAGAGTTGCTGGATTGTAGTATTGCAGGCGGATAAAAGCAGATGGCTGAGGGACTGTTGTGGCTAATTACATACAGCCTTTTGGCGAGGAATCCATATGATGGCAAATACGTCAATATCGCCGGGGCCTGCGAGACTTTCACCCTGGCAGAAGGATCGGTGGCCGTAGACTCCATAAGGTCAATGCTTCGTTCATGCCTGTCGAGCCCATTTCCCATGCGAACGGTAACTGTCCGAGGCCTGAAGACGCCCACAAGACGATCATTCCTTGGCCACGCCCCCCCCCCCTTCTCTTTCTTCCTTCCTTGGCCAACTTGTTCTCATCACTACTGCATTGCTTTACCTCTATAAACGATTTGACAGCGCGTGTATTTGTCGACAAAGGAGAACCAATCCAGTCACGAATCACTTTGACAACATCTGGCAGCAGGACACTTGCTTGCTCGCAATTACACCCCTTCCCCTTACTATCTGTACCCCAAAGCATGGCTTTGCCAAGAGCCTCCCGGGATGAGTGTACGGACTTGGATGGTGCACTTCAGGTCATAATTTCGGTCTGCCAGACATCGGCTCTCGGCCTCCCTTGTCCTTGATCACTTCGATACCATGGAATGGATGAGCACGGCAGCGTTTCTGGGCCACCATGCCCAGTCTGGGGCACGAATGGCACTCTCCGTATGATCCTTCGGCGGTTAATGGAGTGCCCCCACAACTGGATCGTGGGAGGGTGTGAGTATGCGTATGATTGCTGCATGGTTGTGAGTTGATGTTTCCAAAAAGGCGGGAGGATGTCATCTTGTGCGCAGCCTCAGTCGTGGGAACAGTGGGCAAGACCCGCCCTCCAGGGCCCCCTCTGCCAGGCATTGAGACCGGAGTCTCTTTTTGTCTCGTTGAAGAGGCTGGCACCGACTTGCAACGTGTTTGGCGGAGATTCTTGGGTCCCGTATCCCTGCGCTCGGTGCAGCAGGTGATCATGGTACTACAATGATTGCAGCGAGCAAGTGGCCGCTGGTCAAATTTTTCTTACAGAAGCAGGTCAAAGTATCAATCTTCCGTGTGTCCGAGCGGGCTGCCGAGGCTTTAGTCCTCCAAAAGGCGCATAATGCAGTCCTTCTTCTGCTCCTCCCGGATATGGACTTGAGTCCTTTCGGTGCCTCTTCCAGAAAGACGTGGCAATCTCAGGCAGTCTCAAGGCTTATTCTCCCATCTTCCGTATGCGCTCAGCTACATAGTCATACATTCACAGCCCAAGACCACAGGCAACAAGCCAAGCCAACAAGCGATAGAGACTCGTATGCGCTCGCAGCTCGCGTTCTCTTGTCTGTCGGAAGAGGTTTCCTCTTTTAGCTACCTACTGATATATTATTGTTGGCTCAAACGAGATATACCTCGGGCTATGGACGGAATAGCTATATGTGGGCGGATCACCATACTTGTCACCTACCTATATGGACCAAACTCACATCCCTCCCCCTGTTCGCTTACCAGTTTCTTTGAGCTGTCTTGGTTTATTCGCGCACTGATAGCTGCATCTTTCATATGGCCAGTGCAAAGTTTCTGATACGCGAGTAGATATGAGGGTCATGAACTAGGAGCTTTCAATAGCCCATTGACTTTCAGTGAAGCCTTTGCGTCTATTGGAAGTTTCATACACTCTTCTGAGAGCCAACTATCCTACGGGACAGGTGGGAAAAGCCGAACTGGCAGCTGTACTGACGCGAGCGTCACTTAGTGATCGACTGCACTCGGCATCTTGATTTGGGCTCCGAGATTCTTTATGAGCTGGCTTATTCTTTTTCTCCCACTATGAACGTGTGCGGAGGAACGTGCACGAAGCCGTACGCCGGCGTCAGTGATAGCCGGCCCTTGCCTCTTCTTTGGCTTGCTTGCATCAATGAGATATCAACGGAGAGGAGTGCACTAACCTAACAGTTCCATTTCACGGTATGAATTAGGACCATTGGTTCTCGTATGACGTTTATCTCCCGTATGAACGACGTTTTGCGGCTGTCGCATGCAAGTACCCTTGGTAGGGATAAGACAGGACGGCCGTCTTTCTCAGCCCTATGCAGTGCTGCCTGTCCACGTTTCTGTTGATTGTTTCACGAATATGTAGCATCGCTGTCGCCCGGAGCAGCTTCGTCGCAACTCATATTTGGTCTGCTCCAGCCATGTTTTCCCGATAGGAGGCTAGGGGCGGCCCGTGGTGGATTCTCAATCCCCGACCTGTCTTTATGAGAAGGCCCGATAGATGCAGAAACTTGCGACTTCGCGATGCCATGGCCCTCACTGATGCCGCATCTCGGGATAATCCCAAAATTACTCCGTTCGTCGAAAGATGAGACTAATTCTCGTACTTGGTGTCCAGGCCCGGCGTAATACAATTGCCGCTCGAGTATCAAACACTCCGTGTTATTTTGTGGTCACTGGCCGACCCATCAGCGCCTCGAGGCAAGGGATAACGCATATGGGCGTCTAGGAATGCAGGTATTGGCCTTCACTCTTCCTGCCAATGGAGCCTCTTCGCTTACACACGGAAGAGTGGAATTGGAGACATTCTCTTGCTCGGCCAGGGACCCAACCCACTGAAAAATTGTCCCTGGTGATCAACAAAAATTTCATCACCGGACAGAGCAGAGAAAAGCGGATATTCCGTATCAGTGTTGTAGGTATAACCCGGTCAACTTGATTTCCATGCCCAGATGTCCTGGGGAGTGGTAAGCTTTAGTGATGTAGGTAGATGGTAAGGTAGTTGAGTCTCTTTGTACGTATTTCAATTGAAGACGGTCCCATAGCTGAAGTTGGATGGTTCAACATAGGTAACAAGCGGGCAGTTTATGAGCGGAGTCCAGGTTTTGTCCAGAACTAACAGGACTTGGGTGACTTCAGCAGCCCACCTGCATACACCTTATGTTCTTGAACGTGCTCTCAAGAACGAGTTGTCGCTACGCAATCCGAGGTTTGGAAAACTCCTGCGAGAAATTTGTCACCGTTATCTGATTATCACATGTGGTCCGCTTCACACGACTTCGTAATTCTATCGCGCATCGTAGCCGGGGAGCGCTATCTCTTCTTCATGTAATCATCAAATGTTACGTACAATAGCCTTGATGGATGTACAACCGATGGATGTACAACCAATGAAAATGCCCACGGTCTTGGATACCGCCAGAAACAAGCACTGGAAACTTGGGCCGCTTGTCGATATGTTGCGATGGAACGCACTGCCGTGGCAGTTGCACTTATCATCAAGGCATGAGGTATAGCCTACATGACCTAGAATGTGTAGATTACGTATATCAAAGAGTCTCTCAACCAGATATATGTATGGAGAAAGAGAGTTGCATACATAGGGAGCACACTTCAAGTCAGGTCTCAGTACTTGGCTGTTTCAGATGATGATAGTGTAACCCTCCGAGCAGGAGACTTGGGGCAATGACCTGCCCTGTCTCAAGATACAATATATAGGTACAGTCGTTGTTGGCACAAGTTCACGTATACCTGTCTAGTAACAAACCCTATCGTGTCAATTCCTTTGGGAACCACTCTATTGACGGCATCTTAGTTGCCAGTTTACAAGCGCATCGAATCATAATTGTCCATGTCAGAAACCTTCGCACAGACTCGGATATAATCACGAGAGTCTTGAACAATGTATAGCGTTAATGAGTTTGTTTTCTCGTCCCAACTCGGCCGAAAGTGGATGAGGTGCAACTTCTTAGTTAACCTCAATGACTGCGAGTGAGCCTTAGTGAAGCCGTCAGCTCCCTGGACCAATCGGCGATATTACCCTATAGCTGTCATATATGACTTGGCTTTTCAGTCAGATCTTAATGTGCAAAGCGTACAAAGAAGCTCAAAAGCTACAGAATAATCAAGAGCTAGTTAGCCACTCATCTAGCGCTGAGTAGCTATTGCGAATATCATCATTTTGTAGATATGTGTATGACAATATAAATACTGTCTTTGAACCATCGTAGCGGTCTTTCTCTCGATGGGCTCCAACCTTTCACCCGCGCCAGGAAGACCAAAGTCACAAATAATCTCAAAAATACCTTACTTGTGTCTATAACTGTCATGGGATTTCTCTCAGATTGGCCGTTCATTGGCTTGCTTGCTGGAATACCCCTAATCTACGAACTCCTCAAGCCTACAAGCTCTTCACTGGGTGCTGATACACGAGTGCAGCCTCGATGGAGCTCCTTACTCAACGACAAAGGCTGGTGGATGCGCGCTGCCTTGCCTATATATCTACTGCACCAATTCGAAGAACATGGCTACGATTTCCTGGGTAGGCGCTACGCGTTCCGAGCATACTTTTGCAAAAATCTGGTATGAGAAGCATCATGTACTCTTGCTCTTCTCTTCACTCATCTCTGACACATGTGAAATAGGGATTTGAAGATATCGAAGCCTGCCCGCTGACTCCTCTTGTCATTCTTTTTGTCAACGGTTCACTCGTATGGATCACTGGGCTTGCCGCGCGAGTAAACATTCAAAATGCGAGAAGTTTCTACGGATTCACGCTTATCAACGGGTTGACGCACGTTTTACCAGCAATATTCGCTGGACCAAGGTATAACCCAGGACTTGTCACTACGCTGATACTGTTCTTTCCTGGGGCATTTTTTGCTCTACGGGCACTGGGTGGTGCTAAGAGAGGCATTGCAGCTGGTGTTGTATGCCACATTGTCTTGATGGGTTCAATGAAGCTCGCTGCTAAAGGCTTGATTCCTGAAGGGGCTCTCTGTGGGGTGCAGGTTTTGGACACACTTCTGTTGCTTGCACTGTGATCTGAACAATATATCTATGAAGAAGGTTATCTAGTCCTGGCATTAGTGATCAGTTGGTATCTGCCAGAAATGGGGTACAATGAGGAATACCTTGTTGTTAGCAGGCATATTCCTATGATGAACACTTTAGGCCTTATCAATTTTGAAGCGAGTATGGGAATTGCGACGGACAATATGCCACTTCAGACCTAGGAACAATACAAGCGCATGTAGATTCACGACAATACGATGACTGCACGCTGTGCAGCAGTACAAAAGTTGACTCAAAGGCTAGGCTGTTTGAATATCAACCTGCTGTAAATGATGCCAGCTCCTGCCCCCTGATATTGGAAATTGAGGCTACAAAAGGTGGTGAGTAGCACTGGGGCAGATGGAGCCAAACAAGCGACTAGGATGGTCAAGACAACCAGCAGTCGATACTTACCTTACTGTGTATTATGTATGTTTATCTACAAAACAAGTCTGTCAACCGCTCGTCACACAGGCTACTCATTCTACATGGTTCTCCATATCATCTGAAGCCACTACCTCTAGACTATGCTGAAAGCTTGGCTTCCTTGGCGTACGGCTAACTGTCCTCAACTTCCTTGGCGTTGTCGACTGCCAGATGCATCAATAGGACATACACCAGGCTCGCTGCCATTGACTGCTGTGTTGAAGATTATTGGCCTACCTCCATACAAACAGCGGAGCTTGATTGCATGGTCATCTCGAGAGGTCGAACATCTTGATGTCTGGATTGCGGCTCAACAAGTACACTTCAAAGTCCTGATTCTTTTCCACCGAATCATGTAAGAAACACCAGCTGTAGCACAATTACCGCGACAATCTTCAAGTCCTCTGATGGTTTTGAAACGTTTTAGCCGTCTTATCAGACACACTTGCTTCTATCTAGATGTACAAAGAATACACCACCGTAACCTAGCACTTTGTCTGGGCGAAACAGTACGACAGCACATGTCAAAAGGCCAGTCTCCGCAAAAGCAGAACCACCATCAAATCCCTGACACACTCCCGGGCTAGCAGAAAAACGTGGGGTTTCGATCCAGAGGGCTTGGCAGGGGCATCGGTAATACGAACCTGCTCCGAGGGCGTGGGACAAGCTGGGATGTCATTGCAAGCCACGCAAGCCTCCAAAGTCGGGATTGACGAATCAGAGTATATGCATTCACAACGATGCATCGTCGCTGGATCGGTGCCAAGCCCTTACTCGAAATCTTCAACAATCGATGGAGGAGAATGATGGAGCTGTCCAGCCGCTGAAGGAACTAAACTTGGCATCTTCTTTTGGAAGCATCGCACCTGGTATACACTCCTGCAACTGAAGGCCATCAAAGTCAGTTTCTCAGCCTGAGATGTCTCAACCTGTGAATACGTAACAATTTGAAACAACTTCTAGGGCCCGGAAAACTGCAATGCCAAGCTACATGTAATTAACCCTTCAAGAAGAGCTAGACTGCCAGACGCTTGAAGCGAACTTGGCAAACATTCCTAGCATGAAACGCAGACGCCTGGTATAACCGAATCAATAGGCGAGCGTGGCGATGCAAGAAAGACAGCCAACAAACGACGAGAGCTCGGTCACTGAGCCACCATTTGACGACGACGAGGATGTGCTGCATACGTAACCCATATTCCCAGCTGACGTTCCATTGTCGTGGCCTTTTGAGGCTGTGAAGTTAGCTGCTTCCCTGCTGCCCATGTCATTGAGTTCGTTTTGGCCGTCTTGTAATCTCTAGTTGCTCCTTGCTTAGGATCAAGTCCCTGTTGCCATGAGACTTTCAACATTCGATGAGTGGAAGCGTGACTGGCGAGTCTCAAGTCTTTGAAACTTGACAGAGTCCTCGATGTAAACCTGCTGGCAATTCATAACATGAGAAATCGACGGGTAGTACAAGCCCAGTCCAGACACCTCCTTAAAACTTTGCCTGTCAAAGACAACCAAGCAACTTTGATGATTAAGTTATAGTCATTCATCTGTTCTTTATAATTAAGGGCAACAAATGAGCTCCCAGTCTAGGTAGGTGAGCGCGTTGAGCCGTGTAATATCATTAATCCGTTGCACCGTCCGTTGATATGTCAACAAAATACTCCTCGCCGTAAATCAGAATCCACTGTGCACAAGATGCAGCCATTATCGCAACATATATACAAAGAAAAGAAAGAGCCACCCTATATTAACCGCTGCTCCCTTCATGCCAACTTGCTCTCCTTGATGGCGTAGGTTATAGACGGGACCTTGCGAAGGAAGGTGTCGGATACCAGCAGCAGCACGTAGTTGATGAGGTATAAGCCGGCCATCAGGCCAATGGCGCCCGCGAGGAACCAGGTCCATGGTCGAGTGCCCAGCCACATGAGAGCGTGAGCATCCGCCTTGTGCCAGGTGGCGCTCTCGAGATCGGTAATGTACGGTCCCAGCTCCGGAGGATCGATGACCTGAACGGTTGGTGACGGCAACGAGGGCTGTCCTAGCAAGTAGTCCTTGACAACAAGGCTGAGGAACAGCGGCCCAGAGGACATCATGATGTTGGCATAGGGCTGGATCTCGGCCCAGAATCGAGTAATGTCGTAAAACAGAGGCAGCTTGGAGACGGCAGCGGCGTAGGCTGGGTGTCGGGCGGTGGTAATCATGAAGTCGTTGGTGACACCGGTAGGCAGCGTCGACTTGAAAAGCGCGTAGTGAGGGCCAGGGCCTTTCTCGAGCTCCTCGAAGGGAATCGTTTCGTTGCAGAAGGTGTCCATGTCGAGGTAGATGCCGCCATAGTGGTGCAGGACAAAGTAGCGGATGGCGTCGGCGCGCTGGATGGGGAAGGCATAGCCGTCCCAGTTCTCGACAAACCAGGGGTATTCGGTAGAGATGAAGTCGCGAGCCGACTCGTCGGTCCACAGCTGAAAGAGAACTGATCAGTCGTGCTGACATAGAGGGGAATGAAGATCCAGAAAGGCGCAGTGAATCATGGGGTTCATGAGTAGCGCCAAGTTGTCACTGAGACTCACCATGTACTCGAAATCAGCATAAGTCTCTCGGCAGCTTCGCTGCGACTGGGCCCATTTCTCGGGAATCGTGGTGTTGGGCGTGGTCTGGTGCAAGATTCGGGGGATTCGCGGATGGCTCACTTCGTTGTCGAAGTGCGAGGAGCCCCAGGTGGCGTTGCGAGGGATGGTGATGCGCGGGTTGAAGAGCTCATCGTTGCGGCGCAGCAGCGTGATGAGCGGCTCGAGGGTGTAGACGAGCAGACAGACGATGGACAAGTCGACGAGCAGCAGCATCAAGGCGGCAGACCTGTTGAGCCTCGGAAAGCGCAGATACTTCATGGACCATCGCTGGCACGACGAGGGCGAGTCGCGCTCCAGGCGCTCTTGACGCTCCTCGTCGTACTGACGCTCGTTGCTGCCAAACATGGTATGACGATGCTGCTGAGATGCGGTGACGGGGAGGAAAAGGGAGGAAGAAATCAGAAAAGAAACAACGTTGAGAGAGTGAAGGAGATCACCAAAACAGCAGCATGAGGACCATGGAGAGAGAGCATGGGCGACTTGTTGAGGTCCCGCAAGCGCACCAAAGGGTTTATCACTGCGCTTGAGCAAAAGGCCGCTATGGAGAGACAGAGACGCTAGAGCAACGGTCAAAGGCGAGAGAATGAAGCCAGACAGGGGCTGAAATTAGGCTTGGGCTGCTGATTGGCCGGGACGAGCAGGGAGGCGATGCGAGTTTGGGGGCCCAGGCCTGAAGGGTCTTTCAGGGACCTTGTGCTTGCTGGCTCGTCCAAGTTGGGAACATGACGGGGAAGCAGAGGAACATGAAGGCGTCGACACAGTACCATGTTGGTTGACTCTTCACGCTCACAAGTAAGGTACAGCTCTTTGCCAACCCTCGTACTCGTCCGTATCCCGTCGTACCCCCCCCCCCTGATACATGTAAGGTAAGGTAGGTTTGTACACTGCCCTCAGGAACCACGTCCAGACAGATCAGCAGCAGCGTGGCGTCTGCCTCCAACCGTCAAGCGTCCCAGGATCCAGTCGTCCAGCGATCCATGTCAGGCACGCGCAAATACTTTTCCCTCGGCGCCTATCCTATCCGAGCATAACCCTCTCAACCCCGGTCCAGCCTCCCCCCCCACAGCGGCCACAGTATCTTGGCAGCCCTACTTTCAAGCACTGGCGATTTGCGGCGTTGCCAAGGTCGCCTATACGTGTATCTCACACGCCATACTATGCTCGCAGATGCGGAGGGAGGGTATCAGATGTAAAGCTGCATACTAGTAATATCAAGTCTTACCAGATCATCCACATCATACCTACCTATAATAATATTCCGTTGTACATACATACTATCGACTCGGCCTCTCGCCAAGCCCAGATGATGTCGTCTCGAGCATGTCGTTCCCCATCTGGGTATAACACGGACAGTCCCCCAGTCGCGAGCTCTCTATGTATTTCGTCAATTTATCTGAAAAGGGCCACCGACCGACGCAGAGTGAGCGGCTTGGGGGGGCGCATTCGACGCGCGTTCGCCAGCTCCTCTCTGGCTCTTGTACCCGCGAGCCACGCACTGCGCTGGGGCGGAGCCCTCGATCAACGCTGAAGATGAAGAGCGTGGGAGCGAGTTGCAGGATTCAAGAGTCGGGACCGTTTGTGGGCTCGGCGGTGGCTCGCTTCTTCGGCTTTGCACATCCCACGGAGTACTTTGTCCTATCATACTGCAGTCATGTACTTGTTGCTCGCTTTCTCCTGGTAAACGCTGCGCCTCTTGCATACGTACTGTGTCGATTCCATCTCTCTCGCGCTCTCTTCTCTCCAAGCTTCTAGACCATCTCACCACCTCACGTAGGTATTGGACGTATTACAGAGTACCAACTCGTACAGAGGGATTAAGGTATGACCCTCTACTGCAGGACCCTTTTTTTTCTTCCCTTTCCCACCCACACCTTTGCGGCAAGCCTCGTGCGTAACCTCGCAATTAGCCTGATTCGTGTTCCCACGAGGGACTCGAGATACTAGCATCCTGTTCCCCCTGACACGGGCAACTTGTCGCGATTCGCGAGCTTCGGGCCGCCCAACATGTGACTGGCTTGAGGAAACGTTGGAAGGGGCCCTCATCGACGGTCTACTGTATTACCTACCTCGTGGACTCCCACCCTCACTGTTGCGATGCTGGCCTCAGCTTGCCCTTGAAGACAGTCCAGTTCATGCGCCGTTGCCGCCACCTTCTGGCCTCCCCGAGGCTAATGCGCGCTTTTCCTCTGCGAATGCCTCTAGAAAGCAAATTGATCCCTATTGCGGGGTCCAGCCGAGTCCATGCCGGCTAGCGTGCAGAGCCGTCCTGGGTCGAGGGCTGTTGGGTCGCGCAACCTTGGATCCATGTTCTCTCTGGCCAATAATCGCGCCACTGTCCCCTCCGCATTAAAGCCACTGTGTTTAAGCCTTTATAGGTAAGCCCGCACCGGAGAAAAAGATTGATCTCCGGAATAACATGCGGCCCGACGGCTTCATTTTACGCAAAGTTCAGTAAAGACTGCGCATATACGCAACGTAAAAAAAATCAGCTTATACTGCTCTAGGCCCTCTATAATGCACTGGAAAGCGCGTTTTAATAGATACTAAAGCCATGACTTTAATGCGTAAGGAAAAGGAGTGGTGCTGAATTGAAGGTATTTGACGTTGTATAGACCAGCGGGAGGACTAGCGGGCACTTACTTTTTTTTTTTTGGTGAGGAATTACTAAAAGGAGTTAACCACAGTGGCTTTAATGCGGAGGGGACAGTGGCGCGATTATTGGCCGTTCTCTCTGTGCAGCCGATTGGAGCAGTCCGCGGTGATGATCTCGTTGGAGGCCTGCCTGCGGTCTGTGCAGCTTCTTCAGCAAACTGGATCTTGAGAGAGTATTAATATCTCGTTCGTCACGGGTCAAGTCGTCCCAATTCCGTCTCTTGGCAGATGACGTCTGGATCGGCTGTGTATGTACAGTACAGTGTCAAGCATGGCACTCGTGTGTGTGTGATTTGTTACTCTTTTTGAGGCACAGTTGCGAGCATCCTGCGGCAGCGTCTCTCAAAGGGACCTTTGAAGCAGGCACATGCGACCTCTTGACCAGATATTCAAGATAACTGCTACTAAATCACGGATTCACGCCGGGGAGACGAGAAGCGCCGAACGGGTGTGAGGAGGTCATCTGATGGCGACATGTCCAATCTGCTGCCAGACGAAGCCAACACTATCCGAGAGGCGACGCCCAGCGGGGTTGCAGACCGTAAACATACAGTACCTCGTACCTTGTGTATGATGACCGAACCAGCACTGCCGCTCCATGCAAGGATGACTTCTCGTTTTGCTCTCGGTCCACGATGCAAGCTCGATAACTGCTGATAGTAGTATCACCAATGCAGCTTGTTGCAGGATTGTGAAATGGGGGTCTTATGTTGTGAGGCTTCACTTCCTGTCACTGCCGTACCACATACAGTACTACCTACGTGTTGCAGCATGGCATTTGCCTGTGTGTACAGTAATCGAGAGAATACATACATACATGAACCGGATTGATACGCGTGCAAAACAAGGAAACGGGGATGATAATGGCGTCACTCATCAGCGAGTCTCAACTGCTCCGTCATTTTCTGTGTGACCTCACTCTGGACTCGCTTGAGCCTGTTCCTCGTCAATCACTTCTTCGTTTATCGTCTCAGAGCGATGCTCACAATTTGTCCAGCCCCACCCGTGGCCCAGCAGCTTAGTCAGCGATGCAACGCGCCTGAAACGCGTGATTTCGCGTTGAGGGGGAGGGGCAAGTAAATTGATTCCAGTCTGGAGCATCATTTTATCGCGTGCCGCATTTCTGGGCTGCAACTCAGACATCGGGTTTCCGTACAGGCCAGCGTTTGTCTGAGTCTGGTGCAGACAATTGACTCTCGTGTTCACTGAAAATCCTGATTCTGGGCCTCAATGGCCATTTCCAAGGGCAACCTGCCGCGATACAGGTAGAATCTTTGGTTATACCATAGCAAGCCCAACTCGACTCAAGGTGCCACAAGCAAGCACAAGACAGGCTGTGATATCACATTGTCGGTACTTTTACCATGACTCAAGGCTACTCTGAATGCCAGGTACTACATGCAAAGACCATCTTCCAGATCTCAGCTGGCTGGTTGCTTGAGACACTGACCATGAACACCTCGTTAGGCTCTGCATCTTTCAGATGCCAGCAAGTGCACCAAAGAGGCCACCCATGCCAACGGCATCTTCTGCTGGTTTCACGCCAAACAGGTCTATGGCCTCTACAAGGGCTACAAACGGCGAAATGCCGAACTCGATGCCCTAGAGGCCGACCCCCCGGCTTACCTCAAGTCGTCCAAGGTGCCTCTCGCAAACCAGACCTTTGAGGACGTCGAGGACCAGGAGACTCTCAGGGAACTGCATTCACATCTCTTCAAGCGATATGTCCTCACCGGAAAGGTCATCGATGCTCGCAAGCTTCATCACACGCACTTTTACTCCCTCCACATCGACTTTGGCCACCAGGCATATCTCGACAAGCTCAGCAGTAACCGCCACACTATTCTCCGGTCCCTGGAGAGATTGGAGAGGCGAACGGCTGATGTGCTCTACCAGAAAGAGCAATGGTTTGCTTGGGTTCGTGAGGCACAAGAGGAGGAGGAGGCCAACCGTGAAAAGGAGCAGAAGAAGATCAAGCAAGAAGCCGCCTTGTTCAAGCGTCACCGCGAGAAGCTGCAGGCCAGACTCGAAAAGGCCAGGCGGGAGGAGGAGCAGAAGAGCCAGGATGCCTACCTCGAGGCTGCCTTCCGAGAGCGCATGGCAATGTCGGCAGAGGAATGGGACAACGACGAGACATGGGATCCCATCAAGGATACTGGCCACGACAAGCGCAATCAGTATATCGATCTGATTAAGCACTTTCTCTGGATGGATGTGGACGACGCCGACGAAGACCAAAACACCCCAGCTGACCCAACGCCTGCGGCTGCAGAGGCGGCCCCAGACGCTCCTGCAGAAGCTCCTGCGCCGGAAGACGGCCAAAAAACCTCCAAGAGAGGCAAGAAAAAGGCCAAGGCCAAGGCGAATGCGAATGCGGCGAAACCCAGCGATCACAGCGATCACAGCGCCTCGACAACCGACAGGGGCCAAAGCAAGCTCATGGCCATGCAAGATAGCAATCCGAAAAACCTAGCCGTCGACCAGCACGTACCCGACAAGAACAACATTGAGACAGAGCAGGAAATGAGGAAACGCCTGAGCCAAGGAGTCGACAAGAAGATGGACAACATATCCGGCTTCCAGCTCGTTGGGTCATTGGAGAACCCCTACGAGACTCATACAAGGACGGCTCCCATGACCAACGATGAGATCGAGTCGGTCATCAAGGACATCAGAGAGATCAAGCTGCTGCTCTTCTGCCGCCTCTTGCTTGCGCAAGCCTCCATGTTGCCCGCAGCCCTGCGAGCCAATAGTGTGGAAGAGTTCCTTAACGACGCCGAGCTTGTGGATTCGGACCTGCGAGACGTTTGCTTGAAGCTGGAAGACCCCTCTCTCCAAGAAATTCGAGATGCATGTGCCGACTTTGCACGTGGGGATGATGCAGAAGACGATGTTGACCAAGATTCGGAAGTCCCTGATTCTGAAGACGACGAAGACACTATGCGCGACATGATGACTGATCATAACCGCTATAGCCATCTCGACTCTGGCGAATGGCTGATGGACAAGATTGCCGACCGCCAGTATAAAGCCCTACCCAAGAGGGAGAAGACGACACGCGCCCGGCCGCAGAAGACGCGAGTGACGGTTTGTGGCAAGAGTGTGTGGAATCACGCCAGTGAAAAGGCAATGTCTCGAGACGGCTGGCTGCATTTCTCAATCATTGCCAAAGACTGCGATCTCAAACATGCCATTGAGCTCTGCCGCAACTGGGCCGAGTTCACCGACCTCAACCTCCTCACCCTGTGGCAGTACTTCCCGGCTTCGAACTGGACGTCCTGGGCCAGCAACAGGCTTATCCAGCAGCTGCAGGAGTTGCAGTTCTTCCCTTACTTTGTCGACCTTGATGCCCAACGACACACTCACCATGTCCAGGTCGGCGGGCGAGGCCGAGTGCGTCGCCAGCACGACATTTGCGAGGGCAGAAACATCATCGTTGGCCACATGAAGCGCGGCGATCCAGTCACCCGGCGCTTCCTGCAGTATGTGACAATGCGAACTGGGGAGCTGCTTGTCCTGGTGCGCGACGGTAAGACCGGCCGCGTTATAACGGCACCCCCTGACGAGCATCTGTGGACCTACCGCCGCAAGTCAGGCATCGGCAGAGCCTCCAAGAACGAATGGCAAAATGTGCTAGAAGTAGGGCCTGCCTATTTCTACATGACCGACGTCCTGCGGGAATGGCGCTTCTCATTCGATGACTACTACGACGTCTTTATTTGGAGCTTTGTGCCTGGTCAATCACCACTAGACATGTATAATGTTGTCATCTCGGTGAGTGCCCCAATTCAAAGCCTCGATAATGGTGAACTTCGTACAGCATGCTAACTGGACGGCAATAAACAGGAGCTTCGCACGGCGTGGCGCATCACACACCCACGAGAAGCATATTCGCACATGGAGCCGCTCTTACGAACCTTGACCCGAGAAAAGGATACGATGCGCACTCGCAAGATCAATCCCGGCGAAGAGGTTGAGAGTCTCTGGGATGTCGTCGCAGGCGATGCCGTGGAGTTTTGCCTATTCGACGTCAAAGATGGAAAAGTGAACTGCCGGACCACGAGGGAGCTGGCTTCTTCCCCGTATCTCTTTTACAACCAAGCAAACGTGGCAGAAGATGAGGTTCTGTTTCCGGATGAGCTGGTCTCCCCGAGGGATAAAGTGCCGTTCCGAGAAATCAGAAACGCCATCAACCGCCTGGAGGCTCCCATGCTCCCGAGTGAAGCGCGACATTTGGAAAAGGGTCTCCAGGCAATTTGCGAGGGCAATGATCCCGGTTCCGTGATGGATCGGGCAACGGATAAAGACGAGGATAGCATCTGGGCGCTTCCCACCTTATGGGAAACTGGCTTGCGGCAGGTCCTTGGAGGGACTCTTTCAGCCGAGCAGCGCAAACTCCTCAAGCAGACGGGCCTGAATACCATCAATGAGAGCCAGTTGCTGGCCGACCGCCTCGAAAATGCAGAGGGCCTGGAAATCATGGAGCGTGACAGGTCCTTTAGTAAGCCTTTCAGTTCTGACAGCTTTTGCAGGCGAAGATGCTAATCACACTTGATAGACTTTAAAGAGGCATTCCACGACGGCGACCTAGAGCCTGGAAGTAAAGAAAAGTACCTCCAGGTTCAAGAAATGATTGCCTCCATGCTCAAGACTCCTCATACTGGAGGAACCGATTGGGTGTTTTACATCGCCGAGCTCATGGGCTGGCTCAACCTTCGAGCAGACTACGACGAATACTCAGACGATCCTAGGGCACCGTGGCCCCATAGCTTCGTTGTGCAAGACATGGTTCAGGCTTTTGTGACCATGGCCATGTTCTTCCCAGAGTCAGAGATTGCCGCCAATGTGATGAAGCTTTTCGACCATGAGTGGGAGAAACTCAGAAACTCAGCCATCTTCGACCCCCGAGAACGAAGCAAGACCCTGCCTGACCGAAGAAGCCGAACAAGCTACAAGTTCCGTGACCCCAAGTTTTGGCAACCGTGGAAGGACCTTGGGAAGACCAAGCGCTACTTTGCGGATGTATATCCCATGGACTGGAGCCTTGCCGTGCGCCCGATTGTCGCCAAATGTCAGTTCCCCTTTTGCTTTTGCTACCCTCTCCAACGGCTCTATGGGCCTCAGCTAACAAATCGCAGTATATCGCGCAGGAATCATCGCCCCAGCATATCTGCAAAACGACCCGGAAATCGTCCCCGGCGTAGCCACAGCCATGACCGAGCCTCACCGTCCCGACAAACTCGACCTCTTTATCTGCTACGAGGACCCCTATAACCGATTCGCTCCACAGTTCCCACCCAACTTTGCCGGGCCGGACAAATGGCCAAAGCTGCTACCTCGTGCCGAGGCCTTTGCAAGCAAACACCAAAACGCCCGCTTCGCCCTTCTCCGGCTGTGGTCCGCGCCGCACTTTTACCCGCTCATGGTCGGCTTGCAGAACCGGCAAGGCAACAGCTTCCTTGATAGCGTCGGGCGGCCCTTTGAGTGGAAGTTTGTCAACAAGGACATGCCCGGGAGCGAGTTTAGCATTCACCTGACTGTTTCGTCGAGGCTGGATGTTCTGAAGCCGCAATTTGGAGACAGGGTGGTTAGTAGGGGAGATTTGATCCTCGTCATGGGAGAGGATGCGGTTGATTTGATGAAGTATTGTACGGCTGTGACGTTTGCTCTGCAGACGAAGCCGTGGTTGAGAGAGGTTGATCTGTGGAAGAGTTATATCAATGTTGAGTTGGGTTTGTTGCAAGAGTTGGATCCGTTTTGGTTGGATTGATCAGAATATAGCGACGATTAGCGAGTATGTATCGAATTTTTTACGAACCAACTATACATTCCCCTGCATTTCCCCTCTGTCACTGATTGAACTGGCAATGGAGTTGCCATGTGACGTTTTGTCAAGGTCAAGAAGCATCTCTTGTTCGACCTGAATACCTACTTGGTAGGAGCATCCGTCAACGGCTTCGCAGCACATACTGATCACTTAGAGGAACTATCATGATGTCCGGCTGACGATGCTTCCGGATCAACTTCCCACTCATCTTGCCTCAATATCGATCATGCAAAACCCGATACTGTTAGAGATGCTTGCCGGGTAGCGGCCTGGATGACGGGTACAAGGGATGCTGGTCACAACACAAGAATGCTACGTTCCGCTGTCGTTATATTTGTGGACATAGTTGGGTCGTTGCATTGCAATTCGATAATCTGAAGCCGTTGAATCCTGTTCTGTATTTGCGTCAGGCGATCACTGCAATATCACCTAGAGAAATAACAGGGGTGTGGCTGCATTTACTTCTGGTGCGTGACAAAATACTTGATGGACTTACTCCTGGAAAAGAAAAGGTCAGAGCGGTATCGTAAATCCCGCTGTAGATGACAGCCTACCGGAAGGATGCTTATTCGCTCTTTATGATGGTTGAGGGCATTCCGCGTCAGAAAATAGCCGCCCATCTATATGGAGCTACGACGTCCAACCAACTCATCTGCAGCGGATGTAAAAAAGAGGTGCCCGTTTAATAGGAATCATGTGGTGGTTCTATGGCTTTGGACCGACTGCTATTTCTTACCTTGCTTTCGCCCGTTGGCGGTTCGCTGGATAACACGGCCAGACAGCCGGATTTGCCTTAAGCGCTGGGATTATACGTGCAGCCAATGCGCGTCGCTGCCCATGTTTGAGAATCTGCAGCCGTGTCTGCATGGGCTTACCAACAGCATTCAGGCATGCAGTAGATACATGAGGATGAACCCCCCTGTCGGGCCTGGTGATCCTCCGCCTTCTGCCACCGAATGGAGGCTCACTGACCGGAGTTGCGGTCGACGATGATGTTCATTCTTCATACCAGCTATCTCCCGTCCCTGTGGGATTCTTGCGGGTCATACAATGCTTCTTGACTCTACAAACCATTATCTTGCATCTTCATATCTTCTCCTGCTCCTGTTCAAACTCTGCCATTATCATCATGTCACTCTTTTCTCACCGTTTCAAACGCCAGGCGGAGAACGGCACACAATCGTTGAAACCCGTGCCAGCTCAGGCGTCCATCCGGAGGAAACTGTTTGATGTCTTTTCGCGACCAAAGTCTCCCGCCCCTTCAGCGCCCGTCATTCAAGCGCCGGTCACTCCAGCGCCGGTACACAGCGGCAGTGAGAAACAAAGCAGATCTTTAGTACTACCCAAACCACCGAGCAGCAACACCAAGACAGAAGAGCCTTCAATACCTATACAAGCTTCAAACAGCAACCGGCCGAAGCCAAACGAACCTTCAGTGCTCATCACAGAAATACAGGCCGAAGCACATATAGAAAGCTCTGACGTATCAGAATCTGCCTACCACAAAGCTTGGTGTTCATTGACTGAGGAGCAAAAGCTGCTGCTAAAGGGAGATGACATCGGAGATCTATTCGATCAGCTCAGAGATGCCGATCAAAAGCATCAAGCTCAGTCGCTTCTTCGAAGAGGGCTCAAGGTTGTGAGCCCGTATCTAGATCGCCTCAGCATCACCATCGACTTCATCAGCCCCTTTGCCAGTATGAACCCGGCTGCAGGAACTGCACTTGGCCTTATCAAAGGCGTCAACTCGGTATGTTAAATTGCTCCTCAACATGTGGTAGTCATCTTTCCGTAGGTATAAAGATGCGGATTAACTTACGATGACTTACAGATATTCATTGCCATCTGCGGTGCGGCCGACAATGTGTCCAGCCAGATTGGATCGTTCTTCGAACGAATTCTAGCGATCGAGCGTTGCAGCGAGGTTGTCGACGGACATAGCCAACTGCTCGATATACACAAGGTCAGTCACGCTACTGGGACAGGAAATGGCCGCAACTAACTCTCCTAGGCATTGGTCAACGTGTACAAAGATCTCTTGCAGTTCTATCTGAAGACTATCATCATGTTCAAGAAGTCCGGGTTCGTCATACATCTCGCTCTGGATTGGCTCAAGTCAGACCTGTCCGGAATTATCGCCTCATTCACTACCCACGCGGACCTGTTGTCGAAGCTGCTCGAGTCTGAGACGTTTGCGAGCGTCCAGGAGATAAAAGACGAACAAGTGGAAGCTTTAAGTAAGCGATTGCCTTTGATACTGCGAGCATACGAGGCTGATGGGCTTCAACAGTTCGCGATACCCTCGACATCCACAGAGAAAACGAGATTGCGTACCACAATGAATTGAAGCGGCGTGCCGACGAAGCATGCAGCTGGATAGCATCCAACGACCAATTCTCCTATTGGAGATTAAACTCCCGGGACTCAAGTCTCTTGGCCTTATTCGGAGACATGGGTTGCGGCAAGACGATAACCACTGCTTATGTGGTAGACACGTTGTCACAGGGGCAGCTTGTCTGCTCTTACTACTGCAAAGACGACCAGGAAACAACAAAACTTGGGAATATATACCGCAGCCTCATCTGGCAGCTCTTGAAAAGGAAACCTGATCTGAAGACCCGCTTCTCGAGCTGGTATAAGAAGGCTGAATCGCAAAGCCAGGTGAATCCGACGCAATCCGACGACATGCTGCGCGAGTTCCTGTTCGATGCTCTTTCTTCATCCAAGCAATGCATATTCTTTGTGCTTGACGGCCTGGACGAGTGCGAGTCCTATTCTCAAAGGCAGATACTCTCCCTCTTCCGCGAGCTTTTAGAGCGCGAGGCCCGGCTCAAGGTCTTCATTTCGTCTAGATATGACGACGACGTTGAGAAGGCCTTACCATCAGGAGCCAGCAGAATTGAGCTAGGGGCAGGGTTCTCCCAAGAAAGAGACCGCATCATTGCAAACTATCTCGCGAGCCAGCTCAACATTCCGGAGCAGACTCGCGGGAAAGTGGTGGACAAACTGGCTGAGAAGGCTGACGGCTCCGCCATCTGGCTACGCATTTCTCTGGAGTACATCGGAAAGCTTCGCGTACAGAATGAAAGGGGTCTAGAAACCGCCTTGAAGCGGCTCCCGTCGTCGACAGGCCTTGCTGAACTGTACTGGAAGTTGTTCGAGAAGGTTTGTGCAGGATTGCCGGAAAACGAGGAACATCTCCGGCGGGCTCTGGAGACGCTTGCAGTGGCCCGGCGCCCCCTATCGTCCGGCGAGCTTGCTTACGCGGTATTCATCGAGACGGATGATGAAGGCCCTGCGACAATGGCAGAGCTGGAGGACAATGCGCAATCGGTGAACCTCCTTGATCTCATACGACCCTTCATCAGCACCACAACCGCAATAGATGAGAAACATGCACAGCTTCGCCTTGTCCACCAGTCTCTCAAGGAGCTCATATTGCAGGCTTCGCCATCCAGCTGGAGCTTGGTTGGGAAACCAGGGTGGAAGAACCAGACCGTCCAACGAAAGGGAGAACTCAACGGCTTCCTCCTCAAACGCTGCATCCAGTATCTCCTCTTTGATGAATGCGGGGAAATTGACCTCTACTCGGCCTTCACTGAGGGGTCCCTGGATGCCGATTTCTTCGCCATCGGAGGCATTCTCGATGACGATGAGGCTCCGCCGGAGTTGAGTCAGGAATTCGATCCCTTTGAGCTCGGGCTTGGGAGATTCTTCACCTATGCGGCCAGCGGCTGGACAACTCACTTCCATGATGCGGCGCAAGACCTCTGGCCCAATCCAACTGACTTCATCAAATTATGCAGCCACGGCTCCCAGCGCCTGGACAACTGGGTTGAGCAGTGGAAACGCCCAAGAAATTCGCGGAGGACCCAGTTGACCTTCCCCGAAGCCACAAACCATCTCGATCCTCTCGTCGTGGCGGCCAATTTTGGTCCGGTAGCGTACATGACTGACCTGCTCAAATGCAATCTCCAGAGTCCTGATTTTCTGCCCAACTCTGTCTGGGTTGCTGTCAGCAATTTGATTGACCGCAATCGTATTTCGACGGTTGAGCAGCTTTTGAAAGACAAGAGTCTTGGCTCCATTCTGTGCTGCACGTACTTCTTCTTTGAAGCCGTCCTGGGCTGGACAAAGTCCGACAGGGCGCAAGGTAACGCCGCAAAGGAATGGGAAGACATATTCGAATACCTGATCAAGGCTCTACGCGGAGACCTTCTCGAGGAAGGCAACGAGATCCTCTGTCAAGCAGCTCGCAACGGATGCCTCGTACTGGTCAGGAAGCTCTTTGAGGTGTCTGAGCATGACCCGGAGTTGAGAAGAGCAATCATAATGGGAGACCGTTTCAAGATGAGTGACTGGCGAGGAGGCCTCGCAACGCACCAGTCAATCGGCGAGGCTGCGTATGAAGGGCACGTGGAGATTGTTCGCTTTCTGTGTCAACAACCCGGGATCGAGCCTCATATACGCTACGTCAACCAGCACGGACACACTGTGTTCCATCAAGCCGCGAGAAGGGGCATCAGGGAAATCATCATGACACTCATCCAACGCTGGCCTGAAGGGGTCAACATAAGGAATAAAGTGAACGATGCCCCTCTTGGCGACTTCATCTTCCACCGCATCACTGGCGACGTCGAAGCGATCGAGACCGTCAAGGCGATGCTACGAACGGGTCAAGTTGACGCTACAGGCCTGAAGGATGATCCTGGCTATTCTCCCCTCTGTGCAGCCGTTCGAAGGGGAGAGATTGCGCTATGTAAGACGCTCATTATTGAGGGTTCGGCTGATATGTCATGCGCCGTGGGCGTTGACAGAGAGACTGGGAAGCCGTTTTTGACAAAAGATGTGAGAGTTCAGGAGACAACGGACGCACAAGAAGCGATGCTGAAGCAGCTGTGTTCTCTGCTCCCTCTTGCTGTGTCCACAGAATACTTATTCTGAGTTGTCAGCAGATTTAGTATTGATTGGTTAAAGCAACTGAAGTATCCCATAGCAGAAAGCTTTACGTGAAGGTATAACAAGTTCCGTGTAAGACAAAATATAGTTCTATGTTGATTCCATCCCGTCTTCTAACTATGTCGTAAACAATGCGAAGCGATGTCTCGTAATGATACTATCATGGCAGGTCGTGACGGACAAAGGAATCTGAGACGCTGGATTGTCGGAGACAGCCTGGTATTCGTCAATTCGTCATAGGCGAATACTGGTGATAGCCGCTTATACCTACCTAGGTACTGTGAGAGGGAGATGCAGCGCTTTCCTTAGACACTGCTACAAAGTACCATTCCAAAGAGAAGTGTGCACTTCATACGGATTGTAAAAGTTGCTGAAAAGCCAAAATGTAGGAACTCAATAGGGCTTTCCCCAAAATGATGGATTATTAGCGCCTTGCATTTGTTCTCTCTCCGAACCTTAGAGCTTCCGGAAGGGCAGGGGAGAACCGGGAGAAACCGCTGAATGAATAGAGGAGCGCGAAGAGAATCGGCGGATGTTGTGTCGTTGCAGTAATTTTGCGACTATGAGTCTTGGTCGTCTGATTTTGTTTCGGATGGAGCTTCGACCAGCGGCCGAACAGGAGCGCCTTTCTTCCTGATCACCCACGCGAAGTAGCCCAAGGAGGCGGCATTGTCTATCAGAACCTCCTTATGAAGATCCCACAAGATCTCTGAATCGTTCGGGATCAACAATGGCTCTACGAAATGGGGCTGTCTGAAAGTGATGTAGAGAAAGACTCCGTCATCCTTCAGCACTCGGTGAAGCTTGAATCTTCCGTTAGACATGGTCTGTAACGTTCTATCCTAGGAATACCTACCTCTTTCTGGTAGTTCCTCGTATCTCTTCTGACTTCGGGGCCGGGATTCCAAGGATCGCCGTCGATAAGAGAGTCCATCATGCCCTTGTCGAACGCAACGTCGATGGACTTGTCAGGTATTCCTTCCATATTAAAAGCGTCCATTTCTCGGTATTCTATGTTCTCTATCTCGTTCGCATCCTTCATTTTGCTTATTACTTCGTTCATCGTCTCAACGATATCCTTCGAGAAATCGAAGCATAGCTGTCGTTTGTAGCCCTCTTTCGCTAGCCACAGGGGAATGTCCTGCGGAGAGACCAATTAGCACTTGAATGGCAGTTATACTGGGGATTTTGGAAACACAAACACTCTCTCCGGACCCGGGATGCAGAATCATGGGGTTATCCTTGACTTGCAATCCCTCCCGGTTAAAGAGATTGCGAGCGAAAAAAGGCTTCAGCTGCTCGTAGGTGCGAAACCACTCGTGCCCCTTTTCATTGGACTTTTTGGCCGCGGCATAGTACTTGTCCCAGTACTCCCGAGTGGCAAGTTCTCTATATTCCTTCCTGGCTGTCATATTTGTGCGGCAATCCGGAATTGATATTGTAAGAAAGACTTCTTTTCTGTCAGTTCCCGCAGCCTCGATCTCTACGGAGGGAAGATCGCGGGGTCTTCGATTTTGCTCTAGCTCAGATAGCTTCACGTGATCTTACTCAGGTATAGAAGATAGAACTCTACCTTACTGTACCTTACCAGCAACGCTCCAATCTGGTTGCTTGATTGAGCCGTGCACAAGCCTTGATTAGTACGGCACCTGCCTTAGTTTGCCGTTTGCATTCCATTATACCAGGCCCTATCCCTTTGAAACCCTGAAATACAGGTGGCCTCCGCAGCTCATCCTATTGAAACTGTTACTTGGGATTAGATACCTCTAGGTCGTCATACCTTAGTAGTACCTTACCTTCATTGAATGTTCCTCGAGTCAGCTGTTGAGCTTTCATGGAGTTAAGCTTCTGCCCGTATAGCCCCGAGGTCTTCGACAACAGGTACTAACCTGAAGTAATACAACCTACCTCAAGTGAGGTTGTCTCCAACTGTTTGCCGACAATAAGCCCATACTCGGCGGGTTGATTACATCGAATAGGTAGGTTGAGCTTGTAGCCTCCGAATTTTCGCGACTTGTGTTACAGTTTGTGTCTCGACGCTCGCTACTCTCTTTGCATCTGCTTGTAAATTGTACCTGCCACCTGCCTAAGGGTTGTGCGGCCGATGTTGTTCAAACAGTTTTGCCTTTTCCTCACCCAGCCACTTCAGGATTAATGAAACCACTCTTCCCCCCCGAAATCCTTTCCCTGCAGCCTCCAATACCTCTTCTGTTATGATAACCTCCTTGCCACGCTTTTCAAGAAGCACAGAAACATTCTCCATGCCATAGATGCCATTCGATACTGCGGCTATCATAAGTTCTTCTGTAATTGCGATTTCGTTTCGCCGCTCAAGAAGCACCGCCAGCACCTTATGACCGCCAAGCGACCCCATCGCCTCTTTGATCAACTTTTCGGTAATGGTTATTTCGTTGCCTCGCCGCTCTAGGAGAATGGCAACGGCTTTTTCTCTCTGGCCATCGGTATTCGTCGCCGCAAAACTGAGTATCTCCTCCGTGACCACTATTTCGTGTCCTCGCTGATCCAGAAGCAATTCGAGCACATTTTCCTTCCTGTGACATGATTTGATGGCTGCCTTCACAACCTCCTCGGTTATTCGAATCTCGCCACCTCGCTCTTTCAGGAGAAATTTCACAACTTCATATCCATGAAGAACATTATCTCCAGCAGCGATCTTCACAATCTCCTCTGTGATGATGATCCCATCTCCCCATGTGTCCAAGATAAAGGCGAGTGCATGCTCGTCGTTATGTCTTGCTGCAGCTTTAACAATGTCTTCCGTGACGACAATCTCACCTCCTCGTTCTCTGACAAGCAATGCAAGACTATGTTCGCCATGGCTGTTTCCTGCTGCTGCTTTCACAATGTCGTGTGTGATGACGATTTCGTGTCCACGCTCTTTAAGAAGTAGTCCGAGCAACTTATGACCATTGGCGCGTCGTGCTGCAGTGATGAAGATCTCTTCAGTAATCACAATCTCCGCGCCTCGTCTCTTGAGTAGCAGTGCCATGACTTCTTCCCCATGCAATACATTTCCCGCCGCAGCCTTTGCAACTAACTCTGTTATGCGGATATGGTCCCCTTGCTGGTCAAGCAGCAATGCCACGACTTGCACATTGCACTTTTGGGCAATGCTGGCCACGGTTCGCTCCCCGATGTTGACTGCCGCATCAAGCTGCCCAATGAGCATTGTCAAAATGTCGTTGTTCTTCTTCGAATTCGAGACCGCAAAGTCTAGCATCCTTTCCGTAACTCGAATTTCATCCCTTCGCTGGCTTAAAAGGAGCTTTACGAATTTGTCGCCGTGCTCCTTGTGTGCCGCCGCAGAACAAACTGCACCTTCTGTAATGACAAGTTGGCTTCCCCTGAGATCGAAGAGTAGCTGCAGCATGTCTATGCGTGCGTGACGGGACTCCATGGCAAACTGCGCGGACCCGCTCGTGAATGCTGCTCCCAGCTGACAGAACTTGGCAACGACGTCTGTATAACCGGAGTAGATGGCCAGGTTGATCGGTGTTGCTCCACTGCTGAGTGAGGACATCATCTGTTCAAAGTTCGAATGGTGGTGGAAGGCGACGTAATCAACCAGTCCAGGTATTCCCCAGAATCCGGCAACGTGCAGAACAGACATTTCCTGTGGGATAATGTCGGGAGTCGTTGATTGAATCCTCCATAGCCACCGGTCTCGACAACGAGACTCGACCTTGAAGAACTCAATATGAGACTCTCGCACCTGGAAGCTTGATTGCGCGTTTCGTGCGTGTATAAACCAGCTGCGGATTGCATAAGCAACAAGGTCGTCATCAGGATCAATGATTTCATGGAAGTCATCGACAAGGAGATCCACACAACGACAGGCCACGTCGGCATTAGCATCGAGTGTGTTGACGAAACAGCCAGAACTAGCTCCGGTGAGAAAGTCTTTCACAGACCGATGCAGCAAAAGTATCTTGTCGTCCTGAATCTTCACCATTAGGCGACAGGAGGCAACGTGCTCGCGTGTGAACTGAAGCCTGGTCTCCATATCCGTTTCGTCTTGGTGTAATTCGCACGCTGATGAAAGCTCATCCACGCTCAGCGGCCGAAGAGCTACGACAACAAAACTCAGGATGCGTTTTATGATGTTTGGCTCAGGACTTTGCGCGAGCGCCGTATCCAAAAGCCTCTGGTAAAGAGAATGGAGACCCTTGGGCATATCTTGAAGGAGCTTCAGAGCATCTTTAGAGGGTACACTTTCCAGCTCTTTGCATGCCAATCCGATCCAAAGAAATGTGCCCTCCGCTTTATACCTGAGAAGATCTCTGATCTGATCTTTCAACTTCTGTGTGTAGTGTTTCCTCTGAGACAGCTTTGCGAGCTTCTCCTCAATGCACGTCTCTATATCTCGGGCTGCGTTGGGAAAGATAGCCAAGTCTGTGTTGAGGAATTGTCCAAGGTATTCCTGAATCTCGGAGTAGGGTCGACTAGTGACTAGGATGTGAAGATTTAGATCTCGGTTACCATCAAAGGTATCGTGAAATTGTCGCAGTAGAACCTCCTGTGACCCTCGATCGCATTCGTCGAGAGCATCAATGATGCAGTACTTATGACCCGTACTTTGATCCGCCGCAACAGTCATGAAAATTTCCCAAAGAGCGTCAAAGGACTCAAATAGCTTTGCTCCACGTTCGCGATACCTCGGCAAAAGGTAATCGAGTAGTCGTGGGTGCTGCTGAACGAGTTGAAGGAGAAGCCCTCGGACAACTGAGATGGCACTTCTTTGCGTGTCAAAGTTGGAGTCGCAGAAAAAGTATGCCAGAGTCTTCCCATCCGTCTCCGAAAAGACCTTTGGCAGTTCTTCGGTGAGAAAGATGGCCATCGTGGACTTTCCTGTGCCTGGATTGCCGTGGAGCCACAGGATGTTGTTCGGTTGGCCATCTGAGCGCACTTTCTGTGTAGAGCCCAGCCAAGCGGTGATCTCTTCTGTACCGATGATCCATTCACAGGTACCTTGAGCACGGTCTCCTTTCTTCCTTTTGAGTGCAGTCCTGTCATCCCGCGGGTCGGTCAGGAAGAGGTCGCGAAGACAGGCTTCGGCTTCCGGCTTCTGCTCCAGCACATCTAGACAACTTGTTAGTAAGAAATTGCGAATCGATCAATTGAAAACCTACATGAACGATTGGTGATAATCTCTCTTGCTATACACACAATCAGTAATGAGCTACACTGTCAGAAAGAGGGCACTCACGAGCTTGCCGACGACGAACAATATCCTTCGCGTTGGCGTACATTTCGGATATTGTTGCAGATACTGCCAGAAACGACCGATCTGTTGGGCTGCAGTACTTGTTGATCTTCAAGTGGTCGGTCTGCAGTGCATGTCTTTCGACGCCGGGAATACAGGCAGACGCTTCCGTCACGACCTTGTGCGTTTAGCATCTTCTCCGAATCCTGAAATCTGGCTACTCACCATTCCCTTGATGGCTCCCTTGATTCCGTAACGCCGCCCGTAGTCGGTTTCGTAGAGCTCACTGAAGCAAGATGCAGGAATTGAGAGCTTATTGAGCAGTCGGCAGAAGCCATGGAGCTTGTCCAGCAATATGGGCTCATCAAAGTCGAGCTCCCTTGGGATTCCGTTATGCGCGCCTGCGAAAGCCTTGAGATTCACGACGGCTTCAAGAAGAGGCTGCCACTTTGTCCCTCTAAAAGGTGTGCCCAGAAAGACGAGACCGACAGTTGCTTTGAGAATGTATTTGAACGTGTCTTCAGAATTAGCATAGAGCAAGCCCTAGCAACATGGATTAGTATGCACATTAAGTGCGAAAAGAAACCGCCGTATAATGTTACCTACATTTACAATGACATTCCCGCCCAAGCTGTGGCCGATGAGAAGAATTGGACAATTGGGTTCGTCTCTTTGCAGCGAGTGGATGCTGTGGATGAGCTCTTCTCCGCAGAGCTGTAACCGCGTCTTCGGGGCATCAGCATCCCATTTTGACTCGTAGTTGTATGCAACTATCCTCGACTTTGGCACCTTTGCAGGTAACATGTCGAGGTCTTGAAGCCAGTTGACACATTTCCCGCCGTCCTTCCATGTCCATGACCAGTCAACATTTGATCCGAGGCCGTGTACAGCAATAATGGTGCATCTGCTCGATATGTTAGACCAGTATCATCATTGATGCAATGTGTCCCCTACTCAAACTCGGCCTTGTCACCAGCACTACTGATGAGACCAGGATACAGGATCTCAAGAGGCTGCCTGGTACGTCTCTATGAACGGGTTATCATACTGTTGCTATGTATATGGCCAAAGTTTACGAACCGTATCAGGAGATCTGCTTTGCGAGTCAAAGGACCCTTGTCGCAAGACTAATAAAGGCTTTCTTCTAACATATAACCAAAGCCAAACCCCGAGGAAGCCCGTAATAACAGCTTGGATGAGTATAGACCCAATCTGCAATATGCTCATACTGCTCACCAAAAGGGTTCTCGAAGGCAGTCGACCAAGCTGGCAATGCGAGGAAGTACTACAGCAATCTCGACTGGTAGTTGCGAATATCGGATGTATGGTACATAGGAAGGCTTCATCAACAAGACGGGGCCAAGTTGCCTGATTTGAGAGGGACTGCCCTATTTAAAGGGCAGACAAGGCCAGGATGTACAGGATAACTTGTCATGATGCAGATGGTTATAGATTCTGCTGGGTAGATTGGGCACCGCCTCCAATGCGGGGATATAACGCGGAATCTTCAAGGGGATACGTCTTGTTGGGCGTGAGGCAGCCGCATAAATGGCCTCGCCGTGTCAGGGTAACATAAAGATGTTCCAGGGTCAGCGAATAGGAACATGAGGCGAACCGCTGGTTGCCGCCTTCAAAACCCACCACTGCCGCGTTGTTCTGGTCATGTTTTCATTGGTCTGTCTTGATCGGCCCCCCTGCCGTACGTTGGTGGCACGACGGCGACTTGAAAGTACGGAGTAGGTTGCTTTTCTTCGGTAGTTTCTGGATACAGTATCGTGAAGATAACTCTGGCATCAAGCAAATTGCAGAAACGTGAAAGAAGGGCGACGGAAGGTAGACGATGCCGCTCTCAATACGGTATATAGGGTGTATCTCTCGATTCGCTTCGGATACTCCACGCCCACTATTCCAGGACCCTCGGGTGGTGCGGCATGGCAATACTGAGAGGTCGATGTGCGTTTCGAAGCCTTACTATTGTAGTTGATAAGTTTGTACCGTCGCGCTCGACTTTGATGCCCAAGAATTCCGCGAATCTGTTGTCTTCTCTCCCCCGACTTGTCAAGTATGTATCATATACAGGGGCTCTGGGTGGGTGTACCCATTGTTTAAGCGCCCTACGTGGGTATGGAGATGGTATCCAGATTTTGAGTCGCGTTCTCACAGCGAAGTGCCCTCCGTTCTACTACTGGCTTAAAGTGCTGCAGAATGATTATCCAGTCTCGTTACCGAGCTCCTGGTCAGCAAGCGCGTTGATCCCGAGGTCCTGGCGGTTGTGTTCAAGGACAAGTCTAGACGAACCATCGATCGGTACGGAAGTCAACATACGCCCGACAGCTCCCGATGCATGGCTGTTGGAGTTCCTTGGCCGCAGAGCCGGAAGTTTAGGTGGGTGGTACGAGAGGGAAAAGCCTGGCCTGTTAGAAAATATACAGTTATGTAACAGCAGTCAGACATTTGGTAGTTGGAAATGCAGAGGGAGAGGTTGGGAGCAAATTATGAGATGGCATGCCGTCCACTTCCTTCAATCACACAACGGTACACTACACTGGTCCATCACCCTCTTCTGACTGAAATCTCGAGTAAGTAGCCAAGCATATTATGTTCATGGAACATATCAGGACCGTCAAGCTCGAGAAACGGCCCTCGAGAATCTGCCTCACCAATTCTCCACACAGCGCTATCGTCACCAGATACCAGACGAGTTGTGGGTTAAGCCAGAGATGTCGAAGAAACCGCGAGGAAAGCCGGATGGCAACATTATTATGCTGCCATGGGCGTCTCCATGAGTCCGAATCTTGGTCAGAGAGCAGTGCTGTCTCTTCATTGTCTTCCATATTCATGGCTCTATGGGAATCTTCCTTAGTCAAGCGTCCGGTGAATTCAGGGTAGGTCATTCTGCATACCTGGGGCCGGGCAGGAGTGCCATGTTCTGTTAAGTCCAATGTTGCTCCCCTTCTGAAGTCTTCAATATGGCATATCAATGAATTGACGACGCCTCGAAGAGACCAAGAATGAAAAGGATGAGCGACGCATATTTCCGTGGTATTGAGGGCATGACGTAGACGAAGCGAGAGAGACATTGTCATGCGTTGATCTCGATCGTCATACAACCCGTCACGTGTGATACATCCAGCTCTGCTACCCAAATCGACAGCCATTGCAGTCCGATACTCATCCTTCGTTTGAAGTTTCTTATATATAAGGCATATATTATTGGATGCCGTCGTAAAGGGGCTATTGAGAGGGTAGCTGACAATGTGAAGAGTCCATCGTCATCAATAGCTCGGGTTCTTCAGAGTTCGGCAGCGATGGACTCGAATACCAGAAGCTGAGCGACGCACAAGCAGGTATTCAACCAGAAGTAACCCGAGCGCCCAAAGCGGCTGCTATCCGGGACCGGGATCAAAGCAAGTCTTGAACACCTGCATCACCTATCTGCTTGCGATAACCCCAACGGAGACACGATTTGCCCAGCAGCGGTATTTCGAATCTGATAGATTCCGAAGCATCGACATCTATCGATTCCCAACAACATGAATTGACATAGGCGACAACTGGGTATATCAAGCGCTGAAGGCAAATATAATGGTGCATTTGGACTACACAATCCGAATACTCCTCACTTTACAATCTGACGACCACGTCGGCAAATTATCCATAAGCCGCCCATGACTCGTCAACATTCCCGCTCCGATTCTCTCATACGTCTGATTCCATTTCGATATCCTCCTCAAGATGATAAAGTACTCGTTCAAGGATAACCGGTCATCCGGCCACTTCATCTCCTTTGTACACAGCAAAAGACCAAATAGGGCCCCTGCAAATTTTCCAGGAGGCTCAATCTCATCAAACCGAAGAGTATTCTCCCAGTTGCCGTCATCAGGCTCTGTCAACGGTTCTGGAACCACCCTCATCTTCTGCCACCAGGACGACTTCTTCAGCTTCCGCAGCTTTGCTGCCGGCACTGATATCGTGTCCCCTTTGAACGCCATATTGCCACAACTTTCCCACTGGATGATGATGGATAAAGGCGCTGGATCTGCGGGATACTCAAAGAACTGAATCTCCGCCATGCTCGAGGCCCACGACCACGACGGGACGGAGACGGGGTTCTCAGCTCTTCGTGCTCGGCCTTTGACGACTCGCCACATTAGCTGCGTCTGCAATTCCTTCTCGAACATGCCGTGTCTGTACGGCGTCCCACCATCCCGCTTCTGTATTGCTGTTCTGATGCTTTCTAAAGACTGGAGCCGGTCCGCGGGATGCTTCAGCTCGGAGAGCACATGGTGCTGGATGATGTCGAACCACTTGCGATTCTTTAGATTTCTCCTTGGATTATCCTGAATCCCGTCGGGCCCTATACGAACTGTCCGGCATGACCAGACAGTGTCGGAATGAGTGAAAAAGGCAATGCGTCGCGCCATGAAATACTCCTGGGTGACCCATGCCCTTCCGGAAAACGTGCTGTCTGTCTCATCTGGATCGCTCATGTTGTTGCGATCCACGCAGTCAACATACAGCGCCGTGCCATCAGCAATCCCGTCCGCGTCGTGGTAAGGTATCCTGGTGAGAGTTGGCGATATTTGCTTGCTCGGAGTATTGAAAAGGCCCTCCTCGAAACTCCATCCCCTTGAGTCCGCAATGACGAGGGTTGCACCTTCGATCACGTCGCCTAATCTTGTTGACTCACGGAGTGTTTCCTCGGGGTCATCCTGCACAACGCAGAGCAAGTCAATCCAGAAATAGCGGAAACCAAGGCTCTTGGTTAATTCCATTGCCTGCTGCAGCGTCTTGGGAAACTTGGTCCAGGAAATACCCTGCAGATGAGTCTCAAGGCTCGCGCGGGTTGTGCATAAGGGATCCCTGAGGACTGCAGAGCGGTAGCTAAACACGACGTAGTGGCCTCGAGAGCCCTCTGTATTGATCAGACGAACGGATTCATCATCCTTCTCAATGCCAGAACTCTGTGGCCTGAGATCGAGGACGCGTGTTGGGAGGATCGGCTCTTTCTCTCTCTCAAATGGAGGGCCTGCGACTGTCTCGAGGCATTTTGGATGGTTCTCCCGGCATGTGGCGAGTTGGTGCCGCAGACGAGCAAGTATCTGCGGACTCCCGGTATAGGGAACTGGGACTCTGCCAACTATGCGCTGGAAAGTATGAGGGCTCTCTACATGACTGACAATGTTAAAATGCCGTTATGCATCCAAGGGTGACCAACATTCTGTGTATCTCAAATCAACCGTACCGTCATCAGTATAGAATCGCAGCGTGCAAGGGACATATCCATCGCGCGGAGTAGCATGCGGATGGTCGTCAACAGGTATCCAGATCAGCATCCCCATCAGCGGGAATTGGTCCTCCACCGGGTTCGAGGTCATTGGCGTAGCCGTCCCATACGTCCACCACGGGCTGAGGAAGATTGGTCTCTCAGCAATGCCCTGAAGGGTTCGATACTGCATTGTGAATGCGTTTGCGATGAGCCAGCACATGGCACATGATCTGACTCTCTTGGTGAGGTCCAATGCATTCTCAAAAAGGCGCATGCCATACTTGGACGTTATCGGCATGACATTCTCTAGCTCCATCTCCCTCCAGAATCTCGGGGGAGAAGCGAGCTCGGCAGTCAGTGAAGGAATTGAGATGCGGCGACAGGCGTCGCAGAGGTTGTCTTTCGACGGGTAGAGTATCTTCTTGAAGACTGGGTTCGAGCCTCCATCTTCGGGCAGCTGGTCCATGGACATCGAGAAGTATGCTCAGTGTGGGTGCTGTGATCTGGTTTTGCGTCAATAAGATGGTCGTCGTTGAAATCATATCGTGAGTCTTTTCGAAAATCTGAATGTCATGGCCATGTCCGGGGGTTGCGTATCATTTCAAATTGTCAATGCTTCAATCGTCGATGCTGGACAGGGGGTAAGGTGCACCCCCCCCCCCCGGCCAGGGATGTGTTTAGAAGCGTGATCAGTATCTTCAGTACAGAACTCCTGCTCTGTAGCTGTAGCCTACTGTCATAGAAGTTGAGGCAGAGCAACGAGGAAAATCGCGGCGCTGGTTTGGCGAGAGAAGAAGCGCCGATACAACGGAATAGTGATGCGTACCTAAGGCTCTAGTAGGCCCATAAGGGGGAGGGGAACAGGTGGCCGGCTCTGACCCGTTCAAGTCAGCCGAACGGCACCGGGAAAATAACCTGAAGCTTACCTTACTGTATTTAGGTGCAGTGGAATTTTCTAGTGGGATCAGAGCAACGAAGCTCTTGGAAGAGAGCATCCATGAAATGACAGGGTCTGGGAATTTCCCCGAAAAGTCCTCAAGCAAGCACCATATAGCTACAGTAAACCTGTTGAATTCCGCACATCAGACACAGAAATGCTTCCTAAAACATATGAATCTTCTTCGCCGAGTGAAACATTGTCGGCAAAAAGTCCCTCCCCTCATTTAGATTCTCAATCGCTTGCCTCAGGACCGGCGGCGTATTCTTCAACACGGTAGCACTTAAATGCTTGTCGAAATGCTTGGCCTTGGTCTCCGCAACCTTTTCTATAAACGGTAGAATATCCCAAAAGTGCGACTTCTCGTCGTCATCGCCGGCGTCTCTTGCCGTGGATGCGGTGACTGTAGTGGAACTGCGGATAGATGGCGGTCGCGAAGTTGGCCTGGCGTCTTGATCTCCGATATTGGATACCGAGTCTTCGGGCCGGAGTTCTTGGTTGGGCAACATGTCTGGAGTCTCGTAGCTTGAAGCAGTGAATTGCGATTGAGGATCAAAGGGGGCAGACCACATGTCGTCCTGCACTACGCTGAGTGCAGAATCCTGGGAGTGAAACTCCGAGTTTGGCGGCATCATCTGCGGCATCTCGCTTCTCTCTCGAGGGTACTCGTCCACATAATCGTACTCGTTCTGTGCGTGATCGACGTGGCTGTCGTTGGTTTCAGTCCTGTCCGCTAAGCTTTCCCGACTCTCCCCAGGGTCATATTCCTCCTCGTCCCTCTCCTCCACCGTCTTGAGATCGCGCAGTATGCGGCCAACGAGTTTCCTCCTCTTGAGCTTACGCTCTTTGGACTTGAGGAGCATTGTCAGAATCTTGCACATCTCCTCCTTCTTCCGGTTCATATACGTATTCCACGCATTGACCAGACCATCTTCGGGGGTGCAACTGTCGAATTTTATCTCACTTGTCGGAATGCGATAACCGTAGAATGGATGCGTCGAGCCCAGTTCAAGATGGCAGAGGAACCAATTGGCATTGGACACACCTGAGCACCTCGCGAGCACCCATTCCCCTGCTACCAGTCGCAAGTCGTCCTCCTGGATAAACTTAATCATGCCGCTGATGGTCCTCTTTTCGTCCAGATCATGGCCCTGTTGGTTCTCCGGCACTTCTTTCTCTGCTTCTGCATTGTTATCAGGGTCGTCCAGAGTCGTCGACTCCAGCATCTCGCTCTCTAGGTCGTCGTCATCCTCCTCTTTCCCTTTCTTCTTCTTCTTCTTCTTGTCCCTTTTCATCTTATCCCACAGGCCCTTGGCAGTGATTTTGTGTTCCTTCTTTTTCTCCACTTTCTTGATCTCCTCCTTTGTAGCGGTCAAGTCAATCCCGTCAATGACCTCTAATTGTTTCTTCACAAGACTGCTCTTGCACGAGAATCGGACAATGACCTGCGCGAAACCAGTGCTGATGGAGCAATATCCGGATAGTATCTGGTCTCCACTGGTGGTGTGCTCGACTTGTTGCCGAAGGCCCTCCATATCTGCCATTGTGATGATCACTCGTTGAACGTCGAAAATGCCCTCGATCCCTGCATTGGTCACGATGATCGGATGCGGTGAGGCCATGTTCGAGTAGCCAGCGCCAAGGTCTTCGACAATGGAGTTGTCTTGCTGCGGCTCCTCGACTCTGTATCGAATCCCTCGAACTTGTGGTGGCAATTGATCTGTGAGAAATTCCTCATCGAGCTTGGCTCCCTGAGTCAAGGCCATGGCCCAATTCTGTAAATATCTGGTGATGTTCTCATGTGGATTTGTAACCTCAGTCCGTGACGTGTCTTGCGAAGAGGCGGTAGATGCCTCTGTAGCAGGGCCTGCTTCAGAGAGCTGCTCGACGAATCTGCTCTTTCTACCTAAAGGAGGGCTCTGCTCCTCAATGTTCTCGTCGGGCGAGGGAATCTCAGTTGGGACTATCGCAGATACATCATCTGACGGAACAACCTCATGGTCTGTAATCGGAGAGACAGGCTCCTGTTGCTCATCGATACAATCGAGTGTATCGACCGCACGGACAGGCACTGGCTCAGGTTCCGGTTCGAGAGCGACGCGTATCGTTCCCTCCAGAGATTCATTGCTTGGGTTGTAAGCTGGCCTGCTGGAAGGATTGATGATCCATCCGATGAACTTGCTGACAATCTCAAGCTCAAGTGGCAGCGCGTCCTTTCTACTTTGGCTACTGGCCTGGCTTCCAACTATATCCAGCTTTGACTGATTGGCCGATGGAGATCTCAAGTCTTGCAGTTTGAGGTGTTGAACAATGGTAGCGATCGCTTGTATCCATTCGACTTCCTGCTTTGGAGGAGTAGTCTTCTTGAGAAAGTCGATTGTATCGCGTAACAGGGCGACGATGGCATGATATGAGCGTGTAGTTCTCACCATCTTGTCCTTTTCGACTTCTGCAAGGGAGTTTCGGTTGTGAAGCCTGCCATTTCCCGCTCTGTACGCCTCTTGCGTCGATGGATACATTGAGCGCCCTCGCGTCGGGTTCCCTGCATCATAGCCTGTCCAGTTGAAGACGGAGACGTCGTTGTGTGTAGTAATCGCCTCATCCAGGAGTCGACACAGTGCTTTTTCATAGCCTTCGGCCGAGAATGTCGGAAACCGAACGCCCAAGATGCCCATGAGCGAATATGCGCGATCGAATGGTTTCGTAGTTTTCCGCTGGCACGCCAGGGCCATGACTTCTTGAGTGGTGAATCCGTATCTCTTCGTTCCCGCTATCCACGCGTCCAGAGAGGTGATGTTTGCAAATTGAGCGATGAAACTTCGATCCTCTCGTATCAGAGGCTTGACTTCCCCTACCAGAACATGCAATATGTGGGCGAGGATGTTGGAAAAGGCTTCCTCTTTCTCTTCAGTGCGTTCGAAGCCGTCGACGGAATAACGATGCTTAACTTCAGGGAAGGACTCAAGCAGCTCTTGGAACAGCTTTTTTCTCATCTCAAGCTTCACTCTTTTCTCCGCTTTCCTTTTCAGTTTTGACAAAGCCTTCACTTCAGCATCAGTTGGTTTGTTGTTGCTCTCTTCCCTCCTCTTTTTCTGAACAACGATTGGGAACCGCGTCTCATCGTAACATTCAATCAGTCCCACAGCCGCAAAGTAAATGGCCTGAGCCATTTCAGATCTAGCGGTCTCACGGGAGAGGTCCTTGGGAAAACAAAAGCCCACCAGCTCCAGAGCCTTAATGAGAGACAGCGCACGCAATACCCTATCCTCAGCATCCGCACCACTCTGAGGGAAAGGGTGCTCAGGAACCTGGAAAAGCTTCTGCTTTCCATTCTTCTCTTCGCTTGCCGTCTTCTGAGGAAATCGACTTGCCAAAGACGGGTCCCAAAGAACCGACATCTCGCGCAGCAAGTCGGCTCGCAGGTCTTGTTCTTCCTTGGTATCGCTTTTGGTTGGTTCCGGCTTGATAACGTGGAACATCGTGTCCACTATGTTCCATGGCATAGCAATAGACGTTAGGAGCCGGTTGCTCAGCGATTGTGTGTCGTCTTCAACTTCCGCCTCATCTGGCTCCGATTCCCTCTGTATCCTAGGGTATACAACCTTCGTCGCATCGCTTGGAGCCACCGCCCCCGAATTGAGCAGCGCGGTCATCAGAATTTCGGGCCGCCAGGTATGTTGACCAGGCTTGGCGTCGAGTGCCTCGGTGTATAGATCGATATACGGTATGAGGTGGTATAGTCGTCCTAGACTCTCCACAGGTCGAGGCAGCAACTTCCAGTCGGCGTTGACAAAGTAAGTCATTCGGCTCATCACCAGCTCTTGCAGCGTCCACCCCCTTGTAGACCACTCAACTTCCGAGCCATTGCCAATGTCTCGATAATTTTGGATGCGATCTTGTTCCTGATCTGGAAGCGAGACCAGCTTGTGATGATCGCCATCTGTTTGTAGGTATTCGTTCCAATGGACCTCTGCGTCAGATCCTTTTGGCGACTTGTCTATGCCAGTGTCCAGGTGAACCAGGGTGAATGAGGACTGTGCATACCAGTCTCCCATGAGCGACATGGTTTCAGAGTGTTCATTGTGGTTGCTCTTGTCGATACAGCAGGTATCAAGCCACAGGTAGCACTTCTGTTGCTTCTGGCCCGCCATCAGACCACCATCAAAGATTTGCTCAGCCTTCAATATCAACTGCTCTATCTTGATGGCAGATCTCCACAGTCGTAAGCAACGAATCATTTCCTCCACCGCCTCTCGAAGATCGCGGCTGAGCGCATCAAACTTCAGGTCCTCCGCCTCTCTGTCTCTCTCCCACTCTGCGTCAAAAAGCCTCTCGTAGGCCGCCTTGACGGCTTTCTTGTGTTCATTGTTGTTGCTTCTTACAAACACATAGCTATCAGCTTCCACGAGGGATGTTGTTGTGGTTCTTTCAGCTCCACCACTCTTTGCCTTTTTGTTGAGATCTCGGTATGCCTTGCTCTCCATATCTGAGACTTTCTGGTCGCGCAAGATCTTCTCTAGATCAGCCTTGGCTTCTGTAATCTCGGCATGGACCTTTTTGCTTTGGTGATGCATCTTTAGGAGAGAGGCGACATAGCAGCCTTGCTCGGCAAGCTTCTCATCGAGTCTGCTCTTCACTGCGCAGCCGTTGACGTTTTTCCTTTGCTGCGTTACCTTTTCCTTGCAGTACTTGAGAATCACTTCGACATCAGTCCGCTCCGGCTTGTACCACACTGGATACGACTGGGACACATCGTCTCTGGCTGCTCGAAGCAGATCAAGATCGACTTCTGGGTCCTTGCACCGATGCGATACCATACAGTACGGCGCTGTTGGATCAATGTCATCAACCAACATGCGGTCGGTGATATCAAACATCCGGTAAGGCCTCAGCCCGTCAGAGCGAGTCTTTGCTAAGAAACCGACATCTTGGATCCTGGTGAGGCTTTTGCCCGGTTCGCGGGTAATTTCTGTTCTGAGCTGGGGGACAAGCCACGATGTGACGATGCTTCTCAACATTTCCTCGTGGAATCCCATCGTCTTCAGCATCTTCTTGGCTACCAGGACTCGCTTTGAAGCGTCCTCTGTTTCGAACTGGTCCGCCATGATAGCGTTGCGTGTGGAGGACAACCCTCCGCTTCTGCAGACAAAGAATCAATTGGCGTCAGGGTTCCATGGTAGAGGAATCGCAGGGCTGGGAACAATCAACAAGACGCCAGATGGGTGAAGATATGGAAACCCGATAGATCTATATCTCATCAAGTTACATGGCTATTCGTACTAATCATCGCATGAACAGCCATGGATACGCGCAGTATAAGCGAACCGAGTCGCGACATGTTTCCAGCCATAACAATCACAACAATGGGACGATACTGCAGTGGTGCAGGCCGCCTGTCCTTCCGGCTCCTCCTCTTCAGCTTTGATCCTTGCTAGGCTTCGGCATATGCAAGTAGACTCAAGAGTGGCCACTTTATTGGCCACTAGACGGCGCAGACATGCCATTAAGCATCTCAAATTAGACAGTAATCTCCATAACTTGATGCAATTGGAGTTTCATGCCCCGTAACTAATGCATCAATGCCCAAATATGCGTGACGTGGTCTGAAGCTGATAGAAACAGGATGAATCCAAGGCTGGTTGGCCGGTCTGATGTGATATGCAACGATGAGACGCGATTCGCAGAGAGCAAGCCAATCGATGTGAGACGATGCATCTGTCACACACAGTATGTTGTTGTTGGAACGTCGAGAATGCGACATTGCTCAGACAGCTTGAGTCTGAATTGCTCTTGAAAGACATGCGAGATTTCTGTCTGCAAATGATCAATTGCCCCTTGAGGTTCCCTACGATCTAACAGAGACCTTTACAATGGCATCATATCACCGCGTTCTGCGCACATTTGGCCGTACAATCGAAGACAACATCTTGGAATGCAACTAGTCCGTGCTTGAAGCCTTTTCTTTCTCTTCAGAAGCCGATCTGTAACTGACTCACGATTAGTGACATCCACCCATGGGATGTTCTCGTCAATAATGAACGATGGCCCGGCAAGATCCGACTCGTGGGCTACATTGACGTATTCTTCCTAATGTGCTATTCCGGCGAGTCTCGGTTCGAGCACGGCATCATCATCTACAGTGAGTAAACACAAACCGCTCGAATTGCCAAACACTAATTTTGCGAATGCATCACTTGAAGAGGACGATGAAGCAATCCGGCAGCTGTTAAAAAAGGCCGGCTTGAGACCCGAAGACAAATCGATCCAGCTCGAATGCATCAACAAAGAAGATAAAGAAGGTGATGAGAGTCCCACGTCTTGATCTTGAAGTGTCTAGCTAACTTATCTTCTCAACTACCATCTAAGCTTTGCGCAAATACTATTCTTTAAACACGGAATCTGTCGGCAACAAGCACACAATCGTCAGCCTTGGCCACCCCATAGGCCTCTCCAACAAGTGCACAAAGTCCAAGCTGAAAAAGTATACAATCGTTTTACACAAGGGCCATACTCCAGCTATGCAAAGTAAGAGAAGACTTTACAAAGACGCCTCGTATAGTGCTGACATGACTATGCCGCAATAGAAGAGATTCAGCGCGGCGTCATGCAACATGGCGTCGTAAGACTGCTCAGTGATGCCCTCAAGCTTGGTATTGTTTCAACCGCCGAAATCATCAACAAGATCAAGGAAACCGTCCTCAGCGGATCCAGTTTGGATGCTGTCACGACCAAGTCTATGAATGCTCTGGCGACTTCAAGGTCGTCGGGTGATAAGGCTTAAATTGTGGGAAATGCTCGTCTGTAAGCGTCCCCAGACACAAGGTATCTACTGTTTTATGACTGCACAGGGAATTGTTGATGCTTTCAAGCCATGAGAAATACAACACTTTTTAACATAAGTCTCAATACCTCATGGTTGGGATGAGTCTGCCAGTAGGCCTGATGCTGTCAATGCCTCATGAAGCGCTTTCTCATACAAGTACAATATCCTCCAGGTCCTCCATATCTCCATCCCAACCGGGCCATTGCTCGCCCTTGAGAGCACCGCTCACCCAGCACGGAGCTACCAGAGTATATCCACCAGAATGCTCAAGGCTTTTGCGAACAACGTACGGCAACTTCTCGCCCGTGAATAACGCAACCTCGTCTTCCGGGCGTATCACCAACGTTGACATCCCAACTCTTCCGCTTTCCGTCATGAAAAGTGACCTGCCGCTAACAAGCTGCAAGAAGTTGACAGTAATCTTGCGAGAATCGCAGACTTGACCCCCGTTTAATCCATAATCCCATAGTTTCTCCATGCCAATGTTGTCCTCTTCCCATATCAAGTGAAACCAAGAAATAATCTCTTCGGCTTCCATTTTGATCATGTCCGATATGAGGGAGGCAAGCTGGAGTATCTGAGGGTCATGGCAACTAGCTGCCCCTGTTGTGCGTATCCATTTCCGCAACACTGCAAAGGCTTCCTTTGCGATATCGAGATCAAGAACGCGGGACCACGGCACCGGGAGAGGCGCCACAACTGGGAAGCGATCACTGACAGCCGATGTAACTCTTTCAACCCGTCGTCCTTTCAATATGAGCACCGTATCGTCTTCCCCCTCTATCACCACAGCGTCCTGGGAGATTGTGGCTGGCGAGAAGCCACAGAGCCATTCTGGCAGATCGACAAGTGCAGACCAGGAGGGCACCCATGAAGGGAAACCATGCTCTCGACCAGCTTGGCCAGCATATCTGAAGAACTCAACCGTTTGAGTTTCATCGAGAATTATACGGGCGGCTTCGGTGTAAACCTCGCCATCTGATCGTGAGTAGTCTACCGTCAACTCGCCCAAAGTATCAGGAAACATTGCTTGTATGGCAAACAGCTTATCCTTGGCTATCGTCGCCTTTGTCTTACACAGCACCTCGAAGATTGGGCTTCCAAACTCCGCCTCGCCGTTGGTGTGGAAAGCGTCCAGAAGATGTAGACCATAGCGCTGGTTCAATTTGCTGTTGTTCAGTGAGCTGAAGACGTAGATGGGCGGAACCATGTTATGGCTCTGGCAAAATAAATCCAGGCGAAGCGGAGCAGATGAACCGCACAGGATGAAGCAAGACGGGTTGGCGTTGGCTTCCTGGACTGTCCAGGCTCTCTCCCAGTATTCGAGGGAAGCCAATTCGGCCAAACCGGCTCGAAACTGTTCTTTACGGCCTGATATAATGTCAATGATTTTTTTTTTTGAAGAGGCGGGGATTTTAAGGCATGCGCACTTTTGCATACGGGCAACAGGCCAAAAGGCAACAGTATCAGCGCCCCAACAGCCATCATCATACACGCGCAGATACACGACATCGAAACAGCCGCGATGCCTAAGAGGAGCCTTATGAAGATGCTGTCCGCAGACCTGATGGCCGATGCAAACTTCGACTGCAGCTTCCAAGCAGCAGCAAAGGACCAGCTGTACCACCTCAGCCACTGGAGAGCAAGAGCAGTTGCGTCGGTGCCCTGGCCAAGCCATATGTTGACGCGCTCTGCGTTGGCGTAGACTTCAAACATCAGCTGTACCTGCACCGACTTTTCGGCGTCATCCTTCTGATTGATGCAAATAGCATCTATCCAGAGGTTCCTGGAGTCATCAGGCCTGCTTGGGCGAAGTCTTCGCATAACATCTTCTGCATTTTTCGTGACGTGATATTCTTGGCCATTGGCGTAGACCGGGCGATCGAGTGCTTGTCCAGACCACGTATATGAGATTGCCTCGTACGGCAGAGGCTCGTCGAGCGAGGTGGTGATGAGGTCGAACCGGATCTCGTCACTGATGTTCGCAGCGCCATGAAGCTTGATGACGCGGATGCTGCGCGAGTCAGGAAGCTTGGGGTGAGTCCCTTGGCCAGCCATTTGATGCTAGGTTCATTCATCACGGGGAAGATTGTCGAGCTGCGTTGCGGTGAGTCCAATTGAGTGGACACATAGCTGGGGAAAGCTGCATCTTAGCTTGACGTTACTAGTCCTTGTTCAGAGCCAAGCTTGGCAAGGCAGACTGGGTTGCTCGGCGATCGTGAGGCCTCAGTTCTGCTCACCAACTGAACCAGAATCGGGGATATCAGGCAATATCCGCCATTGACACGTTCCTGAAGCTGCAGGCGGCACAAGCTGGAGACGCCATTGGTGTCCACTTGGCCATTCATCCATTCACTTCTCAAGCCAACCTCATGTTATACGTCAAATTCCCCATCCCGCGTCCTCATCATGCAGAATATCTGTCGACAAGGCGGGGCAGGTGAGGGGCAGTTGGGCAGGGGCACATCGACACAGCCGCCCCCTAAACCATAGAAACGTGCTCTTCGAAGAGATATAAAGCAGCCCTCTGTATTCTCCTCCTGTTGGAGACGACCTGATCAATTATCAGTCGACCCAATCACGCTGTTTCTTATTCCTCACTAACAATTACACCACACGAACAATGTCTTTCTCAGCTTCTGCACAGAACTTCTACCTGGAGGATGGCCACATCCTTCGCGCTTCCGTTGCGGATGAGGAGGGCAACTATCAGGAGTCCTCAATTGACCTTGATCAGTTCATTGGCAACGAAGACGGCTGGTTCATGTGGGATGGTGAGAGTACGTATAGTCCTTCCCTTGCATCTTCTGCTTACACACATCTCTCGATATCCCCGTGCCCGTAGCCACACAGCCTTCATTTTGCCACCGGCGTATATTACTGCTCTCTCATCTCGATCGAATACTTGCTCATGGGATGGAATGCTGATGCTTGGCAATGCCTAGACTTCTCGCACTCTGCCAACGACATCCGGTTGGACGGCACCATTTTGACCGCCGAGCTGCCGATGCGTGACGGCGGATACCGTGAACGACAGGGTGTCAACCTGGACGACCGAATCTCCAACCAGAACGGCCGCCTGGTGGTGAGTCTACCTTGCCTATCCGCTCCTTTGCGCAGCCCATATGCAGCATCAGCACGCAGCTAACTCATATATGTCATTCAGTACAATTGATCAATAGGAGGGCATTCACAGACGGGGTAATTGGCGACGGTCCCAAAGAGCAATGGCAACGAACCAACCTACCCGGAGGCTCCTGTCCGTATAGTAAGACAGGTGTAGATCTGCATATGATCTCGACTATCTATATGGTCAATATATTACCAATGAAGTACTCGTACGCGTCCACACTCTGTGAAAAGATACAAGACATGTCTGAAGGCCACCTCAGCCAGCCGTGAAAGAAGAGCCCCCCGATCTGCCGATTACCTACGGGATCTCGACAGCTGAATATCAAATGAGACAGCTCAAGGGTGAACAGTCCAGATGACGTGAAAAGAATAATATCCGTGTCTTGACCTGGCCTACGAAATAACCTCAGCGACATTGCATATGGATGTCTCGGTCCACTATAGCGCCACATCACAGCCACCAACAGCTTGGCCCCCAACAGCTCGAGGTCGGTAGCCTGATGCAATCGATCAAGAGCTTCAGGGTCAGTCACAACTTCTTTTCCAATATATTACCTCGGCTCTTCTCGCTTTACAAACCTTAGACATACTCGTCATAAGGAGTCTTACAGCTTGTCTACCAAGATATGCAACTGTTCGGAGACTACAGATGCTATATTGGGTTCCGCGAGCTGAAAGATGGCTAACTGCGTTGTCATTCAATCACTTGACCTTTGAGCTGCTCCAGATCCTACCTGGCATGGCATCCTACACCAACTCGTCAAAAGACAATGTCTCTGGAACTTTTGAAGAACAGTAAGAGGCAAATATTTTGTCGGTGAGGAAACTATGAGCGATGATTGCCGTCTATTTGCCTCTCCGGTTCATCATGAAGAAAAGTTGTATATAATAGGGAGGCTTCAACGACTGGAGAAGATTCAAATGAGATGTTCGACACTCTCTTAAGTTCTTCATCCCAAGCCTCCAACTACAGTCAAGCCTCTCAAATCATCTGAATCACCCTTGTGGTTTCACCTTTCACTATGCCTTCACTCTTCTCTACTCTCGTCCTTGCCCTGGGCATGTTCCGGGCAGCTGTGGCTTCGGAAGACGACTTCGCAAGCATGGACATCATGCCTGGTGATTTCCGCCCCGACCTGTACCAACGAGCTGTTGATGCTGGACTCGCAGGACTCTGCACCTGTCCCAACCTGTTCATCTGCTTGGGCGACAAGTCCCAGTGCACCATGGACAACAAAGGATCCATCATCTGCTGTGCCATGGGGCAAAGGGCTTTCAACGGACAGTGCGTTGATGCGGCCGCCTCTCTCTGTGCCGACGGGATCACCGTCTGCTCAGCGAACACGCAGTGCGCCACCGACAACCTCGGAGCCACCATCTGTTGCCCTGCAGGCCAGAAGGCCGTCAATGGCCGATGCACCGTCGCGTCTACCAACCTCTGTGCTGATGGCAAGAACATGTGCGCCGGAGCCACGCCGCAGTGTACCATCAACGTCAGCGTCTCGATCAACGGCACGGATATCAGCAACACCATCTGCTGCGCAAACGGACAGAAAGCTCTTGATGGCAGATGCTACGCTGGCAATGCGCAGCTCGTGCCGTGCGGCCTGAACGGGCCATGCAACGTCGGCACTGGATATTACTGCGCAATGAGTGCTGGAGTCGCCCCCCAGTGTTGCAAGCAGGATTCGTACCTCAAGGGCGCCGCTTGTGTCAAGAAGCCATAAATCAGTTCTCTCGGGGGGGCTGGTCTGGGCCAGATAACGAGGAATTCTTGGTTCATGTTGTCGTGATGGTAATAATCTCAGATTGGGGACCGCTATAGAAGGATATCGAATTATCAATTGTATGATTCATCATGTGTTGAGTGCCATCTGTGCAGTCTAGAATGATCAGATCTCAAGAATGTCATAGATGTAATCCTACAGGTATTAAAGGCAACACGAGATATACTTCTCTCGGGATATGGTGCGATAGGCTTAATCCTGCAGCTGCTTTTCGGTAGTCATTTGGATCAAACGTCCCGTGTAGTAGAGCGCAGAACTTCCAAGAGACCCTTCGGAGCATCGGGAGCAAACAACAGTCATCCGCTGCCAATGCTCCGATCAATCAAGTCCTGTCCCCTCACAAACATTGCCAAATTTCCTTTTCGTAGGCCGTGACGGCGGCATCCAGCTGGTCTAAGCCGCGCTCAACAATCGGGGATGCCAGAACCAGGGCGTCGTACATTGAGCCGCCTTCTCCCACGAAAGGGAGTCGACACGTAGGTAGGCGGCATCACCAATGACAGTAACTCTCGCAGCAGAGGCCCAGGAGGGCGCAGAAGAAGGCATATGATAGAGTGGCCAGGCTCTAAACGCACCCGCAGAGTTCGTGATGATGTTCTTGAGCAAAGAGCCCCAAGTACCGAAAAACTCGGCATCAGTAACGAACAAGTTGCGAGCAGCCTCTCCACCCCCTTCAGCCAAGTTCACTGGTCTATTTGTGGCAAAGTCCTTGGCAACCGTCATACGTAGTAATACCAAGATACCTAGACGCGGTAAGATCCGTCTCCCTGCCGCTGTGCCGAGACCTGTTTCTCATCCCCCATCACGATGGGATTCCCCCCGTCCAACCAGAGCGGCGAGGGTGGGGTAGAAGGGATTCGAGATGGAAACTTTGGCCTCGAGATAATGCTTGCCAGAATACTGCGGCTGTGCCCGAGTGAGCTGTCTCGGATGTTAGTAATGGTCGACGCTATAGACTCGGAATCTGCTCACCAAGTGTCTTGCCTTCTTGCCTTGCACCCAACCTGCTCCAACTGCCCCCGTGTATATCATTCCAGAATCGCGAGAATATTGCAATAGTCTCTGATCAAAGAGAAAACCCAGAAGCTACCGTCTACGGCAACGACAACGAGCTCAAAGACTCCGCGATAGTAGAATACAGCTCTCAAGAGCCGATTCTCTCTGTTGATGCTTTGTCTAGCGAGGCTGAATCTGGATCGCACACATCTAGATTGTACACCATGGCTAACCTCCAAGATCAAACTTACAGTGTACAGTCAGGTTTTGACAATACCGATATCGAGAACCTGTTGGGCCGCTTGGGTTCTGAGGGCCCTTCGCCGCGCAAGCGTAAGCGATCATGCGAGAGCACAAGAGACTGGTTTGCTTGGGACACATATTACTGCAAAGATGAATTAAAACTCTATGATTTTGTCTACTCCTTGACCAGACCATAGCAAACCGGCTTCCTGGCTGTCCCTGACCCGTTTGCGTGTCTAATAATTACAATCCCCAAACGCCTTTCACATGCATGATTGTCCCTCGCCAATGAAAGGACTCCATAGAACCCGTAAAGATGACGACTGTCACCTGAAAAGGAACATGCAATAGCACCTCAGTGCAAGCCACTCTCACCCGTCTCCGCCATGTACTTCTGACAGCTCAGCATAATGTTGAGCTGCTCGCTCACCTCATCCAGCCGACCAAGAACGGTGCGGTTGCCGTCAACAAATCCCAAGATGGAGTACTGAATGCCCGTGTCCGCACAGAATTCCTTGACCAGAGTCTGCGCCCTGCGGAAGTTGTGTCGCGGCAGCCTTGGAAACAGGTGGTGGACAGCCTGGAACTGCAGACCGCCATGGATAAAGTCCAGCCAGGCAGGGCATTCCACGTCCATCGTGGTTCGCAGTTGTCGCTGAGCAAAGGATTCGTTCTCGCCAAGGTCGGACGTTGACATGCCCCAATGCGAAAGAGTAATCTGGACATGCAGGGGCATGGTGATGATGTGAGACACCAGGACAAAGGCCACACGGATGGTCCATGTTGGCAGCGAGCGCCAGAGCAGGCAGTATCCAAAGAGGATCCAGTAGCAGGTGCAGAATGCTATCTCCGTAGGACGAATCCACCATGCCTTGGTAGATCCCAACGAGGACGATTTGCCGGACAAGAGGTGCAGCCACGAGAGAAGATAGAGGTTGAAGCGAGCAATGCCCATGACGGGGTAGTAGGTGTACTTTTGGTAGGGGACGAGGGCGTCGGCAACGGCATCCCAGACAAAAGTGAAGTCGTAGTAGCTGGATCGAAGCGATCCGAAGAAGGAAGGGCAGGTGGCGAATAGAGGGACATTCTGGATATCAGGGTCGTGCTCCTAGATTGACGATGGATGGTCAATGATTGTTCATGGTAGCACGTGGAGTGGCATCAACTTACAGGCATGTTCGTGATGAGATGGTGGACGTTGTGGCTGCTCTTCCACCAGCCAATGGACAGGCCGCAGCAGAAGTCGGCGATGAACATGCCGATGAGCGTGTCGACAACAAAGATCTGGGTAATGGCTCGATGGCCGGCATCGTGGGCCGTGAACATGATTTGATGCTGTGAGCGGTTAGCATGAAGGAGCATCATACTGCCTTGAATAGACCACTCACCCAAAAGAGTCCAAGGAAGACGGCCGAGGTCATGTACCAGCCATGGTGCAAGGCAAAGAGAAAGCTGATGAACAAGATCGAGTACCGAATCATCTCCTTGCCGTACTCGGAGTATCGGCAGCTGTAGAGGCCCTCATCGCGTATCTGCTGATGCAAGGCTCTGTATCTTTCGATGATGCCCTGCTGCACCTCGGGGTCGACAGACGGGTAATCCCGCGAGCTCTTCTCAGCACCCTCCCGCACGAACCGTTTCGTATATTCGGCTCGACTAGTTGCCGGCGAATCGGCTGATTCAGCATCAATGACGGACGAAGCGGACGATGAAGCGACTCGCTTGCGAAGGCCCTGTTCCAGACCAGGCTCAAGCAGAAGACTAGGAATGCCTGTCTCTGCCTTGTCGACGCTCTGCAGCGCAGGACTACTGCACTCAGAAAGCGACGTGGACGTGGTCGCCGAGCTCAGCTCCACCGACGATTCATTGTCTGTGTCTGAGAGGCTCTCGGGCTCTGACGAGTCCGGAATCTCCGGCTCATTGTGGATGTTGTACTTGCGGAAGATGCCTCCCCTGATCGGAGGAGTCCTGTTGACCCAGGGTCCCATTGGCTTCCGGCCGATCCGGTAGGCCGCCATCGTTCGCAGCGTGGAAACATGATGATAACTGCGGCATAAGCAAGATAAAATGTTAGCACACTATCATCGGTGTTTGTCTCAATAATGAGGCTAAATCCAGCAGACGGGGGGCCTCTGCGAGAGAGATCTCGATCCCGCGTCCCATCCCGCCCGCAATTGGTTGCGCTGGACGGCACGGCAATGCACATTTTAAGCTTAAAACACGACGGGCCGCCATCAATCACACTCTAAGGGTCTTTGCTTTCAATGCACTTTCGGACACGGCAATGGACAACGAGGACGAGGGCTCGTTGTGCGGATACAAGCCGTGAGGCTGGGATGGGAGATGATGCAAAGAGGAAACGAAAGAAAGAAAGAAAGAAAGAAGAGAAGAGAAGGGGAATATTTACGCTGAGATTTCGTCGGTCGCGTCCCGGCCAACCATGTGCTGGATCACCAGAGAGCCTCCAGGATGCTTGTCCAGCCATCCATTGAGGCGAAGCACATAATCTTGAAAGATGACGATGGAGTCGCCGTTGGCAATCATGCCTTCGACAACCCGCGGCGAGAGGACCTGATCACGGTCCATGGCTGCGACGAGAAGAGATCAAGCGAGAGCAATATCAACGAGCACACCAAGCGAGAGAGATATCGGTTGCTTGAGGAGAATCGATACCTTAGGCTTGTGTCGAGGAAGAGGCGTGTGAATTGGTCGGGACCGCGGTTAATGCATGAGGGGAGGAACGAGATAATAATGCTTGTGAAGAAGAGCAAGTGACAAACGGAAGCAGGCAGATCAAAGAAGTGACTGGACAGCCCGAAAGAGGAGGAGCGAGCTGGTGAATGACTGAATGGATGAATGGACAAAGGGCATGAACAAAGAAAGGTATGAACAGAACAGGCCACATCCACCCATTAGTACTTTCCCAGACCTCCTATTGACACGCTTCGACAAGTACACACAGGAGGCAACACATCCAAGCGGGAAGCGAAAAGACACCGAAAAGAACATTACTAGCCTTCGCCCACCCTCGCGAACGGCGTACGGCGTACGGACGCCCATGCTGGCCGTTTCATTTGCTCGGAACGCGCGTTCGTTTGGGGATATGGGGCGTCGAGCCGGTGCTTTGGCCACGAGGAAAGGAGGATAGGAGAAAGGAGGACAGGTCGGCTGCTAAGTCCACACCAGCACCAAGGAGGGCCTTTGGCCAACGCCAAATTTCCAAGCGGACAATGGGGCTTGTGCTCGAAACTGCAGCAGTCTGGTACCTATTGCCCGGCGCTTCTGTCGTGGGGGAAGATGGGAGGACGGGCTGCGTGTGCAGCTAAGCCTGGCAGAGACGTGGAGGCGCTTTGAGGTTATTCCTACGACAATCCACCGCTTCCTACCCAATTGGGGAACTGGGTACGCGGTAGCTCATTGATATTCGGTCGAATGCTTGCAAAAGAGGCGTCTCCAGACCTTGGAAGAAGAAATTGGGCAGTCTCAGCGCCTGGAACCATGCCTGCAAGCGTCATGCAGGTACCACGAGCAAACAGTTGTGCCCCCGAGTCGAGGCCCTCAGCTCCAGCTTGGCCCTCCGGGAGCGAGTGGAGCTGAATCTTGCCACAGGATCTCTCGCTCCCCGTCGATCTCGTTTGACTGCAGTGTGCACGTGTAAAAATGAGGAAAAAAAGGGCAGAGATCTGGCCGGATGGCGCCCATATGCCAGATGGCTTTCACACTAGTCAACATCTAGGTAGGTAGAGATGCTGCTGGCCGGCTGACAACAGGAGCATTTTTGCGCCCCGTGCTCACCGACTGGCGGCAGTTTTCCAGAAGCCCGTGAGAGCATGTCAAACGATTCTCAGGAGGCCTCGTCCGGGGCGGTTTCAGAAGACTCCATACTCCAGGGATGATCGTGTAAAGGACAACGATGCCTTTCAGCCATTGACAGCCGGAGCATCTCAAATAGGGGTCTAGTATTGCCAGCCAGGGTTGATCAACATGGGTCATTGTGCCACAAACTTGTAGTAATACTACTCGTATGAGAGAAAGAACAAAATATGACGGGTTGTGTGCGACTCAGCAATTGTGTGGCTGAGATAAGTACGACGCCTCCGCGTATTAACCCCTGTCCGCACGGCGCTTCTCTTAGCAACCCCATGTCTACGTACGGAGTACACGTAAATAATCAGGCTTAGAGGCACCGCCCTTGAGCGATTTACATTGTTAGGACTGCAGATGAGCATCTAGAACCGCGTTAGACGATCACTAGTCTGCTAGAAGCAAAAGCACAGGCGCACTCGCTTGAGATGCCATTGATGCTGTTGGCTCTCTCTTTGAGTCTTGTCCAACCCGCAACCAACATTCGAAGCCGTCTGTGCTCCACAGGCTTTAATCCGTGCCTTTGGGCGTAACCAAGCTTTTCAGCCACGGTAATCTTAGACAGCCAAAGGGGCCAATAGGGTCCAAACCGTTGTCCCTTTTCGATATAAAGCCCTCTACCTCCCTCCTGGCCGGCAGAAGAGAATGAATCGCAGCAAAGACTGGGCATGCTTGCGTGAGACTTGCCCGCCACTATGCTCTCTCCTTTTGCTGCGAACCCATGTGTAGCCTCATGTATTATTACGAGTATGCACGTTTCTTGAGAGAGAGCCGAGGAGCAGGGGGTTGAATCCCTGTTTGCGTATGATTCAACCAACAGCACGGCTCCCTTTCCGCGGGTTCGGTCGGTTATATTCGTGGGCATTGAAACATGCCCTGAAAGATCATGCTGCTCGTCGTGCTTTGACCACGAAATCTGTGATTTGCATCTCCTCGCACCCTTTGGACCCTGAAAATCACAGCCCATCCCCATTTCCTCCTCTCCGGCGCGCCAATGTCGGGCTCAACGAGCTTCTGGCCCAAGCAAATCATCCCGCCGACTCCTGAAAACTACAAGGAGCTGGCAAAAGATGGCGCGGAGAGGCTCGCCGCCGTCTCGCTGGCTCAGATCCCGGCGATCCCGGCCGGCGCCATCATCCACGACAACGGCTGCGGCCACGGCTCTGCCACGGCCGTGATTGTCGAGTCTGCGGCTCCTGAGGTGGCTGCGACGTACAGGATCACGGGGACGGACATTTCTGGCGGAGCCGTCGAGATCTACCGGTCCAAGGCAGAGGCGCTGGGCTGGCCTGCCGAGGGACTCGTCATGGACTCGGACTCGCTCTCGTTTCCCGACGAGACCTTTACTCACTCCATCGCCAACGCCGTGCTCTTCATCGGGCCCCGCAACAACGGCGTCGACGCCGTCAAGGAGATGTATCGCACGCTCAAGCCCGGGGGCACGCTCATCGTGAACTGCTTCGCCTATGTGGCCGTCCTGGATGCCATCCGCGAGGCGTCTCGCGCTACCCGCACAGGAGGCGAGCTCCCGGTGTGGAACTCGTTTGAGCACTGGGCAGATCCAGCCTTCATAGCCAGCATTGTGGAGGCCGGTGGGTTCGAAAAGGGGTCCATTAGCGTCCAGCAGCGCGAGATGTTTGTGAATATTGGCGACTTTGAACGCCACACGGAGCTAGTCTGGAGCATGAGGGGAATGCCTGCTGGCGGATGGACTCAGGAGGACGAGGACAAGTGGGACGAGGCGCTGGCGATTGTCCGGCGCGAGATGCAAAAGACAAAGGGCTTCATGACGCTGGAAGATGGCACCACGATCATTCGAAACGTCGTCAATGTCGCAACGGCAACCAAGTGAGGGTCTGGGGGAGGCGATGAGGTCAAGCGGAGTCTTCTAAGCCCAGGAGGCGAAGATGGAGCTGTTGGAGATTGTGCGGATTTACTCCATTCATGTATGTATGTACCTATTTCGACGTCATGATCTGCGTGCTAGAGGTCAATTCAGAGCGATCTCTGGCGTTGACGCGTATGTCTGACCACAGTTTAGAAATGATTTGAATCAAGAAACTTGCATCATATTCTTCCAAAGCAGAGACAAAGGTTGAGGTAGATACCTAGTCCCTTGAGTACTGATGGGTGCAATGGAGAGTTGGCATCCAGACTAGGCGCTTTGCAGGGAAAGGGAGCCTTTAAGAATACTTGTGACCTTAAAAGACGAAGAAAGACGAAGAAAAGAGCAGAGACGAGGCAAAAGAAATTGTGGTTGAAAGATGGCAGTCCGAAGGTGGCTGAGCATCACGATGACAGCTCACTCCATTTAGCGCAGTCAAAACCGTGAAGCTGCTTCAAATGGCTGTCAGCAAGATAGTCAATCATCTACCTTATTGTCACCTGAAGGAATAGCTCTAAAGGATCGAGTTCCAAGGCGACTGTTGTTATGAAACAGCCATTAGCAGACAGCCAGTCTGGCGATGATGCTCCTGCTTCTGGCCCTGCAGCCAGGCGGCATAAGGATGCTTCGCGACCATCCACTTCACAAAGACACGCGCATCAGCACAAGCGATGGTAGTTGACAGCTCCGACAAGGACACAAACACCTGTATTTGAGACCCTGAAATTCAAGTTCAAGGCGATGCTCCGGCTCATCAAGTTGCGTTACACGCCAAACTAGAACCCACGGCATATCTCAATTTGCGCGCACAGGGGCCATTTTGAGAAGCCACTGGGTCGTCAAAGGTTCCCGCAATGACCATGGCGCTCACATTCCGCAAGAAAGAGGTTAATACAAGATGCCCTCATCAACCGAATCATCCGCGTTTAATGAGATAGACGCGCACCCAGCATCTACTGGAAGATGACCTGGGTGAAGGTTCCGCGCGCTCTCTTACACTCGACGGCTGAGCTGTATAGCTCAAAAGCATACGATGAGCAGTGGCTTGGCGACAACTTATCAGCGTTACAGCTCGCTGAATTCCAGAAGCCGCTCGTGGATATCTCAAGTCGTAGATGGCCTGTTGGCTGAGCTTCAAAAACAGGACCTAGGCTCAGCCAATATATGCTCGGGAGATCATACATCTACTTTTGACAGACGCCCAAAGGGGTGTTCTATCAATCAGCAGCCGCGAATTCTTGATGCTATCAGAGCATAAGAAGCTTTGGGGTTTGAAGAAGCCCGGACTTCACAACCATTACCAAATCGAACTGTTAGAAGGCCCAAGGCACACCCCAGATGAAGTTCCTCTTCATTCCAGCCGTGTGAGTCGGGTTGACACGGGGGATTCCCATATACGTGAGACTCAAAGGGATGCCAAAGAAACAGCAGGTTTTGTAATAGACAGCAACTCCAGGAGACCCGAGCGAGGTCCATGACGCTTAACTCTTCTCATGTTCCGCAGGCTCTGGCTCCTCAAGCAGAAAGACTTTGTCTGTGAGAAAGCCAGAACGACTCGAAACTTGAAGGTCAAGAAGTGACCATTCAGTGTTCGGATATCATTAGAAGGAGATGCTGATGGTGATACTCCGGACATATAAAGAGACTATGGGAGACGGTACATATTCCGAGTTTCAGGGACAAAACCTCTGGTCTATGTGAACCTCTAATTCAGGAGACCAACAAAGTGGCCCTCACGTGCTATGATTGCTGTTGAACGTAGACGCTGCATCTTGAATAAGAGACAAAAACCAGCTTACCGTAGAGGCCGTAGACACATCTCCTACTACAGAAACTACCCACGACACCCTGACTGAACACTTGCCATTCCACGTATCACCTCTTTGGCCCCTGGTGTTGCGCCGCCCCCTTTTCGCCCCCATCAGGCACCGCAGCCGACCTGCGCACCCTAAACTCATCGTACAAAACAAAGAACACCCACGCAGTCACCAGTATGCCGAGAAGCACATACTCCCTTACATACGTATGCGTGTGGATAATGACATTCTTCTTCGCCAGCTGGAAGCCCAGCCCCGTGTTAATCATGCCCAGGATAATGGCAACCCGTCCAATCCAGCGGTGGATATAGGCGAACTTGCTCTTGCGGCCGGTTCTCTTGAAGTATCTATGCTGTAAGACGCCCAAAGCTGGCTGGAAGAGGATGATTGTGCACACGGCGAGGAGGCCTATGACGACGTGGGCGCGGACGGGATCGTGGATATAGCCCAGGAACTGGGCGACCCTGATGCCGAGGGCCATGCCACCAATCATCATGACAAAAGCGAGGAGCTGGATCGGGGCGTGCATGGCCATGACCTTGTTCTGGAGGTAGGTGTTTCGCAGGTAGGGGATCTGGTGGATGGGGAGGCGGATGGAGATTGCGCCTAGGGGGTAGAGGACGATGAAGACGATGGACATGATGCAGGCGTGAGCGTTTCGCTCGCGATTCCAGACCTTGAAGGAGTCATGTCGAGGCTCAATCGTGTGCGTGTCTCTGCTGTCAACCTGGTTCTGCATCTCTTGTGCCAGGACCAGATGCGATGCTGCGTATGTCAGTGTATGATTGATATGTTGCTGAAGGGCAAAGGTCACTTTACCAAGCGACAGGAGAAGCACCGACAGCGCAAACCGGTGATTTCGCATCATGGTGTCTCGTTTCACTCTAAGACCGACAACTTTCAGCTTTTCTTGATACTTGATTGATGCATCACTTACACGCGAAATAGCGAACCTCTTATAACAGACCACACAAGCAGTCCTCAGCCTCACGCCGTTTGATCCGTTCCCGAATAGGTGAGCTGCCGTAAGACCGGCCTTCCGTGGCGTCGATCCGTCACTGGCTCTCCCGGCATCACAACCCCCCGAAGATACAGAAATAGCAACCGCCTCGGGGAGACTATTCAGCCGCAGCGTCCTGAATGACGCTTACAAGAGTTGAGACTCTGCCTGTCTTCACCAAATCTCGAGACGGTCACACGCCACCAAGAGCAAATCATGGGCACAACGTCGATTGGCTTGCGTTCTCAGGGTCATCTCTCTCCGTCCTGGTGTGTTTCTCTTAAGTCTGTGTCGATGAAAACTTGGTCTGCCGATCTACAGTTGGTGATGACATTGGGAAGCTTCGGATTGGATGTCCTCCCGACGGTCGGGAGAAGAGGCTCGCGATGTTTCGCCGAGTTACTCAGATCCCTAGACCTTGAGTTTCTTCGCTTGGTGTTGAACTTTGCATACCCATCTCCAGATCCCAGCCGGCATTTTCCATCTCAGGTCATAAGTCTATCTTTCTCTTTCTGATAGTTGCAACACAAATGCTGCGAGATGGCCCGTCACTGCGACGACGCGCGGTCCAGCACATCTGATCTTGCAGTCACTTCCTATGATGAGCCTCATTAATTTGTCTATATCTGCGCGATGCGATGCCGAGATTCTAATAGAATAAACAGCACTGCAAATCGTCGTCCGGTGTATCCGGCGGAAGGCAGCGTATGCCATTGCAACTGTGCATCCGCATAGTTCACCATGAAGATATCTATTGGCACTTACAATGAGACTTGCATCTCATTGACCTGAATAGTTCTTTCATCGTGATCATTGAAATCAATTACGAACTATCGGACGTGTGTATATGTGTATACCATGTCACTGTAACAAGAAACACACGCCTTCATAAAAGAGGGCCCTGCTCAAGTCCAGTTATGACCAGACGCATCACCCGGCCGTTGAGCAACTGCTTCTTCATTCTGCCATCTCGTCACCGTCTTAATCTCCGGCGAGACTCCCAGCCACAAGAGGTCCGGACGGCTATAATGCCCCGTGCAGTCAGCAAACATCCTATTCACCATCAGCTCATCCATATCCAAGCAAGCGTAAACAATGCCCTCCTCCGTCTCGCTAATTGGCGTCGTCATGCTCCGGCCATCTGGACCAAAGACGGTCGAATGGCCTCCGCCGGGGCTGGACATGAGCGCTCCTCCAGCCGATTCCAATGTTTTGACACCGTCTTCTGAGATGACTGCCGTGCAGTGTAAGACAAAGGCTCCCGATTCAATGGCATAGGTGCGCGAAAGCGTCTTGCATCCTAGCGAGGATTTCAGCAATTCATAGTCAATACGGAAGAGGAGAATATGTATATACCTTCCGCGGTCATCGACCATGGAATGGACTCCCCAACTTGGGAGTGCAAAGGAGGCCATGCCGCAACATGAATCTCTTCCTTTTGTGATATGGTGTTGTACTTGAGCAGCGGCTGAATATGCTCCCAGCAAGACAGCGACCCAACACGACCAAATGGGAGCTCCGCCACGCTGCGCAAGCAATGTCCAGAAGCGTCTCCAAACACGGTGCGTTCCATATGGGTCGGCTTCATCTTTCGTCTGTGAACTTTGATCGCTCCATCAGCCCCAATGAGGACATTGGAGATGAAGAGCGAGTTGTTGTCGTTCTCCGAAAATCCAAGAGACACGGCAATCCCATGCTCCCGTGCACAGGCTTGAATCCTTTCCATCTCTGGAGAGCCCATGCGGAGGGAGTTTTTGATGTAAGTCACATTCAGACCTATATCAACGGGACGAGCCCTGCTGCCACAATGACGCTTAGCTCAACAGAGATGATGTTTCGCATATTCAACGGGGGTAAACTGACCATATCCAACAAGGATAGCCTGGGATCCAGACCTCGGGGAATGCAATAAGCTGAGCATCGTTGGATGCTGCCTGTGCTATGAGCTTGCACGTCTTGTCGACGGTTGCTTGGAGGTTGAGCCAGACGGGCTCGGCTTGAGTCACAGCGACGGAGACTGTACGATCAGGCATGACAACAACGTGAAGGCTATAAAGAGCAGAGTATGAACAAACACAGTGGTTTGAGCTATGTAAGTTGGGCCAGTAGCTGGTCAAGGTTGCTATCCCTCTCCATACAGTTTGTTGGAATGAACATTCTACGTGAATGGAGCAAAGCGTAATCAGTCAGTCTTCAGATCACTCACTTGGTTACACCGAAGGCCATCATGACACATTGCAGTCAAACCCCTCACTTGATGGACGTCTTCTCTGCGAACTGTCAAGAAATTCCACCAGCGGGATGCACCAAGCCGGTTAATCCGACTGATGAAGCAGCGGAACGGCAGCCAGTGTTCTATTACCTCTCCCTGCTATGCCACTATCATGCAAGTACTATAGAAGAGAATGAGAAGAAGTGCCAACTAATAATGCCCACAGTCGCACAGGATGCAGTCGACTATATCAGGCAATGGCGCAGAATATTCATCCTCAAAATATGCTGAAAGGAAATAATCTTTTTCTAGCTGGATCAAATTCCGAGAAAGAGATAAGGCAGTCATCATATGCAAATCACATCTGCATCTGCATCCGTTGTGTAGAGCAAAATGAAGCTCTTGACAGAATGCCTCTCAAGACAGACGTCTGATAGACACATGAGCAGGATCATCCTCATCCTCCAGAGTCATCAAGAATCCATCAACCGCCGGATTCGTCAGGGTGCAGCAGGTGATGCAATGCGGCACCGGGGGACGGTAACAAGCGGTTTGTACACGGAATACAGACCAGTTCGGATGGCAGGATGCATGCCGTTGACTGCATCATGTATGAACCCGCAAGCCCGACTGTCTGTAGAACCTGTGCTTAACACTGGACAGGTACTTGTATCTTGGCGAACGGGAGGTCATGTCCTTTCGCTGCCAATAGAGTATGCGCCTTTAGGTAGTATTGTTGTGACGCAGTCGTAGCAGTAGTTGTATATGCAGGTATTTAGTCTTGCTCCATGATGCCCTCTCTTAATCACGGCGGCCTAACCTGCAATACCTGCAATACATATCCAGAATAACCCTCATTGGTTGCCGTCAACAGCACACAACGGCGGTATATTGCTCTCCATGTGAGCCATTCTCGGCATCAAGTCAACAGCAACGCCATTGACTGTGACTTATTAGCGAAAGGAAACTGGCATTTCATAAACACCACGACTCTGGTCCAAACCACCACCCACCAAACCACCATCACCACCACCATCACAACCACGATTCCAGCCCAACGACACCCCCCCGAAAAGCAACCCTGCACGCGCCCGCTTTTTGGTTACACGCATTGCATCTGCGGCGACACGATGGGGACGCACAGCACAGCGCACAGAAATAAATTGGGTGCTCCGCCGCCTCACATGCGCGTATGCATGCAGCCTGTGATGGCACAGGCATGTGTCTGTCTGTCTCTTCTGCACATGCATTTGTGCTGCCAAATTGACGATGGATGGATGGATGGATGGACGGACGGGCGACTGGCTGGTTGCCTCTTGACACTCACCGCCAGAGTTGTCGCTGCTGAGTCTTCCCCAATCCCGTCCATTTCGTTCATCTTGAGGTTCCCTCGATCTTGCTGCTTTGCTTTGCCTTGCTACTTTCGTGTCCCCCCCCCCCCCCCCCCCGACGAGGACATTCTGAACGGAGGGTTCAATACCAGGGGTCCGTCTTGAACTAGTAGCATCAAGCAGCAATGAGACAACATACCTCAGAGAAGCAACATGCAATTGTCGATTCCAGCCATTGGCATTCTTGTCCCAATTTCCGGCCCCATTGCCCCGAATCGGGCGCCTGGTCCAGCGGTGAAGCAAAGCAGCGCAGAGCAGCGCAGAGCAAAGCCGATGCTGCCACTGGGCGCGTCGACTCGGTTATAATGCGTGCATCATCTCTGCGTTAGCCCGTCCAGCGCATCTGGCTGCGACCGGGGTCCCTGGTTCCTGAGGGGTTCCCGCTTGTTTGCTGCTGTTGCGAGCGACTTGTGGTGCGACTGGGGGGGCAGGCGGCCAGACTGGCAGAGCAGATCGCCAGAAGAGCCCGCTGTCGCACGGCAGAAGCGGTTCTTGCTTCCCTGTGGTTTGGGTTGAAGAGGGAGGGAGTAGGCGGTTGAGCGAGTGATGGCTGGCCGGTACAAGATGGAGTCGTCTGTTGCTTGGTAGGTAGGTAGTATGTGCTGCTATGCTCGTTTGTTGCCTCTGCATTCATGTTAATTGTCCATGCGAATGATGAGAGAATAGAAAGTTTCAGGTCGTCAGACGTGGAAATTGGAGGAAGCAGAGGCGACGGATGAGTATGTTTGATGGTTGGGAGCTCAGCTCTTCTCTTTTCTTCTTCTTTGCTTTTTCTGCCGTTCCGGTGCCTCGCCTTTTTTGACTGTCTCGCGTGGAGCCGTGTTCTGTTTGAGCTTCAAGTGATGTGAGCCAATCAAGGGGCAGATCCAGGCGAGACAGGCATCAGACATGCACGTATGAGGACAATTACAGTACAGGTGTCCAATGAACGTGCATGAGGACTGTCAGTCAGTGCAAATGCATTGCCCAGATGCCCCCCCAAGATGATGGATTGGGCGACCAGAGATCATAAGGTAAGGTAAGGTACCTAAGGTTGAGGTAGGCACCTTATCGGTTGGCCTGCGTGCGAGGCTGGTAAGGCTCGAGCGCCATCGCATGTCACGACTGGGCGAGATCGAGTCGCTCTGCACGGCGCATTGGATGCACGGATACCTGGCGCTCCCTGCGCGGTACCCGGCGAGCACGGGCTGATTACCGCAGGGCAGCCTTATCGCGCAAGGACAGACCTGGGCAGCTTCCCCGCATATTGCGCTGGGAAGCTCCTGCGTTGGCGCCAAGCAGCGACTTGCCCCAGGATCCGCTAGTAGTAGCAAAGACTTGATGGGTTGATGACTAGCACAGAGTGGCTCCAGAAGCCCAAAGCCACTGATTCTTGTCTCTGATTTCCGCCACTTTTTCTTCACAAGAGCAAGAGAATCACCACTCGACGCCGCTGAGGGACAAGATCTCGCACAATAACCTCTTCGACGAAAAGCAGAAAATACGGAAGAAAACTCCATCTGAGTGTGCCAGAGACGACACTCGCCTCGACTCGACGCAGCTGCCACTTGCGAATCATACATCTCAGGCCACCAACAGGAGAAACCGCCAGCCTCGACTCATCACGAGCATCACGGCTTCACGACCTTGCGCCTCTCCAACCAAAGCTTCAATAATCCCTACAGTCATAGAGGCATCATCATCATCACACGACAGGCACAGAAAAAAACCAACCAAAAGAACACAAATCAAAACAAAGCGCAGCACCACCGCACCAAACAAAGCGCATCCCGGTTCCCCACCGCCTCCTCCTAGGGGTCTTCTCTCGCTGTCCTTGTCTCCCCTCCCCTCCTCTCCAAATCCGTCCTCGCGCATCTCGTCACGCTCCGGCAAGGGGGGGAGCTTGGATCCCTGCACGGCTGACTGGCCTCTGCCGTGCGTGTCACTAATTTTTTTCTGATTTTGCTTTATTTTTCTCGCATCTGCAAACCTCCCTCTGTGACATCTTACCTGTTACTTTCCGTGCCTGAACGCTGCCGTCGCGCTGGGCGAAGCAGAAAATAGGAGCCTGTGCCAAGCTGAAGGCTTCCAGTCTCTAGCGCAGGGCGGAACCTCGTGCTGTCGGTGGCTGGCCCGCTCTCCCACCGTCTCTTGTCTTTCGCTCGAGACATTGACCGATTCGAGGTGGGCGCCTCAGCCTTTGGCGCTGTCTCGACTAGCCCAGACTCGGCCTCACACCCCGGCTGCGAAAACTCGGCTCGACGCCCTGCCAGACGGCAGCTGCCGGGCGCATGCGTACAGGCCAGGCCAAGGTGCAGCGACTCGTCGACTCGGCTCTGGACGTGACGCTGCGGAGGCGCGGCATCTGGCCAGATCGTGGCATCCTTTGACGCTTGACCGAGATTCTCTGCCGGAGCCTCACCTCGCCCAACCTTCGCGGCCATCAGGGGCGGCGCTCAGCTCCTCTCAGGCTACCTGAGCTTTTCTGTGACTGATCGTCGCTGGATCGCTCCGCCCGGTCGGAATTTTCGAGCTAAGCAGCCAAAACTTCGGCACTATGGATCCAAGACGGTCGCCAGCTCTCTACAACCACAACCACAACCAGCACCAAAACCACAATCCTCCAGGCCCTCACAACCCCAACCAGCACCAGAGCCATCGCCAGCACGGCCACCGAGGACAGCACTTCCCCCTGCCGCCGACCTCGACCACCGCGACGACGGCCGCGCACGCAGTCCCCGTCTCGGCGCCGTCGCCAGCCTCGCATCGCATCCCCAGCCCGGCCTATGCCCACCAGCGCCGCATCTCGGACGCGCCCTACCGCTCCTCCCACGTCCGCGACTATCCCGAGCCCAGCCATAGCCATAGCCATTCGCGTGCCCAGAGCGCCTCGTCCCTGCCTACTGCTCGCGAGCTGAGTCGCAACATGCCGCCGCCCACGTCGCCCCCCCAGCAGTTGGGGCAGCAGCAGCAGCAGCAGCAGCAGCCTCAACAACAACAACAACAACAGCAGCAGCAGCAGCATCACCAGCAGCCTCCTCATCCCTCGCAGCCTCATCCCGTCATGGGCTACGGCCCGCCGCCTCCTCGACCGCCTCCCGTCGCCGTTGGGCCGCCCAGTGCCTTCCCGTCCGGTCGCGACCTGCCCGCTTTGAGCTCCATCGCCCGCGCCGGCTCCGTGTCTGGCGGCAGCTCCATGTCCATCTCGTCCATGCTTGGTGGCCCGCCTCCAGCATCGCGAGACGCCCAGCCCCCGTCCGCGCCGCCCCAGCACTACGCATCGCACTCGGCCCCAACCTCCGCATCGACCTCGGGCCCAGGCTTTGCGGCCGCCATCCAGGCCTCGCCTCGAATGCACTCTGCATCCTCCGATTACCCTCCATTCCGACGGCCTCAAACCCCCGAGCTTCAGCGACCGTACGACCCCCGAGCAGCCGCTGCACCCTCCCCTCGAGGCCCCTACGCCACGACACCCGACGTCCAGCGATACGGCACACCGCAACAGCAGGGGCAGCAGCCACCCTATCACTCGCGACACCCTTCGAGCTCGACCGACCCGTCTAGAGATCCTGCAAGGATGTCTGGGGCACCACCGCCTCAAGCGCAGAATCCTTCTCAGTCAAGGCCCTATGGCAGTATGGCGCCTCGGCCGATGGAAGTTGGAAGGGTACCTGGTGGTCCCGACGACGGTTACGGTCGGCGGGAGGCCGCGGGTCTTGAGTACGGCGAACGGGCTGGCTTGCGGCCTTATTCTTACGACGATCGATACAGGGCCGAAAGAGAGAGGCAAAACGCAATTGGGCTGGAGCAGCAGCAGCAGCAGCAGCAGCAGCAGCAGCGCGAACGAGAAGGGCGCGAGCGGGCTTATTCCGGAGGCGATCCGAGCCGACATCCTCTGGCGCCGCATGACCAGCCACATCATCGCGAACCCCCGGCCCACCAATCTGCCCACTACGGCGCCGCCCCCCCTGCCGAGCTCCTCGACCGCCGCGACCCTCGAGACCCCCGCTGGGGACGACCTGAGCCAGAGGCCAACTACAGGGCAGCCCCGATGGACCATCAGCGACCGCACCCAGACTATCCTCCCTCATCTGGACCCTATGCGCCTCACGCCTCGGCATATCCCACGGCGCCTCCAGAGCGATTCCCACCAACATCTCATGCCGCATACCCCCAGAGCGCCCCAGGTGTCGCCGGCCCGCCTCAACCTCACGAGTCTCCCGATCGAGCTCGAATGGAACTCCATCACCATTCGCAACAACAGCAACAACAACAACAACAACAACAGCATTCGCAGCAGCCACCCAGGTCACGACCTCTTGATGACGTGCCTCCCCCTCTATCGTCCGCGCCATTTCCCGGCGGCGGCGGCGGCGGCCATCCGTTTGACTCGGCACGAAACAGAAATATCGACGATCCCTCCGGGCCTGGTGTTCACCAGCGCAATCTGCTCGCCATTCAAGAAATCAACCGCAAAGGACGGGTTTCTCCGCTCCCGCAGGCCGTCCAGGGAGCGCAGCCTCAGCAGCCGGGACCCGCCGCAGAGCCAGGCATTAAGAGCGAGTTTGGCCGCATGTTTGCGGGCATCGGCAGCGGCGTGGGAGGCGTCGGTGGCCTGTCGAGCCCCGTCACCTCTGCCCCCATGGTGCAGTACATCAACGCAGCGCTGGCCAAACGCGACGAGACCGAGAACCCGGCGCCGGAGGCTGGGCCAGAGGGGGCGCCAAAGGCTCAACGGGGCCGGAGGCGCAAGCTGAATACGGAGGAGAGCCGCGACGACGACAGCTCCGGCAGGATCACACCGGTAGGGCGTGGCGCAAAGCGGGTTAGGGGACATGCGCACCACCATCATCAGTAAGTTTGCGCAAGAGCAAACCAAGCATTTGGGTCAAAAGGCGGCTAACAATTCCCAGTCACCACCACCACCATCACCATCACGCTCCCGAGGGCACCGCTTCACCGACCGTCGCGGTTACCACGCTGAAGAGCTTCAAGGGCGCGACGCCCATGGCTTCGCCGACAGAAAAGATGCCCAACGCTGCGCATCACCACCATCACCACCACCATACGCCGCGAGCCGCGCAGCCGGCACAGGCTCCGAAAACTGCCCAGAGCCCTCCGACGGCGATTCCGCCCAAGCCGCGGACGATTGTATCCTCCAAGGCGGTGCTGGAGCAGGTTGCTGGCCATCCCCGTCACCACCTGGGCGACTTCATCTACGAACCATGGCTGAAGCCCGGAAGGCTGCTCCCGAGCACGCCTACACACCGGGGCTTTGCATCGAACCCGAAGCCGCTGCCGTATGAGCTCATTAAGGGCAAGGAAAACTGCACGCTGACCGTCAAAGTGTCGCGCGTCCACCTGTCGCCGATTGCCCGGGAGGAGATCACCGCCAGGGCGTTTCTCTGGGGTACGGATGTCTACACGGACGACTCGGACGTGGTGGCGGCCTGCATTCACGGGGGCTGGATCAGGGGAGAATGGACCGAAGATGTCGACACGTCTCTCCTGGACCTGGATCAAGGCTCCAACGGGGAGACGAAGCGGCGCAAGGCCAAGAGCCTGGACAGCGACATGGTGAACGCCACGTCTGAGGGACTCATCACGAGGCCTCCTCCCACAGGCCCGATGCCCACCCCACCCGACCGCGACCTGCACGTTACCGTCTTGATACTGCCCCGACTCGTCAAGTACGCCTCGTCCACGCGGTACGGTATTACCAGCCGCGAATTCGGCGGCGAGTACGGGTCACGACACGCCATCCACGACGGCCTCAGCTACATGGTTAAGAGCATTCGCTGGGTGCAGAACGGTGCCCAGCCTCAGGCCAGGCTGCGCGGGAAGGGCAGGCGGGAGCGGATGAGGGAGCAGGCAGCCAACTATGTCCTCATTGCGGGACTGGGCAAGGATGCAGCCGCGGACAGCAAGCCCAGCCTGGGGAGCGAGATTTCTGGCAACTGGGCCAAGAGGAAGAACCTAGACGAGGCGCCCGAGGCGAAGCGTCGCCACAGCGAAGGGAACAAGGAGAATCAGCCGGACGACAAGATGAGCGACGCTCCAGCGGAGGAACACGAACATGAGCAGGAAAAGGACGTGGAGATGGGGGATATGGCGGGCGAAGAGAAGGCGGTAGCGGCCGAGGAAAAGTAGCCGCTTTGTTTTGCAAACGATTCCTGTTTGTCTCTTCTCCTTCTCCGTCGTCTTGATGGGGATTATGTCGAAGAATTTAGTTCTACTTGGGATGGAAAGGGAAAAATTCTCGGGAGTAGGGGACATGGTGTGTTTGGAAGGGGGGGGGGGGGCGGAAAGTAAAATAGCGAAGGCAAAAATCTCTTTGGTTGTTTCTACTTTATGGGGGCGCGGTGGGATCTACACTGTATAATCGAATGTCCTTGATCTTTCCAAGGCTACTGCTTGTTTCTTTCGCCTGTGTTGATGTATTATGATTTTGTACTTTTGTTTTCCTTAAGGCTACCTAGGTAGGAAGGGATACCCTCTCAGCTCAAAGAGTATGATGATGTGGGCATTTGATGGTGGTAGTAGTAATAGTACATGCTTGCAGCTTCTATCCTGTTGTTGTACATTGTCGTCTTTTGCGGCGCTGGCATCCTCCCCATCCACGTTTCAATACCTCGTCCTCTCGAATCCGTTCTCTCCCACTCCCATCCAATCTCCTTTCCCCCCTTCCTTATATCCTCAATCCTCACGCTCCTTTTTCATCATTTCCACAGACTCAGAAATCCGTCACCCGCCCATTATAGCTCCAATCCCCATTCCCACCCCACCGCAAAGGCTCATTCTTCGGCCCCCCGACCTCTCCCGTCTTGGGATTGACATTGCCCTCAAACTCGGGTTTCGCGCCTCGAAACAGGCCCTGATTCAGCGTCGTTCCATCGCCCTTGTCCTTTGCAGCAGTGTTTATGGTGGAGGAAGAAGATGAAGATGGGGAGGATGTGTGGCGGAGGGCTTCGGTGGCTGGAGGAGAGGACTGCTGGGTTTCTTGAAAGGCGGAGGATACGGCGGCTGCGCGCTGGAGGCGTTCGAATTCGGCTTGTTGGGCGGCGGGGAGTTTGGGGGGCGAGGGGCGGGAGGAGAATGTTGATGAGGAGCGGAGGGTGGTGGTGCGGATGATGATGGAGGAGGAGGAGGAGGAGGAGGAGTTGATGGTTGAGGAGAGAGGGCGGAGGACGAGGGGGCGGAAGGGAGGCATTGCGTGATGCTGTTTTTTTTTTTTTTTAGGTTGCTATTGTTTTTGTTGTTGTGGTGGTGGTTTGTTTGATTTATTGGTGGTTGTTGGGAGGTGTCGAGACTCGTTGGATTGAGGTGGATGAGGGTGATGATGTGAGGGTTAAAGGTTGGTGGCGATGACGCTGGTGATGGGAGTTGAGTACCTACTATCCAATGCGGAAGAGGTTCAGGTACCTAGATAGCCGAGGTTTAGGCTGTGCGGGTGGTGGGGTCTGCTGTCTGCTGGTGTCTATTGGTGAGTAGAGGGGAGGCTCTACAGCTGTATAAGTCTGGCTACCTACGATTAAGATCAAGACAGACCTCGATTCAACAATAGCAAACGAAAAGACATCCAATGAAGAAAAAAAACGCCCAGGCCCCTTATTCAGGCCGTAGCCACTCAAACGTATCCAGCAAGTCAAAGCTGAAAAACGAATTCAAATCCGCCCCCCAATCCTCCACGCTCCAATGCCCGCCGCCCCCCTCCAGCAAGTTCGTCTGCACCGGCATCTCGAGCGCCTGCTCCAGCACCCTCCTCACCACCCTCTTCACCCTGTAGCAGATGTCGTAATTCGGCGAGCCCGGCCCAACCCAGTCCAGAAACGCCGCCAGCATCCCCAGCTTCTCGACGACGAGGGCCTTTGTCGCCGCGGGACTCAAGCCCTCGTGCGTGGCCGTCCCGCGGAGCAGCTCCATGCACAGGACGCCTCCCGCGGGCGCGGCAAAGCACGTCGTGGTCCATTCGACGCAGTCCTCGACCGTCTTGAGGCGGTTCTGGTGCGTCCAGAAGAGGTGCGCCAGCGTCACCATCTCGAGGCTGATGGCGAAGAGGCGCGAGGGCGCGGCGTTATCGTCGTCGTCGTCGCTGGAGCTGGAGCTGGAGCCGTCTGGCTGCTGCTTGCTGAGGAGGCGCTCGATGAAAAAGAGGTTCTGCAGGTGCTCGAGCCAGACGAGGAGCCGCGCGTAGAGGTCGCGGCCCGAGATGTCGGGGTTGCTGACGTCTTGGGGCCGGTAGAGGATGCAGGGCGGGAAGCTGGCGACGATGTGCATCTCTCGCCTCTTGAGATTGCTGGATCTCTGATCAGCGTCTTTCAAGTGACGATTCAGATACTCATGCGTGCACGAAATACTCACAGAAGCGCCAATCTCCCCCCGGAATCCATGCTCTGCAGCGCAATCTCGAGAATCTCGTCCCTCACATACGCCAGCATGGCCCTCGCGCGCAGCGTCGTCGTCGTGTAGAGCTTCCCATCCATGCTCCATCCATTCTCATCCACCCGGCAGTCTCTGTAGTCAGCCGACGGACTGTTGCTCGAGAAGAGCATCTCGTCGCTCATGTCCAGCGGCAGCGGCGTCGACGAGAAGCGCCTGCTGAGGAACGCCGGCCGGCCCGTGAAGGTGGCGGTGACCTTGTCGTGCGTGAAGATGGCGGCAAAGAGCTGGCGCTTGACCTGGGCGGTGACGGAGCAGTCCATGGGGTCTGCGCCGGGCGAGGCGTGCAGGCCGAGGTAGGTGGTCAGGGCCATGAGGTCGCCGTGCGTCCGCCAGTATTGCATGCCTAGGTAGGTAGGTAATGAAGATAGTGAGCAGATGAAAGGTATCATCATATCATATCGAAAGGGGGGGGGAGTCATCAATGGTAGCAACAGACAGCCCTCTTTCTTACCTGCATCTCCAGAGATGTTGGACTCGAGCAAGCTGTGCCCGAGCACGAGAAAGGCCAGCAACATGTTGCTGCTGGCCGCCTCGCGACACAGCTCGATGCACTTCCACGCAGCCGCCTTGTACTGGCGAACAAGCTGGCTCGGGTGCGCGCGATGCAGCACCGCGCAGTCGCCGCATATCGCCGACCGTTCAGGCAGCCTCCGCGCGCCGCCGGCCCAGAAGATGAAGAGCAGGCCCAGGGACTCCCAGCGCAGATTCGGCCCCGAGTACCCGTCGAACCAGGCCTGCGCGTCCGTGTCAAGGTCCTCGGCGAGGGAGACGGCGCCGTTGCGACACACGGCCAGCGACATGCGCCGCAGCTGCTCCTCGTCCCGCGGCTCGCGATCCAGCGCCGTCGGCCCAAACGCCGTCCACAGGCTCTCGTTCAGCCGCTGGCCCGACAGCCAGTTCCAGCCGCCGTAGAAGCTCGAGTAGAGCCTGGCTAGCAGCTTGGACGACGCCCTGTCGGGGATCTGGCGCAGCACGCTCAGCGCAACCTCGCCCATGAGCGGGAAAGCAACCTGAACCTCGAGGCCTCTCGGCGGCAGCATGGCGTCCGGGTCAGACTCGCGCTTGTCCGCCGCCGCCGCTGCAGGGAGACTCTTTTGCGCCTCCTCGTAAAAGGCCGAGAAGCTCGTCGCGCCGAGATAGCCAATGTTGCACTCGGGGCCGTGTGTCTGTGTCTGTGTCTGTGGCTGCAGTCTCCCGTTATCATTACTACTACTACTACTATTGTTGTTGTTGCTGCTGTTGCTGCTGCTGCTGCCAACGGGAACCGACGCCGGTCTTGACAAAGGCACCGCCGCCGATGGTCTTGTTGTTGTTGTTGTATGACTCCCGCCATGGCCGCCGTGATGATGATGATGATGATGATGATGATGGCCTGCCTGGCCTGGCTGGGCGAGATAGACGCACTTGTCCGGGATGCCGCCGCGGCGACAGCGCGAGCATATCGGCGTCCGATGGTCGCAGGCGACTTTGCGTCGGCGGCAGGGCTCGCAGGCCTGCGGGCGGCCGTTTTTGCGCTTCGGGGCGCTGCCGAGGAGCGAGATTGAAGTGTCCATTATATATATATGTATATATCTCACACGGATGCCATGAGACCTCTCTATGGGCAAGTAAGTACAAATGGAGAAACGAGTGAGATGAGACCAGGTTGTTTGTGTAAGGTAAGGTAGGTAAATACATGTGAGTATTTACACTTATTGACCGGGTTCCATCTCATACTGCTGGGAATGGTATCATCGGCCTCATCTTTGTGAATTAGTCATCCATCCAGTAGACTGCTCCGAGAGTCCGTACCTACACGGAGTTTGCTAACAGACAGGGATCAATTATTTGACGAAGAGAACTGTCAGTAGAGGACGAATCATGTTGAGCCAGAGACTTTATTTCAATTTACCTCTGCTCTTCCTCAAGCCCAAGTCGAGAGATGGGTGAGACTTTGAGTCCATAGAGGTAGGTAGTTGCTTTGGCTTCTACTCAATCTACCCCAACTGCCTTTTTTCTACCCCAATAGGAAACTTGAACTCATCTACCACTACAGTTAACATTCCGAGCATTCGAGTCATGGTTAGCAGAAAGTGATGGGCACATTGAAATAGCGAATTCGACGACATGTTTCACGATAAATGGGCACTTCCTCATGCTGCGTACAAGTATTTAAACCCTCTCCATTTACGTGGACAAAGGCTCAACCTTGCTCGCTAACACTCCAAAGTAGAAGCATATCGATCAACGGCCTCGATACACGGCCCAACCGCATCAAACAAATGCGACTCCCGAAACAGCTCCGTAAACAGTCGCAAAACAGAACAAGCCATATGCCGAATCGTCTCCCCATTCCACTCGTCATCCCCCACCGCAGGCTTATAGAACGGCGTCTCCTTCAACATCCGCGCAACAACCCGGATCAACACCCTCTCCTCGTCCCGCAAGCACCCGCTCTCCAAACAACTCGCCCTCTGCAGCCATCTACTCAGAAACAGGGCGCATTCCAGGCTCGCAATGCTATGGATGATGCTCCAGGAGAAGATCTGCGTCTTGGACGCATACTTGATGCCCATCCGGACCGGGATGCTCAGGGCGTGGGCGCTCTGCAAGACGGCCGAGTATAACCGCGGCGAGCGCTCTGGCAAGGGGCACTTTTCGAAAGCTGCCGCGATGGCTGCTGGATCCCTGCTGCTAAAGTGACGACTCGAGGCCATGCTGCTGAACGCCAGCCTTATCCAGGCGATGCGGAAGACGGCCGTGGCGTTGAATCCCAGCGGTGCCATCTGCGCAATGGGCTGCGTGGTTGAATCCCGGCTCGAGGCCCAGCCGGTGTCCCAACGACAGAGTGCCCGCCTGAACTTCAGATAGACGTCTTCTGGTAACGGTATTTCGTCAGGGTTCGTACAGCCCGAGCCCAGGTGTACCAAGGAATCCCTGGTAAGCTGAATCTGCTGCACCAAGCCATGGATCGAGACCAGGTTCCCAAACGCAGAGGTGCGATGGCTGGTATTTCGAGACTCGCTGGGGATGATCAGGTCCAAGTAGTAGTCGCCAAAAGTGCCAGATAATGGAGGATGACGGCGTCGTGCTTCCTCCCACTCTGACGCCGTGGAAGCCCACCAATGAGCCTCATGCTGCGGCATTTGGATCGACCATATCTCGCGAGCCATGAGCCGCGGTGGAACGTCATAGAAGATGGTATGCAGGTTGAAGAGGATAAATGCAATAAAGACGGTTCGTCGACGCCCTTCACTCTTGATCCATTGCTGCCATGTTCCATCCCCAGGTGCTTCCTCTGAGCTCAAAAACCCCCCTTGCCGCAAATAAAGTGCGACTTGTTCAGCCAAGCGAAAGGCATCGGGCAGCAGGTTCTTGTACTCCCACGAGCACAAAGACATGCAAATTATCATGGCTTGTATCGTCTCAATGGCCAGGGGCGCTTCGTTGGTCGAGGTCACCGCAGGATGTGCCATGCCTTGACTACATGTAGCTGGCCTTGCCCGTACTGCGAAATTGTGTGCCGCCTCCGCTACGGCCGCTGCAGTCTTGTCGAGTCTCGCGTCTATGATGCTCTTCGCAGCGTAGTATAGCGACAAGGCCGACTCTGCTTCGAACCGATATTGAGCGCCCATGGCGGCTATCGCAAAGACAAGCTCCAGCGGCATCTGACCGAACCGCGTGGTGGAGAGATGTAGAAATGGTTGGTGCAGGTTGAAGCTGGAGTAACCTTCGATGTACCTGCTCATCGTGTGTTTTGAAGGAAGCTGAAAGTCAAGGGGCAGATTCGCGGCGTGTTCCCGAACTGAAAGAGAGATTTCGTCGTAGTCTTGGCTAGTCATGTAGCACGGGTTCCTTGAACATGGGAGCCATGACGCGATAGTCTGGCTATTATCGGTCGCTGTGTTGGGACCTCTGGGACGAGGACGTACCGTGGGACCATTGAGAGGCCGTGGGTTCAACAATGCCGAGGCGCACGGCAAGTCATCCTTCCAGATGGATTCCTCTGTCCTGTTCGAGATGTCGCTATTTGGCGTTGTCGACAGAGAGGAGGTCAAGCTGAGCGAAGGCGCAGTATCAAAAGTCGGAAAGCTCATGGAATACTCGGGACTAAAGAAGGAGAGATCAAAAGGATTGGGCTGCAGTTGAAAGCTATCCCAAAGCATGTCCAGGTTATCTGTAAGAGCTGCTGGAAGCAATTTCGAGGCCTCGAGAGGAGTAGTCTGCGAGTCACCACCAGCAGCCTTGGACTCATCTTTTGCTGCATTGCCCAGCACGGCAGGTCCAGGACTGTCGACGGATTGTCTGTCCCGACTCGACGAAACGCTGGGGCTCAGCGGCCCGTGTCCCTCCTCCTTGGTCAGCTTGACATGCCGCGAGAGCAGGTCCCTGAACCAATGCAGGTCAGCACAAAGCCATTTGGACACCTGTTCCCCGAGCAATAACAATGAACAAGACTTACTGACGCGAAAAAGCCCGTCCGCATATGCAGCCATGGGGCTTCTCCTTGGTATCTACCCCAAATCCGCCAGGTCAGCTCAGCCCTCATCAAGACGAGTCTCGAGGAATCGCCCTACGTGTTCTCTCATGGCGACGCAAGTGCTCGGTCCTCGGAAAAGTCCTGCTGCAGTATCTGCAGGGAGGCACTTTGACCTTGTGCCGCATCTTCTCTCATGCTTGCTTGTCTTGCGTCTTACAAGGTGGACGAGCGAAGTGCAACATTGAATCTACCCCAACTCTTCTGGGAGTCAAGGTCCACTCGGCGTGTCAGCCAAAGATTGGTGGCACGTGACGGCTGTGCGCCATATGAAGTCCAGGAGTTGTAATAACGTTAATACAACAACCACATGCGTCAGCGGTCAATTGAGGATGACGAGCTTGGCCATGCATCAAGTCACCTTCAAGTCTAGTCCTCTACTCCTATAAGCCCATGCTTATGCAACAGATATCCCCTCATATATACCAGCATCTAGACTCAAGTTCTTCACATCGTTCCTCATCCCCTGAGCCAACTCGAGCCATGAAGGGCGTCATCTAGATCACGTCTTATCCCGGAGACGGCATCAGGAGGATCTTCCTGCGGCTCTGAAGCGGCGTTTCCAAGTAGCTGCATCCTATATTCACGTTGAAAGGGCTTGACAACCCCGGGCAGTAAACGGTGGCTCTTCGCTTGAGATGAGTATCTTGAATAGGACATCATTGCCCTGTATGAGTGGCATTGCTACATCGCCGATCGCTTGCTGCTCATACTGTCAAGCCCCAAGTCGACAAGAGCCCTCGATACAGCTCTTCAGCCATTGGCTTGACACGAGCGGATGCATTGAGTGATTGGGAGGCGTCATTGAAGCGGCCGCTCACGAGCAACATGATCAGGGACATCCTGTGCTGTCAGCCACTGCTTTCGTGCTGCCGAGTAGAACGGGGCCAGGACCATTTGGTCATTCGGATATCAATTGACACGAGATGAGAGTCTATCGTCATATGTTGCTTCCATTTCTGGTGCCGTCCGCCCATTGCTCGCAGAGCAAGTGAGCCTGCCGACAAACTCACTCATATGAAACCAACATCTATCCGCAATATACGCAATCAAGCGCAACCAGCAGGAGAACGCAGCCACCAAGCAATTTATGTACATGGGCAACCCAAAAAGCCAAAAGCACGCCGCTTTTTACCATTGTTTTTTTCTTCCTCATCTGCCATCCACGCCCGCTCACTTGGACGCAGGCAAGCTGAACCCCATCTCCGACCAGGACTCAAACTCCTTTTCAATCGCCGCCAGCTCCTCCTTGTAGCGGTCAATGTTGAGCTGGTACGTGTTGAGCGCCTCCTTAAGCTGTTCGTCCGACTCCTGCTCAGACGCCGCCGCCGCAGCAGCAGCAGCGTCGTCCGCCGAAGAGGCCGCCCCGTCCTTGTCCGTCACCATCTTCTGCTCCTCCTCCTCGAGCTTCTGGAGCAGCAGGCTTTTCCGCCGGCGTGTCTCCTCGAGCCACTCCAGGCGGGCGTCTGTGATCTTGTTGGACATCTAGAGACACACACACACACACACACCGCAACGTCAGTACACATGAAGCGTTTTAGCAGTCACAGCAAGCGCCGATAGCAACCGCTGTAGCCACCGACTGGAAGGAATTTACGTCTTACTTTGGTCTTTTGTAGCTTTGGAGGGGGTGCCTTTCTCTCTTTGTTTCCCTTTCGCAATCTCCCGTACGTATAATACTTCTGTAGAGCCAAACGGATGATATGGAAGTTTAAGGTATGGAAAAGGGTTAGCCTGAGGGTCTCATTCGCAAGCTGAGAGGATCCCGCCCGATTGCCCGATTTTTGTGTGGCTGCTGCAAGTGGCCAACCAGTGGGACGATGAAAGGCGGCCAGGGGGGGGGGGTTACATTGAGAAAAGGGGGGGGAGGGGGGAAGGGATGGATGCCCAATGGCTCGAGCGGGAGGGACGACGCGCATCAAATGGTCCTACAATATGGGCGATTATGCAGCATGTGAGGCATGGGAATAGTGGAGGCTTTGCATTGAGGAGGAGGTCGAGCGCTGGGAGGGGCCAAACCGGAGCAACGCGGGACGGATTCCTGTTGGTTTGGCCCCATGAAGCTATCGAGCTCGGATAACAGGACTAGGGGACTAGGTAGTACTACGGAGTATAGAGCACAAGTAGGTAATACTAGTCGAATTGGCCGTTCAAGCGTTTGGTCCCGCAGTTGCTTGTCTCCTCCTCAGTCGTGGGTGGTTTGCCAACTTTCAAGGACCGGATTCTAAAGCCCGGCCCGAGCCGTGCAAAGAATAGAGGCATGTTGCTGGCGACAACGGCATGTGATTGTTTTCTGCCAGACCAGACTTCTTATGTCTATAACCAACTACTTCGTGCAACCAGTCATAGTAGTAGCTTGAAGTTGCGGGCAAAGACTGCCAACATACGATGCTGTAGGTATTTGCTAGGTAGTCTGCGCGGTTACATTCAAGCATCAACTCATTAGCCTATCATAGGCACCTCCCTGACTCACTCAAAAAGGAGAGCCAGTAAAACGAGCCCTATGCAGCTACTACATGCTTTCGCATTGCCTCTAGCATTGAAAACGGTCAAGAAAATTTCAAGCTCCGTCTTCATCGCTCGACTGCTCATGTCCAAGATCAAACGGTCATCGAGATCCTTAGTCTGCCGCATCTCTCTCACCGACAATAACCCAGATCTACCAAACCCCGAGGCTCCCCCGGAAAAAACAGGGCTCAGTTCCTCGCCTGGCGTCCAAAGAGGCTTTGTCCACCCAGGCTAGCCCTCTGCCTTATATCCATCGCAGACCGACGCCGAATGAGGCAGCGCAGAAGCGACCAAAAGTGCCGCGCGAGAACTCTCTTTCCTTCCTGCCCTATCACGCCGTTCAACAGGCACATGCGCTTTCGAAGCCGCTCCAGCAGAGATGCCGAATCGCCGGCTAAGCGCGGCGGCGATCTTGGACACCTGCTGAATCGGGCATGCAGGCCGCGGGGGGAAAGATTGATCAAGTCTACCTTGTGGTCGAGATAAGGCCTTTGATACGACCACGAGAGAGCAAGAGAGCCATGGAGTTTTTGGGAATAGAGGAGAAGGGAACGAGGGAAAAAGACAATGGCCGGACTCGCTGGCGCGTTCTGCTTGCTCGGCTGGAGATGCGAGACAGTGAGAGGAACGGGGTGAAGTCGTATAAGATGGCGATGCCCGTCCTTGTTCCTCGTCGTCGTTGAGTCTCCGTGATATCAGTGAGGAATCTTGACTCCATCTACGCAACAGTCAAAGTCGAGCCAGTAGTTGGATCCCGGTTCTCAAGACTCGCCTCAACATAATGCCTTCCATGTCAAAGATTGCCTTGGCGACTCTGGCCACGCTCCAGGGCGCCCACGCCTGGGGAGTCCTGGGCCACGCAACCGTCGCCTACGTGGCCCAGCACTATCTCAACGCAGCCACGGCCTCATGGTGAGCAGACTGACACTTATTCATCACTGATGATGATGAAGATGACGACAAGTTCATCCACTGACAATCTTAATACTTCAGGGCCCAGGGAGTCCTCAACGACACGTCCAGCTCGTACCTGGCCAGCATCGCCTCCTGGGCCGACACCTACCGCACCACCGCGGCCGGCAAGTTCTCGGCGCCCTTCCACTTCATCGACGCCCAGGACAGCCCGCCCAGCTCGTGCAACGTCGACTACGACCGCGACTGCGGCAGCGCCGGCTGCTCCATCTCCGCCATGGCCAACTACACCCAGCGCGTGGGCGACGGCCGGCTGTCCGCCGCCAACGTCGCCGAGGCGCTCAAGTTCCTGGTGCACTTTGTCGGCGACATGACGCAGCCGCTGCACGACGAGGCGTACGAGGTCGGCGGCAACGACATTGCCGTCAAGTTCCAGGGCTACAACGACAACCTGCACGCCGACTGGGACACGTACATCCCCGAGGCGCTCATCGGCGGCGACTCGCTGGCGGATGCCCAGTCCTGGGCCAGCTCGCTCGTCAGCGACATCGCCTCGGGCGCGTACAAGTCGCAGGCCGCGGGCTGGATCAAGGGCGACACCCTCGGCGATGTCATCGGCACGGCCACGCGCTGGGCCAGCGACGCAAACGCCCTCGTCTGCACCGTCGTCATGCCCAACGGCGTGGCGGCCCTGCAGCAGGGCGACCTGTACCCGACCTACTACGACGCCGTCATCGGCACCGTCGAGCTGCAGATTGCAAAGGGCGGCTACCGCCTGGCCAACTGGCTCAACATGGTGTACGCGTCCAACATTGCGAAGCGCGAGGCGGGCTCTGTCGACGCTCGGGATGCTTCGCCTCTGCCTGACCTCTTGGGGCGAGACTTGCTGCCGGCTGCTCGCCCTGCTACCCGCGCTCAGCTTGCGAGGGCGGCCATGGAGGGTTCGTGTTGCGGAAGTGGTCGGGAGCACGAGCACAAGCACTAGATGCGGTGTAGATGAGCCTGAAGGTGTAGAAGACGTGTAAGGAGAGGAGGAGGATGTATAGAGTTGTAGACGTCGTAAGATATGGTGTATATATCCAGTGAAAGAGAGATAGAACAAAAGCAATGGCTTCTTGACAATGTCCCCCCCTGCGAGTTCACGTGCAACTACAAGACTTGATGATATACATGAAGGATCTGACAGGCAAGGAGAGAGAACGAGGCGACTATTGAGGGGCATCGCGCATATATCGAGTATTAGTCGCCATCTAAGTAAATACTAGAGCCTCGGACAACCCCGGCAACACAGTAACCAAAACCAATAAGCCTCAGAGTCACAACGAAATTGATAAGCCTAAACATCTCGGCTAACGCTGAGAGCATCACCACTCCTCTACCATAACAGGATCCATCTGTAGACTCCGCAACGCACTCTGAGTGAGGCCGTGTCCGAGCCCCATCTCAGGGCTACCGAGAGTGACCGTTCCTTATCCTGGGACTGTCCACGCTCTGAGTCGCCGATCGAGTCGAACTGTCGCTTCTGGGAAACTTGTCACGCAACATGACATCAAAGCCTGTATCCAGTCCCGCGCGTGAATCCCGAGTCCCCCATGCGTAGCAATGATCAGCGTCCCAAACATACATAGGTAGTAGGGCGCATCAAGCCGTGGCCGACGGACGCGGATCACCGGAGTCATTCCACGGCTCCGGACCGGAATCCCCAGAGCATCCCGGGGATCGCTACCATGCCTTGACGCCTTGGTGTTACACTCTCAAAATGGATCAAACTGACGATATAAACAAGAGTTCGAGCAGACTGGCATGCCTCAATCACCCCATCCGTTCCGTTGCAGTTGGGATCCCGTCTTCATCATGGGTCTCCTATCCTCGTTTGCCTCGACCAACACTGTCCAGGTATACGCCCTTCCCACGGGGTGGGTTCACCTGCCCGACCGATGGATCTGGCAAGACGGCGACGACGACATTGTCAAGGTGCGCCAGCGTCTTCCCGACTACAGCTTCCTCGTGCGCCATCCCTCGGGGAAGAACATCTTGTTTGACGCCGGCCTGCCAAAGGTGAGTGTCCTCAAGGCTCACGCAGAGTCCATTTACCGACGAGAAATTCCATCTCCGGACATTAAATCTCAAATAACCATTTCTCCAGAACCTGGACGTCATCCCTCCGCTCTTCCGCTCCATCAGCCACATCTTCGAACCCCAAGTCCCCAAAGACGCCCGCGACCTCCTCTCCGAGGGCCCCGTCTCCCCAGACTCCCTGAGCGCAATCGTCGTCAGCCATATCCACTACGACCACATCGGCGATCCCTCTCTCTTCCCCAACGTCCCCTACATCGCCGGCCCGGGCACAAAAGCAGCCGCCCTGCCCGGATACCCCGTCGACCCCAACTCGGCGATGCTGAGATCGCTGCTCACCCGCGAGAATTACACCGAGCTGAGCCGGACCGAGGACAAATGGATTCCTCTCGGCCCGTTCCCGTATGCTCACGACTTCTTCGGCGACGGCAGCTTCTACATTGTCGACGCGCCGGGACACCTCCCCGGCCACGTCACCGGATTGGCCCAGACGGGCTTCGACGAATGGGTCCTCATGGGCGGCGACTGCTGCCACGCTCGCAGTGTTCTCGATGGAAGCCGCCCGCTCAGCCTCGACGGGTGTCCAGGCGGGACCAGCATGCACCAGGACGTGGACGAGGCGATCAAGTCCATGGAGAGGCTTCGGAAGCTGGACCAGGACGACACCGTGTTTGTGGCCCTGGCGCATGATGCCACGCTGGATGGGAAGATGCCCGTGTATCCCGCGACTTTGAACGGATGGCGGGAATCGGCATGGTGGGCGTTCATGAAGAGCGAGAGGGAGAAGACACGAGCACGATCTGCACTATGAGGCTGATGATGCATGGTCGAGCACACACACAGGGAGGCTCTGTCATGTGCCGTGTACTACTAGGACTTGCATACAGCCATCACATGCCACTCACCCAGTCCCTCCCTACCTACCTACCTACCTATGTATAACCTTGTACTATAGGAAGATGACAAGTCCCAACACCAACACGAGCCTCGCCCGTTTCACTACTCAAAATGTATACATAGATACACATCTCCACGACCTTGATCCCACATCCGTCCATGATCGTCCAGATCCTTTCCTCGATCGTCGCTCAGCTGATGCAACCTTGCGCGCCATGCTGCAACCCCCTGCAGCCACGCACTTACACTTACGTCTAAGCTTGCTTCAACCCAACAACAACAACAACAACAACAACAACAACAACAACAACAACACGCACACTCACATTTCCATACTGTCGTCATAGTCTTTAGCAGACATTATTCCAAGTTTGTTAACACAATACTGAATATCAATTCATGCTCTCATCACACAGCCTATATACAAAAACCGCCCTTATACTCTTTGCCTATTTCCCCCCTTTGTCCCCCCTCCCTTAAGCATTCACCATAGCATAATAGTTAATGCTAGGCCTCTTCACAAAGCTCTTGTTGTCCGCCGCCGCCGCCTTGACGCTCTCCTCATACGCACCCGTCAGCCTCGCCGCATCGTCCTCCGTAATCTTCAGCTCCGGCACCAAGCCCGGCCTCAGAATCTCCGTCACAATCTGCGCCCACTCCCACGGCTCCGCGGTGCCGCCGGGCAGGCTGTTGAAGTACTCCCAGCCCATGACGCCGCCAATCTGGCCGTACTCGCTCACGAGCGAGACAATGGTGTTGTTGAGGCTGCTCGTCGGGATCCAGCCCGCGCCCTCGGGCGTCGTCAGCTGGCCGGCCACCACCTTGGCGGGCGCGAACCCGTTGGCCACGATGCGGTCGTAGTCGCTCGTGTCCGCCATGCTGCCGAAGCCGCTGTAGAACTGCGTGTTGTACCAGTCAATGTCGTTGCCCTGCGTCTGCTGCAGCGCCGTGTAGCTGAAGCCGGACAGGTTGCTGCTATCCTCGAGCGCCGACGCGACGGGCGCCAGCGTGATGAGGAAGTCGGGCCCGAAATCCGCCCGCAGCCGCGCAATCAGCCGGTCGATGCCCTGCTGGCTCATCGGCTGCTCGACGTCCAGGTCCATGCCCTCGAGCTGGAAGTTGACAATGGCGTCCCTCAGCTGCCCGTAGTAGTGCTCAAACGTGGCCGAGTCCGGCGAGTCGAGCGTCTGCGTGTTAAAGGACCCCGGCGCCGCGCCGCCCACCATGCCCATGACCTTGACGCCCGCCTGCTTCATCGTGATAGTCTCGTTCCACAGCGTGTAGAAGTGCGGGTCGTCCGGCGGGAAGTCGTTGAGGTGCACCACGCCGCCTTGGTTGATGTGGAACGAGCACACAATGAGGTGCGTCAGCGCGATGCCCTTCTCCGTGATGAGCGGCAGCATCGAGATGGGCCGGTTGCTGCTGTCGTGCGTCGTCTGGAAGTACACAATCAGGCGAGGCAGGTCCGTCGGCTCGGCCCGCAGCTGCAGCTCCTTGACGGGCACCGCCATCGACAGCGTCGCCAGCAGGGACGCCAAGTAGACGGACGCCTTCATCGTGAACAAAGGAGGGGGGAGGCGGAGGGGGTCGGAGGAGGGGGGGCAAGGGCAGGGAGCAAGTCAGAAAAGAAGAGACGGGGTGAAGCCTCTTACAGGACGATACATATCCCTATCTCTATAGACACATCAGTAGCGGGACAACTGACACTTTATACTTGTAAGCACCTTCCACATGATTTCTCCTCGCCCTCCTTGCATCCCCCATACCAGTTAGCTACTTGTAGTAGTAGCAGTACCTAGTATCATCACTCCCGCATAATGCGTTGCTCCCTGCTGATGCCACTCCCCCAGTCATAAAAGCCGCCGCATCTACTACCTACCTACCTACCTACCTACCTAACCCGTCCGTGCCCACCATATCCGTGATCTCACTCCCCCCTCCAGTCAAGGCAGGTATATTCCACTCCCTTCATTCTGCCCCCCCAAACATAACAGCATTCAACCATCATCCATACAATACCTGTATAAGACGTCCACCATACAAGGCACTCATTCGGCCCTATAAGCTCGCCAAGGAAACCTCCATTCCCCTCTCTCTTCTGCAAAACCCAGAACCCCAAGAATAGGAAACCCACCCAGGAGCGCCTCTTCAATCATACTACTATGTATGTAAGTATTACTCCCCCCCCCCCCCCCCCCCCCCCCTTCCCCTCCCGGGAAGAAAAAGAAATCAATAGTCCGCAAAAGAAAAGCACATGTACCGTGGCATAAACAAGATTCCCAATAAAAGAGCCTTTTTAGCCATGCTTTGTGATAAGTTAAAAAAAAATCCCAGCTTCTCCCTTGGGAATACCTCGGACGTCTCTAATCCATGCAACCTTCCCGTCTCGGCAATGCGCCAAGGAGGGGGGGGGGGGGGGGGGCAACTCGCAACCTGACCTGAAAGCCCCCAAGGAAACCAGCCTCCGTACGTTCCGTCCGCAAACGGAGAGACAGAAAAGCGAAAGAGAAATAAAGGACAAAAGAGGCAGATAGGCGGACGAAGAAGAAGAAGAAGAAGAAGAAGAAATAGACATGGAAAACAAAATAAGAAACACGCGCTTTTGCCGGGTCTCATCCGTCCGAGTAATGAGGGAGTAGATGGGCAAGGAAGAGCCGGCTGTCGTCTGATAGGACGAGGCCGGTTTATGCTTGGGCCAAGGTTGCATCTCGTGCTTGAACCTTGTGGTCCAGAGTCCAATTAGCCGTCGCCGCCAACTTTAACCTCGACAATGGCGCCCGTCCGCCGGGGCGCCATCGCCATGGCTGGCTAGTAGTTCTCGTACATAAACAGAGGCAACAGGGGGGCAACATGGCCGGCATTCTTCGCACCTGCGTTACTACTACTACTGTATTAAGGCCAAGCATCACAAAGCGACGGTTTGCTTGCCCGAGAGCGGCGTGAGACAATGATATAGATCGATCGCACTGGACGCTCGAGACCTGCCCACCAATCCCGGTCCTCGGTTGGCCGTGATCCTTGTAAGTCTTGGACTGCAAGTGTTGGAGCACCGGGGTCTGGACTCTATCCTGTCTTGGAAATACTACCTCGCTGTTTCGCTACAATATCAATGTCTCACACTAGATACAAGATGTCCCATCGGTGAAAGAAAAAGAATCAGGGAAAGACTATGCGAGGCAGACGGAAATAGACAGAGGCCGAGAGTGAGTAGAGCAAAAGTGAGAGCAGAGAGAGAGAGAGAGTACTGCCGCCCGTGCCTATAGCTCCATCGCAGCCTTCCTCAGCTTGTCCGGGATATTCAAACCATGAGGTTGCACCTCGAATTTCTCCAAGAGCTTCTCCAAGACCTCGCACGACAGCTTTACCGACTTGACCATTTCTTCATACGCTGAAGACAGAAGCGAGGGGGCTTGCACCTCCCCCCTCATGAGGGCAGACAGGAGCACGCTTTGGGCCTCGAGCTGCACCAGGGTCGTCTGATTCTGCCTCCAGATTTTGCGTAAGAGGACGACGTGGGCGAGCTGGATGCCGAATCCGCTGGGATATGTGTCACTAACCGGTAGCTCCGTTGCGGTTTCGCCGTCACTTTTCCCGGCAGCTCCTTTGCCGCTGTCTGTCTTGTTGCCACGATGCTTCGGCTTCTTGCCCTTCCGCTTCTCTTTCCTTTCTGCCTGCTCCATCTCCTTGCGCATCATAGCCCGTTCTTCGCGTTCGTGGGAGCGATGAACGGAATAGAGGACGTTAATATCAGCCAACTGCCAACAAAGATTCATGTACACCGACGCCGTTTTGTACAGCCTCCGTTGAGCCTGCTCCAGTCGAGGTGCCATTGTATAAGCAAATGTCACGTCCTGTCAAGGGCGTCGTTAACTCACCTCCAGTGCTTCAGCCGGATCCTTGATACCCCCGAGAAGAGCTTGTAATGCATAGTGGCGGGCAAGTCGTAGTTGCGATGAGACGGTCTCGGTGGGCGTGCTGCCACCCTGTCATCTCGTCAATTCCCTGTGACTCTTTGCGCACAGTTTGTTCGGAGAACTCACCTATGTGCACACTTTGCCATCGTAAACACACTCGAGACAACCCTTGGCCCCGTTGTCCTTCCCTGCAGTCACGTCAGCACAGCAAACATGACGGACAGAGGCAAACAACGGGCCGCCAGTCAGTCAGTCAGTCGCTCAGTCAGTCAGTCAGCACACATACAGATGTAGTTGAGGCAAAGTCGCGTAGGATCGCCATCTTGGATGAAAAACAAGCACCGTAGGCAGGGCGCCGCGCTGGAGACTGTCAATACCAACCAGCATCTCTGAGTGTACGCCGACGGACGACGCACTTCATTGCTAAGCGGCTCATGGAAAAGCAAGGGTCACGGAGATTCACCATGCCAGCCCATTTCACCGAAGTTGTGTCCGGAGATGCCTCTGCCGCAGTTGCCTTGTGGTGGTTACCGAGATCCAGCGTCAGGAGCTTGGGATCCTCGGAACCTGGGGCCGTGTTTGCAAGGACAAAAGCTTGGCTGTGGGCTGTGGCGAAGATTTGTAGGTTGTCAGATGGCGAGGGTTGGCTAGAGGAAGGCATGGTGGCCGGCGGAAAGGGGGACTGTAGTATTATAAATACAAATAGACGCAAACTGAAAGAGAGCGGGCGAGGGTCGAACGACGTAATGATATCTATGATGCCTTTATGAGACCAGACTTGGTTTACCAGATGGGGGAGAGAAGTTGTCAGCATGTGCTCGCTGTGATGTGCTGGGCGAGTACCTACTAACGTAGTGGCATGCAACTGCCTCTTTACACGGCCAAGTACAAGCCTTCTCCCATGCAAGAGACAAGACCCTCACTTCCTCCTGCGCGCTTAAAGCAGCTTGTATAATGCCCTTCCGCTTACCGAGGTGGCTTTGTTCTTACCATCACGCTCGGAACTCTGCGGATTCCTCATCGCATTGGCCTATATTAGGTAGATACCTAGTAGGCAACGTTCACCAAACAGGCGGGAAGAGGAGAATGTGTAAAAGTAGGTACTTGCATGATATACTGCGAACCTTCAGACTCTTCGATAACTATACCAAGAGCCTTCTAAGGTTGAGCTGCTAGGCTAGGCTTTGCAGTGTGTATTCTGCCATTGTTTTGGGTGGCCTGCTTCAAACCTTTGCTTATTCGAGACCATATTGACGAGCAAGGTCATTGCAGCCGTGGCTTCAAGGTTGTGTTATGGAATTCTGGCTTTTATCTCGGAAGAAAAGTAGGTTGTTGGTATGTGCTCGCTGTGTTGAGCTGGGCAAATGGACATAAAAGGTAGACACAGGGACCTTAGCAACTTCGAGATTAAAAACTTGCCGATAGGAAAAATGTAATGTGGAAAAATCATTTGAGAGAATATACTCCATGACTCTTCGTTACTCGGCGCCGCATATATACAGACGGGCCAGACAGGGAAATATTAAAGCAGGTTGCTGAGGCCCTTGACGGAAGGGCCATCATCATCAAGATCTAACTCGCACTCCGTTGTGCACAGTCTTCACATCTAACTAATAAACTGATGAAACTTCTCCCACAGCATGATGTATGTTGAAGTCAAAAAACCAAAGAAAGCAAGATGGACCCCATACGCCGTAATTTAACCCCATGGAAGCGCTCTGGCATTCCACGATTATCCTCTTATTCACATTAGCATCTCATAACTGTGCGCCTTTTCCTCTTCCGGTGGGTTGAGAACAGCCCTCCCAGTTGGTATCCGAACCGTCCTCATCCACTTAGACCTTGCCAAAGATGGAGGTCATCAGGACCCTGGTGATGCGGTACGGGTCGGCGTTGGAGGCAGGGCGGCGATCCTCAAAGTAGCCGCAGCCACGAGCGGCGGTCTCTCGGGGGATACGGATGGAGGTGCCACGGTTGGCAACGCCCCAGCTGAACTTGTCCATGGAGCCGGTCTCGCAGTCGCCAGTGAGGCGCTGGTCGTTGTCCTCGCCGTACTCCTCAAGGCACTCGGCGTGGTGAGGCTCGAGGGCCTTGAGGGCCTCCTCGATGTACTTCATGCCGCCCTCGGCGCGCATCTCCTTGGTGGAGAAGTTGGAGTGCAGGCCGCTGCCGTTCCAAGGGCCCTTGATGGGCTTGGGGTGCAGGGAGACCTTGGCGCCGAACTCCTCGGCGATGCGGCTGAGGAAGAAGCGAGCAATCCAGAGCTGGTCGCCCATCTCGATACCGGTGCAGGGGCCGACCTGGAACTCCCACTGGGCGGGAAGGACCTCGGCGTTGGTGCCAGAAATGTTAATGCCGGCATCTGAAAGGATATCCTGTTAGCCTCTCTTCGTTTCTACTTCAAAATAACAAGCAGCAACTTACAGAGACAGGCCTTGTAGTGGGCCTCGACAACGTCACGGAGGACGACCTTGCCGGCGCCTACACCGCAGTAGTAGGGACCCTGACTGTATCAAAGGCGTCAGTAAACGTTCAGGGGTGCAGCGGGCGAATAAAGGGAGTCACATACGGAGCAGGGAAACCACCAACGGGCCAGCCATAGGGTCTGTCGTCAGAGTCGAGGAAGGTGTACTCCTGCTCGAGACCGAACCAGGGCTCGTGCTCGGCGTGGGCCTCCATGACCTTGGCGCACTCATGGCGGAAGTTGTACTTGTTGGGGGTGCCGTCGGGGTTCCAGCACTCGGCGAGCACGATGATGTTGGGCGAGCCGCGGAAGGGGTCGTTGAAGACGGCGCAGGGGCGCAGGTAGACGTCTGAGTCGTGGCCGAGGGCCTGGTCGGTGGAGGAGCCGTCGAAGTTCCAGACGGGCAGGTCGGCGACTTCGTACTTCTTGTCCTTGAGCTCGGGGAGCGTCTACATTCGGGCATCCAACGTTAGCAGCAAGAACACAGACAAGTGCACAATGGTTCCATCATGGCGTCACCCCTTCTGCCTCCGTTCTCGCCGCCCGCGACGATCGATGCCACCAAACCCGATGCTGGCCGAGTCATACGGGGCAACGCAAGTCATGGACGACACGGAGCGGGTCTCTCTGCTCCGTGCTGGGTAACGGAGAGACCGGGGGGGGGGGGGTGTTGGGGCTATTTTGGGGAGCGGCGAGGCTGAGCTTGGCTGAGAGGGAGAGACACGAGTTTGGACTCATCCCTCGCGAAACCGCAAACAGCCAGGGCCTTGAGCAGGAAATCAGGTACCACAGGAGCATCCATCACAGCCGGACACGAGGACTCTCGCCCCGACTCTTGACTCTCCTGTCTGTGGTCTCTGAATTCCGGCTCTCAAGCCACACCAAGACACGCTTCTCTCGTGGCGTCTCGTTGGCTCCGTTGCCCCGCCACCAAAAACCGGGACAAGTCGGGGTTGCATGCGCTATGCAGGACGATGCACAATGCAGCCGACAGGGGTCGAGATAAGGAAAATGGAAGCGGTACACACCCTTGACTTTGATCGAGTGCCGCCGGTCGAGTCGATCCAGACGTACTCGGCCATGATCTTGCCCTGCTGGTCGAGCTTGAGATACTTATTCAGCTGTGGAAGGGCGCGGAGTCAGTAATTGTCGAATCTCAGATTGGGTTGTTTGTCGAGGATGGAGGGATTCGTACAAGCTCAGTTCGAGACGTTGAAACTGCTCGGTTGGCCTATTCGCGCAGCAAGTTAGTATCCAGATGGGAGATATGCGCGTGATGCCAATCTGTAGGAATGGAGGGCGGCTCACCATGATGGGCGGTTGTGTGTGTGGTGATGTGGGAAAAGAGAGGAAGAGAGGAAAACGACGCGATAGAAAAAGGTGTTGTTTGCGAATGAATGCAATTCAAACAGAGTGTTGGGATATTATGCTCAAGTAGAAGGAGAGAAGAGAGATCGAGGCGTCCAAGATGCCACGGGCGACGAGGTTTATGTATCCCCCAGCTGGAAGCAGCCGCACTTGAGATTCTCACCCGTGGGCGGCGCTATGGCAGGAGAAAGTCAGATGGGCACTGTGCAATACTGTGTAAGGATGTACCGGCTGGTATCAGGTCCTTTTTCTGGTTTGGGTCTCTTGGTTCTTGGACACTTTCGGAAGATCCCCCTCGTCAAAGTGATGGATGCAATCATACTACCTACCTCTACCAGACACCCTTACGCTGCCAACCGAACAACTTTCGATCATTATCGCAACCAGTCCTTATCTCTGACTCCTTCGTCTTTGAAGCCAGATGACACTGAATCACTGCTACTGGCGATTGAATCTTCTCGGTTCGTCTAGTACTGGATTTGCCATACCTAGGTAATAACCATCACCATCAGCCTCCTCGGCTGAAACCTGTGTACAGGCAGTACAATCAGTACAATCAGTACCTCATCGTCGAGCATCTCACAGTCTTGCTCCATTCGCCCACAAGTCGCCCCCGTATTGTCACTCATTGTGGAGTGGCCGAGTTACCTTATTGGAGTTGCTTTGCCACATGAGAGGTCCGGTCCTGTTATCTTGGTGCCACCTCTTGGTAGTGCGGCCCTGGTGGATGGGGCCGGATTATCGCGTGGTAGCGGTACGGAAACAAGGAGGCCATCCCCAGCTGCGGCATCACGATCTGCCTGTACTTGTACCTTTGATTGCATCACGGGTTGTCCCTGTGCGCAATGGCTTGCAGGTCACGACTCCTGTTTGCCGGGCAGGTTGATCCAGAAGCTCTGTAGAAGAAACCAGGCAGCACTACAGTACTTGGCTCGACCCTCTTCTTCCCCATTGAATCTTTTGTCGAGTCAGAACTGCCTCTTCTACAGATATTACACACAAACCATACTGAGATACCGACTATACCTACTATCCATCCATCTCTCACCAACCCAGCCTTGGTAGGTATTATTAGAACTGGCTCTATCAGCCCAGCCTTTCCCCCTCTCCCCCTCCCCAGACTTCCCTCGTAAGAATCCCCGAAAACTCAAACCAAAAGCAATTGTAATAAATCGCCTGTACTTTTTGCCTCCGTCATCGGTACTTGCGCGTCCCGTCAGCTCGCCCTCCCGCCTACACTGTACTGTACGTGTACGAGGAACTCCTCCCATCCCGCAAAAAATAAAAATAAAAAAGTACAAGTACCTCGAGTCCCTGATAAGGGGGCTCAGCCAGAGACCGGTGGTGGCTGCTCGACCGCTAGTCGGGACCGGCTCTGGACTCTGAGTGGCTGCAGCGCCCGAGGCTTTGCTCATTGAATCGTGTCATTAGATTCTCGATTGTCGGGGGGTGGAAATGGAGATGCATCAAAAACACCTCACAGAAGGGGGCTCGCGCTTCCAGAACGGCTGGACCAGTGAACCTGCTCCGATTACCATCCGATGACTTGCGATATGACTGTCCGGGCGGCTTCAGGTCACTATCATCCTGGCCTTGGACGATCTGGAGCTGCGGAGTTGCCTGCAGGGTCTGATCAAGTCTGCTTCTGCTTCGTTGGGTGCGCATCGTCAGTCTGACTGCAGCCGGATGCATGTGCTTCGCTGGCTGGGGGGGATGATGATTGCTTCTCTGCTGCTTTGTGTAATATACAAATGTATCTGTACCACTGCCTACCGGCAGCCTACAGCGATTACCCGTAATCTTGACGGTATGGTTACCACCTAGCCGTTACCTAGTTGGCCAGCAATATCTCACGAAAAGGGTCGAGAAGCAGCCACTCAGCCGTCACGACCTCGAGGCTGTGCGCCTCAAACCAGCTGAGCTGAGCCACTGCTCCGATTCCAGAGACGAGTGGCTAGGTACTGGACCTTACGGGTATGGTACCTAAGGTAGATAGTACTCGTACAGTGACCAAACCTTGGGAAGCGGTCACCATTACCTCAAAGGGCATCCCAGCGAGATTCATGCGAGAAAACTCGAAACGACGCGTCCAAGCGACGGCGTTTCCGCGTCTTAGCTCAGGCACTCGCGCCTCCCTTGACACCCGCATAGGTATCTGCCTAGTACGAGCAGTACTCGTAGGCACTGATACAGTATTCCGGTACCCCGTACGGACTGACGAGGTCAACTGGCTGGCAGTTGGCGGTACTATTACGGGCCACCGAGCATCTCACGGCTGTGCCTGTTTCGAGGCGGTGGCATGCGCCCAGAACAAGCTTCAGCGTCTTATTTTTGGTTTTCTTTTACGTTATGATTTAGGCGCTGGATCGAATCGGCTTATGCCGAGTGTACGATATGTCAGGGACGTGTCACCAAGCATGGCTGCCGGTACGACGGCGGGAAGCACGACAAGCAGCACTACCATCTTAACATCTGCCGGGTCCAAGGAGAAGCTTCCACCAGGGCGCAGAGGAAAAAGGGGGAAGAGGCAAGGCAAGGCTCGTCCCGGTTGTTTGTACGTACGAGATATGCGGCGCCCGTGGTCCGTTCGCCGCTTGAGGGCATCGTGTTTATCGCAGCGCATCACGAGGATGCCCGTGAGCTTTTCGGCTCCGTGCCCACAGACAGCCGTCTCTGGCCGTGTGTGCGTCCGCAAGCGGCAGTCTGACATGCGAGCACAGTGCAGAGGCCGCCTCCCAGCTTGTACTTTATCTTTTTGTCTTCTTCTGGTAATACTAGCGTTCTCCGGCTGATCCCAGACAAAGCGTCCAAGGCAAGGGAGAGAAAAGACGACGAAGGTGGTGAATCCGAGGAGACGGGCGATCCCCAGCTTGGCTTCTGTTTCGGTTCCTCGCTTTCGGCTGCAGTTTGAGCCGCTTGGGCAGCCAGAGAGAAAAAATCGACCGAGCCGCGGATGCTGTTGCAACGTTTGGACTCCCTGCTTGCGGCAGAAGGGAGATTGATTCCTCTTTGAGCATGCAACCTGTTGGGCTGCGGCTAATGCGCAGAGAGAGAGAGGCATGTCACCATCGATTGGAGACTGAAATGCCAGGGCGAAGAAACAAGCCTCTCGCGAGGGCGAGCCAGTGGTTGCACATGCAAAACAAATCCCCTTCCAACTGCCTCGCCTTCTCTCTCCCTCCCCCCTGTCCACCACTTTTACTGTGTACCTGGCCATGGCTTCACGAACGCAGCTGATCAGAACCGCTTCCATCCAGGCCAGTTCCTCCTCGATTCTCTCGCGATATCACTTCGACCAACTCCCACATCGACAAGTACAAGGGCAGACCTGCTCCGTACCGTGCCCGATCGAAGCCACAGCCACGGAGTACAAGGCCCCAAGACGTTTCTCCAGCCATGTCCCCGAAAGGCTCATGACACACTAGCCGCCACATTCCAGGGTCTTCTTATCGTCTGCTGCTCATTGGCTGCTCATCCCCCGGATTCTTCCTTAGGAGATTCCTCCATCGAAGACACCAACAGCATCTGGCGCACCCACACGCGCACACACACATACACACAAACTGAAGGAAACGCAGAAGAGAAAAAATTCAGAGCAAGGGCCTGACCCCGAGTTTCTAGCCGCTGGTGGGGGCTCTCGATAGCGATCCCTGGTGAAGATTGAATCTTGTGACGAGCAAAAAGCCTTCCCCCAGACCAAAATCACCACCCCCGAAATCGCTCAGCGGAGCGGGAGGGAGGGAGGTTCCATCTCCAGAAACGGGTCCGTCTGGAGGCTTGTCGCGCAGCAGCTGCAGACTCTTTAACGCGTGGGGAGCCAAGGGACACAGCGATTCGACTTTGCCTGAATTGCAAATTGTCCGGTTCGTCGGCTGCTCTCTGTGTCCCCTGCTATATCGCCGAGGACATGCGTTTCTGCAGGATGTAACGCATGCCTCCCACGCAGCGGCTTTTAACCCCTTCAAGCATGGGAAAAAGGAAGAAAAAAAACCATCTGATACTCCTGATGGCCCCCAAGGCTTGATATGCCTCAATCGTTGAGTGAATGCAACATGTAAAAGAATGCGCTCTACCAAGTCCCAAGGATGGTGCTTGAAGCCATCGTTACGTGACCTCGCGACACCACAGCGAGTCCGATCAAAGACGAACAAGATTATCCGTTGAAGCGACAGGCCTCCACTTGAGCGGGCTATCCCGGCAAGGCAATCTCCAAGCCAAACAACAGCCCGGAAAGTCTGTCTCTGGTTTGTCGCACGTCGGGAGAGAGAAAGCCCGTGAGGCTTCTTCAACGAGGAGCAGGACCCCTTCGATGAAGCAATCGTCTCTTGCGAATTCGGAAAATGCATCTGCCGATCCGGGGTCCTTGATGTGCTTATGGCATCATCAGTGGCCATCGATCCGATCACTTGGGAAGTTTTAGATAGTTGAAGCCGGTTTTGACACATGCAGTGGCGAACACGAACGACACGAAGTGCCGGTTCAGCCACTCAGCAAGGCCAGTCAGTAAGCCGTTGAGGCGTATAGGTAGTTCAACGTCGTACGACGAGAGAGAAGCCACTATTACTTCCAATGTCATGTTTGTTGTGAACGTCGTTTGCTTTGCGTGTTGCTTGCTTATACATAGGTAAGCCTGATTACTGATGTGGTGTTGTGTTGTAGGTTATGGAGGACAGGGGTACAGTTTCTCAAAGGTTGCGTTGTCGTCTCTATGTCATCTTCCTCTGGTTAACCTATGGTTGAGCAAGTTGTCGCAACGTCATGGCAACAGACTACGATCAGGCACTAGATATGTAATATCTCCTATCGAAACTGAAATCAAGTTTACTACCTAGTACACGCAAGAGTAAACTGAGCCCATAGATGATGAAAGATCGCTGCTACTCCAGAAAACTAATGACTAACAAACAACGACCCCCCCCCTGTGCCCCCCAAGGCAAAACGTCATACGCGTATCGTTCGTCAAGCAGGCTGGATCTCTGCTACTACATACTACCTACCTAGTAGTACTATCTGCTCCCTAGCCGTCCTCGTCAACGGGGAGTTAGCCCTACAGTCGCCGTTGAATGTATGCAATGTGTCAGCCCTTGCGAAGAGAGTTTATTCTATTTTCAGGCTCAACAATCGAGCTGGGCCAATCGATAGCTCGAGGGCAATGGCCCCCTGCTAATCGTTGCTAAACGAGGCCAGTTGCTGTTAGAGCTTACTTCCGACGACCCTCTTCTGCGATGCTTCGCTTTTGCGCTGTTAGAGATGGGCGAGGGAGTTGGCCCGGGAATGCTCGCTCTTTGCTTGCATAACTTCGTATTAGAGAACTTGGCTCATCATTATGTATGCAAGATGTAGTCTTCTTTAGGCGTCTCGATCACGTCTATAGGACGAGATATCGTGCAACTGAAATGCCTACCCTAACACATCGTGGCGTCCCTGTCAGCATCATGTCCAGGCCCTCGGTGGCCTAGCCCAAGGCTCTCTGGCTTAACATCGAATCAGCCCTTGCAATTAGTTTCTTGCTGTCCAACTCCGAAATATCGTTGCTCCGTGTCATCAGATTTACGCCCGACCGGAGCTGCTCTGCTGTCCGGGTTGACTTTACGGCTAGGATAGCCGAGACCCTGTGCCCCTGTCTCCGTAGTTTTGCTGTTGGAGGTTAGAGGATAGAGTGTTGATTTGTCGGGGGGGATGAGAGAGAGATATGTATATAAGTTTGTGGACCCTATTGTTCAGTGATAGATGGCCTGGGATTCTGGCATTTATACTCGAATAGACCAGAAATCAATTGTCTCCTGAGCCTTTGATATATCCAACCAATCCCAAACCATCATGTCTCGCCTCATCGACAGACTTCCCACCCCTGAAAAGGTCAAGGAGAAGAAAGTCATCGTCTTTAGCCGCAGCCGGTGCGTCACCTTCAGCTTGCTTGACCTCTGTTCAATGCGGCGTATTCCTAACTCCTGATCAATGCCAGTGTCGGGACATTTTCTCTCTATCAGGCACTCAACAAGCTCGGCTACTCCGCATATCACATGTACGAAGTCGTCCTCCAGGGAACCACCCACATGGCCATCTTCGAAGAGGCCATCCGCTGCAAGTACCAAGGCGCCGGGAAGCCTTACGGCAAGGCTGAGTTTGACAAGTGGCTCGCCAACTACGATGTATGTTGAAAGCCGTTTCAAAAGCCAACACGTTTGACTAACAGCGATTTTCTACTTCCCCATAGGCCGTTGTCGAGATTCCGCAGTTCTTCATCGAGGAGTTTACCGAGTTCTACCCGAATGCGAAATTTATACTCGTCGAGCGCGATGCCAATGCCTGGGAACGGTCGATGAACAATACCATTGCCGGCATGTTCAAAGCTTGCAACTCCTTCCCCATGAGCGTCACCCAATACGTTGATCCGTGGGTCAAGGCATTTGTTGGGCTTCACATTGCCTTTGAAGAAGTCATGTTTCATTACAAGGGCATCAAAGGCGGCATGGAACAGGCAAAGCGGGACGGCGTCCTCGAGTATGTTTTTGTCTTCTTGTCTTTCTCTCCCGTGTATGAAACAGAATAGCTAACGCATGATGTGTGATTTTATAGTGCCCAAAAGGTCAAACGCTTAGTCCCAAGGGACCAACTTCTTTGTTGTACCCTCGAGGGCGGATTTGGCTGGGAGCAGATATGTCCCTTCCTCGACAAGGACATCCCCAAGGACCCGTATCCCATAGGCAACGCGCCTGCGCAGTTCCAGGAGCTTGTCGACCGGGTGATTACTCCTCAAATTAAGGCTTCGATGGTAAAGGCGGCTGGGGCACTTTTGATGCCGCTGGTGGCTGTAGGGATGCTGGCGTATATGAAGCGGCGATGAGGGCTGGTGAATAGCAATTGTAAGGGTCGGGAGTTCTCTCAAGTTGGATATTTCGCGGGCTAGGAGGGTATATCTTTAGTTGATCGAAATATCTGGGATAACCTGGGGTGTACTCAGCATTAATTGGGTATAGTACAGTCTTCAGAAAGTTTTTGAACTTCGAAGAGATATACTCTCGTACTTCTCGTCGATCGAAATGGCACCGTTGACGATTATGAAATCCGTCTTCTGCTTGTCTTCGGATCGATTTCCCTGTCCGTCGGCCTTTGACACAGTGACAGTCATCTCCCAGGATACCTCAGCTCTCCCTTACTACTAGGTACTTACCTACGGTAAAGTAGTTGGCATGGAGGAAACATCTTCACGTCGGAGAAACCCTTTGCAATGCAGGCATTCTAGCATTTCTTGAGCATAATTGTTTGGCATCCTACCTCGGTATATCTGAGCTTCGATATGCGTAGTGTTTAACGAAGCCCTTGTCAGATTGTTCGTAACTCTGATCTTCTCTGTATCGCGGATGCAAATATCGTGTTGACTGCAAACATGTTTGAATAAAAGGACCTAATTCAAGTGAGGTGAACAAGTTCTGGGCAAAAAGTGAACTCGATGCGTCGGCGTGCGGTGAAGACCGCCTGGCAGAACAGACCTGTAGGGGCATTTCCTCCTGGCAGCTGCCCATATGCGCCCGTCTGCCCGAATCATCTTCCCTTCTTCCCTTCTTGCCTTATCCCACCTTTACCACCAAACAACTTCTTCTTCTCGTTCAAGTTTTCGCATCAAACCATCCTACTTGCAACGTCTCTCCGTTGTTTGCAACCCCCCTTTCATCCAACATCTTCGCATCAGCCAAAGGCTCCTCCATCCACCAGCCCCAACCATGCATCAGCAAAAGGTCAAGGCCAGCCTGAAGGCTCTCCGCACCCTCAAGGAGATTGAGCGCGAGCTCAAGCTCTTTGGCCTTACCAACCAGGGCGCTGCAGCCATCGTCCGCTTCGCCAATACCCTCAAGAGCGTCCGCAAGCTCCGGGCTTCCCACATTCTCTTGTTGACTCCTGGCCGTCGCCTCCATCCTCCTTCTCCGCTGTCTCAGCACGTCTGGAACCAGGACGAGATCGAAGATGAACTCCCTGCCTCTGACGGCCTCCTTGGCGAGGAAGAGACTGAGGATGCCTCCTCCGCTTACGACGACGAGACTTTCCACTCTGCTAAGGAGGTTGTTACTGTTCGTCTCCCGCCCGCTCATATTCCTCGCAACGCTTTTGGGGAGTCTTTTCTCCAGGCGTCGTCTCTCGTTGATTTTCTTTGGCTGGCTCCTTTAATTTCTTTGGGAAAGGAGTCGAACGCCACTGTCAACAATGCCTGCCATTGAGCATGATGAAATTGTCCTCGCTGACCGACATCGCATTCAGAGTCAGTAGTTTGATTTCTCCCACGACATCCTTCCTGATATCAAAGACCATTTCGGCCGGCGTCACCCTGCCTTTTCCCTGAAGCTAAAGCCAAGGCTGAAGCTGAAGGCGACGAAGAGTGACGACCTCTCGAACAAAAACGATAACGGAAGGGGGATAGTGATGGAACATTGTCAGACGGAGGACAACAAGGGAGAGGAATCTTGTCGTTTAACATTTTGGCGTTCGGGGCGGATCTTTCTTTACAGGTTTTAGCTACGGAGAGAAGCTTGAAAGCCCACTGGGGCGGGTTCATCTATTCATCATTCGAACATGTCTTCTAGGACCTGTAGCTCTGACAACACATGGCTGACTATTTCGTCCACCTCTTTTTTTTCCACTCTACAATCACTTGAATGCGTAGGTAGTTGTATAAAACAGCTATGTTAGGCCCATCACAGTCACTTCCTGCTGGTGACTCTTGGTTGAAAACTCTTCGAGACCGATTTCTAAGAGGCTCCTTGATACAGAGGTCACGGATGTGGGCGTGTTCTGGGCATTCCCCCAGCACCCTGCGCGAGCTTGGCTCTGTGGTAGAGGTGTAAGTACTCTAGCTCGTCCGTCTCTTGGGAAAGATTTCCTTCAATCCTTCAAGGCTCTTCGTGTTCTCCTGAGTCTCGGCCGCGGGTGTCTCGATCACCCTGTGTTTTTGGAGCTATCGTGATTGTAGGCAGTCTGGTTGTTTTGGCTTCTCCAGATAGTTTCGAGATTTCAGCAAGAGGGTCAAGTAACATGCCTCTTGAGTTGTGAATGGAGCCTGGAATTGCAGCCTCTCTTCTCGTGGTACGCGTTTGGGATGACTGGCTTGGTCAAGCGGTGCTAAGGACATTGCTTGGTGCAGAGCCATTGGGCCTGATCTCTCGATATCGAGGCTATACCGTCACTGTTGCACTGTCAAAAGGATCACTATCGTTTGGGCAAATTGTGTCGTGTCTTCGCATTCATCTTTTCGACATCGCAATGGTCTTGGAAGAAGCTCTTTTGGGCACTGCGAGATGTGCCACGTGAAGCATTTCGAGCCGACACCCGCATCAAAGGAGAACTGAAGAAAGACAGCCAAGACATTAGTGACTGTATTTCCAATGGGTAGCATGTGACATTCTGCCAGCTTTGAAGGTGATGCTCTCAAGGGGGAAGCTCTGTTTGGGCGTGAAGTTTGAGCGCACCTGTTTAGTGAGAGAAACAAACACCAAGTTTCAGTTCCACCCTACGGGAATTGAACTCTTTGACCCGGACTTGATCGAACAAAAACAATTCTGAAGAAATGAACGAATATGGCGTTACTCTTCAGAAATGTGCAGCAACGTTCCTCGTCAATGTGTTCAAGAATCGCAACATCGCAGGATGGCTGACGCGCCGAGTTCGTCCGAACGGTATTCCAAAGCCCATGGACACCTCAACCCAGTTGCAACGAATTATCAATCAGGCATCATCGCAATAGCCCGCATATACCTACTTTTCACTCGCAAAAGCGCAAAAAGTTGCGGCCCATTCGCATCTGAAATGGGCGGGCATGGCGCAGAATAAGCTTGACACATAGAATTTGGAATCAAGGGCGCATCGTGCTGCAGATCCCCTCAAGGCTGAGAGTACATAGCTTTGAACAGCACAAGGGAGCTCTCCGTCAAATTGGGTAGCAGAGCTGTCTTCCCTCTATTGAGTGCTGACGGGATGACCAAATGCTCTGGAGCTGTCTTTCTTGTTCGAGTCGATTGTCCGGGACCTTGCGTGCTAGACGCAGGGGCAGCCATGGTGTTGGTCAGAAAATAGAAACATATGAGGATATTGCACCATTGCTTTGTGACGAAAACTTGAAGCTCTGCATCAGCGAAATATGCTCGACTCGCCCAAAGAGGCAATTTATCCAGGGAAACCTATTAGATTGTCTATGAGGGGAGTGTTTGTGGGAACTGGATGTGGAATAATGTCTGGTCTGTGGGAGTTGACGATGATACATGCCCAGCCAGCTATAGCCTCAGCCGCTCAGCCTCACTCTTCAGACCCCAGAACTCTCAACTCCACAGTAATCAGCTTTGACATCCTTGGGAGACTCGGGAGCCAACATGTAGGGAAGTAATTGGGATCAGAGTTGCCTGTCTCTGAGAAGTTCAGTATATATAACGATGGCAACAGCTCTTCCTTTCCCTCCCTCATCACCACATCTCCACATCTTCCAAAAGCACCCCCCCTTCAGCTACCACAACCTTTGACTCAAACTACACACTTCTTCATTCTGATACATAACCAGTAGTACCATCAAGACCATGAAGTTCTCGACACTCTCCTCCATCGGCCTCACCAGCCTCACCGCTGTCCTCGCCGCCCCCAGCGCCAGCTACGGCCGAGCGCCCTCCAAGGGCGCCGTCTTCGCCCTCACCAACGCCGTCGACAACGCCGTCATCGCCTTCTCCCGCAATGAAGACGGCTCCCTCATCAAGACGGGCACATTCTCCACCGGCGGTCACGGCCAGGGCGTCGACTTCGACACGCAGGGCGGCCTCCAGCTCAGCGCCGACCACCGCTTCCTCTACGCCGTCAACCCGGCCGACGACCACGTCACCGTCTTTGAGGTGGCCAGCGGCGGCTCCAGCCTCAAGAAGATCCAGTCCGTCTACGCCGGCGACCAGCCGCTCTCCATCTCCCTCAGCAGCACCGGCTTCGCCTACGTGCTCGACGGCTCCGTTGCCTCGACGGGCATCTTTGGCTTCAAGGTCAACCGCCAGACGGGCCTGCTCTCGCCCCTGACAAACTCCACCATCGCCACCAGCAGCCCCATTGGCGTCCCCGGCACCGTCACCTTTGCCCCTGACGGCCACTCGCTCATCGTCACCAACAAGGTCAGCAGCACCATTGACGTCTTCTCCGTGGCGTCCAACGGCCACGCCAGCCTCGGGCCCTTGACATCTGTCGCCTCCAGCGGTCTCCGTCCCTTTGGTGCAATCTACGGCAGGTCCAACACTCTCTACGTCGTCGAGTCCGGCCTCCCTGCTCTGGGCAACGCCGCTCTGTCGACGTACCATCTCAACGGCGGCCAGTCGCCCGTGCTCGAGCCCCTGACCAAGTCGGCCAAGAACCAGCAGACGGACGGATGCTGGGTCGTGGTGACTCCCGACGAAAAGTTTGCCTACACTGCCAGCTTCATCACGGCCGCCATCTCCAGCTACTCCGTCGCCAAGAACGGAACCGCCACCCTGATCAAGGGCGTCGAGGCGTTCACTGGCGAGGGAAGCGAGCCCGTTGATCTTGCTCTGAGCAGCGACGGTGCTTACCTGTACAACCTGCTCCGTGGTAGCGGCGCCATTGCTGCTTGGAAAATACAGGCTGATGGATCTCTCAAGTCGATTGGTAACTCTTTCGGCAAGGGACAGGGCATTCCTGTTGCGGATGGTGCTTCGGGCCTGGCCGCGTATTAAGGGAACTTGCATATCAGTGGAGTAGACTTGGACCGCTCAATACAGAGGAAATAGAAGGCGTGATGATGGTCGGCACAAAGATTGTATTTCTTTTGTCTTCAATGAAGTTAGTTGATCTAATAGCATACACTTACTGCCTTAATGTATCTTGTCTATTCATACCCTCAGAGATCAGCCAGCAAGAACTCTGAAACCAATAACAGACGGTTTTTCGAACGGCGTTATCCAACTCGTCCCCATGAAGCTATGTTATGCTCACTCCCTCAGGCCTCATTTGTCTTGAGGCCAATCTCTTCATGAAGCTCAATCTCTATTTGCTGAACGTCCAGAATCTTCTTGCCAGTGCGGACATCTTCAACATCGGGCACCGACGAATGCTTCTCGCCCTCGAATATAGCGTCAATCTCTTCCAACGTCTTGCCCTTTGTCTCTACCCAAAAGACGGCCTGAACAAACTTTAGTACGACGACGGAATACCAGGATAATTCAATGTGAGGAGTCACCTACAATGAGCACAAGAGTAACAATGTCCCATGACCCGTTGACGATGTATGTCTTCCACCCAATGTTGTTCAGTGCAATGGGCATGACGAATGTGAGCAGGAGCCTAGAGCATAAGGTCAGCGAGAAGTCTATTTACTCGGTTCAATCATACTCACGCCAATCCATTCAAACTGAATCCCGAAAGCGCCAATCCGTTGGCTCGGATAGGGTAGTTCATCACTTCTGGCGGGTAAAGATAGAGCAAAGGCGTCCAAGCAATGGAGTAGATCCCCTGGAAGATGAACATGACAGCGACGTCACCGTAGATCAAGCTCTGGGAGGCGCCATCCGGATCGTCCGCGTACATTTTGGACAAGCCGCCGATGATGAAGAGGCATACAATGAGGAGACTCTGAGAGAGCAGGGCAGTGGGCTTGCGGCCCCATATCGCGGCCAGATGAGTCCCTGCAAATGCACATAATAGGCACCAGACATTGAGGACAACATTCTGTAGAGACATGATTAGTCTCTGGATCTAACTGAGGCAGTGGGGATGAACTTACGGCCTTGAGCTGGTCGTTGGTGTCTGTGATGCCTGCCGTGTCCAGCTCGCTTCCCAGGTAATACGACGCAATGACATTCCCAGCAATGCACGAAAACGGCCCGACAGACGCTCCAATCAGTGTCCTTTTGCGCGCGGTGGGAGTCTTGATGATTTCCAGAGGACTCATAGTCATGTCGTGCTTCTTCTCCCATTCCAGAGTATCGACAATCTCCTTGTATACGGCCACCACCACGGGGTCCGCAATGTCGCCATTCGAGTTTGTCTGAGCGACTGAGAGGCGAGCATCCTCGTAGCGCTCTCTGCTGACGAGCCATCGCGGGGACTCGGGAATGAAGGGGAGCACCAGGATGCACGCAAGAGAAAAGATTCCCTGAAGCAGCGACGGAAGACGCCAGGCCCATGTGGACTGCCACTGACCGGTTCCCAGAGTGACGCCTGCTGCTATCAGCGAGCCTACGTAGTAAAAGTTGTTTAGAATCTAGGCACAGTCAGTCGAGTCAACGTTATTCGGCCCCCATCTTTCACTGATATTGCAGAGAAAAGAGACGCACTCCAACGCCCCAGGCACGATACCTGCTCGCAAACGTCTCGCTCAGATAGACGGCGCCCGCAACAGACGAAATCGCACTTCCCCATCCAAGGACAACCCTCGCGACGACAAACATGGCAACGTTCTGCGCCGCCGTCTGCAAAACAATGCCCAGCAGCGTCACGACCGAGCCCCAGAAGATGGCAGGCCGACGACCCAGCCGATCCGTCATGACGCCCGCCCAGATCGGGCCAAAGAAGCCGCCGATGAAGACGGACGCCGTGTTGAGGCCGGTGGTGGCGTTGTTGAGCTTGAAGTAGTCCGTGTACGAGGGCAGGATGTTGAGGCCGTTGAGCATGGAGCCGTCGTAGCCTCCGGTGGCGGACTGGACCATGGAGCAGACGAGGAGGAGGACGGAGACGGTGGTGGTTGACTCGGGGACCCAGGCGGGTATCCAGGTCCCTGTCGGGGTTCTGCGCAGCATTTTGAGTTGGTCTGGCGGTATCGATGATTCAAGAATAATCAAACTGGGGCAGAGAAAGATTGCCGGATGATGCTGAAGCCCTGAATCGATTCTTAGGTAGTATCTCCTCCCCTCTCCTCTATCGTACCTCCTCTCTTATACGCATCATCCGTCCCCTCCCCCAGACAACCACGGGCCGTCGGCAGATGCATGTTTCACACGCATATCTCTGGGCCTCCAAAACTGGGAATTGTGCTTAATCAGGATGCAACATCAAGTTACTGACACTCCAGGTTGCCTGAGACAAACAACAGGAGTATGAACTGATAGCTCCCCAGCAAAAGTTCACCAAACAGGTTTGCCGGGTATCGGCACACCACTAGATGCGGCATTCTCAAGGCCGATCTCAAGATACCTATCAATAAAGCCATCTGACCAATCCTCATCGCACATTGGCCATTTCCTCTTGGCCAGCCCAGCGCCGTCGGGTAAAAGTGGCGGAAGTTGCATCTGTTTTCTTTTGCGGATTGCCTCTTCCTGCTATTACTTTTCTGGACCCTTGAGCTTCACCTCCTCCTCCTCCTCACTTTTGGCTCTGATTACCCCGCGTTGTTCCCCCATCGATCACCAGATGAAATAGCCAGTCTAGCTTCACTTGACTTGAAGCGTACTTGCGCGGGTAAACGGCTGTTGAGGACGGACGGACACGCACCGATTTGACCAAACGATGATAACAAGATAAAACAAGGACGTCTCAAAGAGTCTATCTACTTACTGTACACACAAGTCATCATTGCCAGCCCGAATAAATCAGGAGCAGGGCTACAAAGAAAGACTAGCAGCAAGTGGCCGTCAGCACTTATCCCAGGATCATGTCAAAGCGACCCGTTATCGCCGTTGCTGGCCTCGCCTGCGAGACATCGACCTTTTCGCCCGCCGTCACCCTTGCGCCAGCTTTCCACCCCAAGCGAGGCGACGAGATTGTCGAGCGATACGAGTTCCTGCACGCCAACCAGCCGCTGGGACAAGAGGCAGAATGGAAGGGCGCCCTCATCGGACACGCGCTTCCTGGTGGGATCGTCACTCGCGAGGCCTTTGAGACGCTCTCGCAGGAGATTGTGGACAGATTGCAGGATATCGTGGCCAAGGACGCGGTCGACGGCCTGTGGTTCGACATCCATGGCGCCATGTGCGTGCAGGAGCTGGACGATGTCGAGGCCGAGCTGCTGAGGCGAGTCCGCGCCGTCATCGGGCCCGATGTCATTGTATCGGCGTCGATGGACCTGCACGGCAACGTCTCGCGAGAGCTGGCGCACCAGTGCGACCTCATCACCTGCTACCGCATGGCGCCGCACGAGGACGCAATGGACACCAAGGAGCGGGCGTGCCGTAACCTGGTCAACATCCTCAAGGGCAGGGAGCCGGGCAAGCGGCCCCTAAAGGCTTGGATCCCCGTTCCTATTCTGCTACCCGGAGAGCAGACCTCGACGCGGATAGAGCCGGCCAAGCACATCTACGCTGCTGTGCCCGAGGTCGAAGCGGAGGAGGGCGTCCTGGATGCGGCCATCTGGGTGGGATATGCCTGGGCTGATGAGCCGCGGAATCGAGCCGCCGTTGTGGTCACCGGATGGAACGAGAAGGCGGTTTCTCAGGGAGCAGAGAAGCTGGCAAAGCTGTTCTGGGATGCGCGGGCTGACTTTAGGTTTGTTGCGCCGACTGGGAGCTTTAACGAGTGTCTTGATGCCGCTGTCAAGTCGTCTCCCGCCGAGCGTCCATACTTCATCTCAGATTCAGGAGACAATCCCACTGCAGGAGGTGCGGGTGACGTGACTTGGGGCCTCACCAGATTGTTGGAGCGGCCCGAGTTCAAGGCACCAGATCTTGGATTCACGGTCATCTATGCAAGCGTTCCAGGACCCAGAGCCATTGACACGGCTGTCGCCGCAGGGGTTGGCGCAACTGTCACTGTGACTGCCGGAGCCGACGTCGATGACATCCACGCGCCTCCTCTGACAATGACTGGTCGCGTCCACTCGATCAAGCACGGCGATCGCGATGCCGTAACCGAAGTCGTCTTGCAGGTCGGCTCCGTGTACGCCATCTTGACCAAACTCCGGAAACCGTATCACAAGGAAAAGGACTTTACCGACTTGAATCTTGCTCCAAGGGCGGCGGACATCGTCATTGTGAAGATTGGGTACCTTGAGCCGGAGCTGTACGATATGGCCAAGGGCTGGATGCTTGGATTGACGCCCGGGGGGGTTGATCAGGATTTGAAGAGATTGGGTCATCATCGGATACGAAGACCCATGTGGCCGTTTGATGAGGACTTTGAGAAGATGCCCGAGTTGAAGACTGTGTGGATCAACAAGTCGAATGAGCCACTGACAGGCCCTGATATATGAGACTGGAAGGAATATATGGAGGAAAGGACAAGACAAAGGCTCAAGGCTTCTGGGGCGTTCATGGTACTACACGCAGACTATTACAATAGCTGCCAAAGTCACGGGAGGCCTGCATACTCTCAAATAAAAGGATTTCTCTCGTAGTGTCAATTCACCAGCCAGCAATCACAACAGAACAAGCAGACTATGCGTCCAAGTCCGTGCCGGAAATGACATCCTTCCAATCCTCTAGCAGCTCAATCGTCTTTCTGCACTTGCCCTTGATAACCTCATACGCATCTTGCCCAAGCGCCATCCTCACAGGGACCTTTTTCCCCTTGGCAACACCCTCCTGGCGCACGAGATCGACTACAACAGCGACTCCTTTCTTCGGGTCACCGGCCTGCGCGTGGTTCTTTTCCGCGAGGAGCCGATTGAAGGCCTTTGACGCTTCGGCGTAGTCTGGGATGCTGGACTCTGTGGTCTTGAGGTTCCCCTGGGAGAGGAGGTCGGTCCTGAAGAAGCCGGGCTCGATGATGAGAGTGCGGAGACCGAGGGGTCTGACTTCGCGGTTAAGGCTCTCAGCCATGCCTGTTCGGTGAGTGTCAGTGGTAACTGGTGGATGAAGCCTTGCAGAGGGTTATTCTGTTGCGAGGAATTTCACCTTCAAGAGCAAATTTGGTGCCTGCGTAGCCTGCGTTGAACTCCATTCCGCTCCAGCCCGATATGGAGCTGATGAAGACGTTGGTGCCTGTCTTTCTGGCTCTCATGTGCGGGAGCGCGGCCTTTGTGACTTTCAGGGGTCCAAAGACGTTTGTCTCAAAGGCATCCCGGAAGTCTTCGTACCTGTAATACATGTCAGTGTTTGTTTGTTGCATTGTGCAAGACGTGTGGATCAAGTCTTACGAAAGGTCTTCCCAAGCACCTCCCAAGACATATGCAGCGTTGTTGATGAGAACATCAAGTTGGCCATAGATTGCAATGGCATTGTTGATGGTCTCGTTGATGCGCTCCTGGTCCCAGGTGACATCCAGTTGAAGCACTGCCGCGCCGGCCTTTTTCAGATCTTCGAGGGTTTCAGGTCGACGAGCCGTGGCTATGACTTTGTCGCCGCTCTTGAGGATTTCATGGACGAATTCTCTTCCAAAGCCGGAGGAGCAGCCGGTTACGAGCCAAACGAGGGGTGCCATTCTATGTATGGTGCGGTAATGAGAGTAAAAGCGCCGTTTGTGTATGTTTGAAGCGAAGTTATTCTGGGTGTATCAAGACTTGATGTTCAATGCTCCTCTTGAAGTGCTTAAATACACGATGGACAATAGATTTGTATCAACAGGTGAAGCTATATCCACCCGCCTATTTGGAGCGGACTGGGGCGGAGCTGCGTTGAGTACATGGAGCGGATGGTCCGCTCGTCCTCTCTGGGTTTCTTTCTGAAGGCGCAACGCCGAATACTTTTCGGTAATTCGGATATAAATGCCTTGCAATCTCATTTTCTGTCGGTGATAGTTGAGATAGGCAAGACAAATATGATGCAGAGCATCGTGTGATGCTGTTCGATGATCCATGAGCTTGTCGGACAAAGGCTGTTTGGCGACGATATCCTTGTGTGATGTTGCATGATGCCATCACTTCTTGCAATAGTTTGTCTCTTAGTCGTCCCTTGGATAATCTTGACTGCTTCATGTTTTATTTTTGTCTAGAATACAAGAATGCTTTCGCCGACCTCAGTGTGGACGGCATATTTGGCACTTCTTGGGTCTGACAGACTTACATCTACGAGACTTTGAGAACGAGCAGGACTTTCGGGAGATAATACTTAAAGGCTGTGTCGATTCAGCAAATTGGCTGACTCTCTCGTTGTTGCTCACATAGAATCTTCTGTGTCCATGAAACGAGACGAAGCTACTTAATTGGCACTTGGCCTGGCCTTGGTTGCTGCCCAGAAGAAGAATGGGGGGAGGACTGCCCGTATCCAAAGTCTCGAAGCTCAAGACAAATTGATCAGCTCCAGAATCACCGGTTAGTCTGAAGATCTAGCAATCAAGCATAGTGATTGCCATGAGTTCCACTTTCGCCATCAAGGATCCAGTCTCATCCTCCCAAGATCCGTGAGGGATTCGCCTCCAAGACAAATATACTCAACGACTATTGATTGCAATTGTATATTAGGGATGGAATATCCCAAATAACTTTGAGAACAGACTTTCGGTTCAGTGATCAGGTTTCATCGACAGGTTACATGTTCTACGATTATTCATGACCCCATGGATTCGCAACATCTATCGGATTTTTCGGATTTTTCGCGATTAAGACAAGAGTCTGAGAAGCATGTGGTCTCTACAAAGACCAACATGCATTACAGAAAAGGGCAACACCTCCATAGACACACATCATTGTCCATATTTTCAACATAGTATGTATTTCCAATAATTACATGTTCGTTTGCGGTTGATGATGTATTGTTCGAAGCAGATTCATATCGAGAAGAGTTGCTTAGTTGTTGGTCGTCTACTTTAGGAAATGGCGGAATTACGCCCGACTCTGTAATGCCGGCGATGAGCATTTACTAATGGATCTCCTCCATCTTCTTTCTCTCAATGTCCAAAAGAAGATCGTAATCTGACTGACGTCGTCGAGACTTGACGAGGCATAAGGGTAAGGCTGTGAGATGCCGGCAGAGGAGGACATCTGTGATGACTAAGCGGCATTCCTAAGCAGCTGACGTCCGTCAGCGCAACTCGGCCAAACATCAACTTCAAGCTGCAGAAGTGAGAGATGCGGTTCACAAAAACATAGCGACAACCCTCGACAAGGCATCTCGATCCAAGGAACAGAGCACTCCTACTATTATACTCAACTTCTCAATCATCTTCAGCCTACTGCGATGCCTCCCAAAGTGTTTGCCTCTCAAGCTTGTCGAGCCTGTCGGTACATGCCCCTTCTCGCCCATCACGGCCTCCTACCTACCTTATCCAGCTGCCTAAGCATCAGACACTGACACATTCCATTACCACATAACAGGCGTCTGAAGAGAAAATGTACCCGAGAGGTTCCTGCATGCGCCTTGGTAAGACCGTTGATTCCTCTACATCCTGACATGCCAAAGTCATCAGCGGCTTCCCTGGACTCCCGTCCCCTTCCTAACCGCTGGGCAGTGCTACCGTCTGGGCAAGACATGCGAGTATGCTGAAACCGCAGCCTCGGAGTCGACAATCTCCTCCAGGCTGAGCCACATCGAGCAGCTCCTCCAGGTCGAGGGTGTCTCTCCGTCCAGGGCCTTCACAGGCATCAGTGCTGCTGCCTTTTTTCCCAGGCCAGCAGAGGCCTTTCCGCTGCCCTTCTTCTTGGATTCAGAGTACTTGACTTCTCAGTCAGTCAATGCTCTGTCGTGGAGTCGGCACCCATACATTCATCAGATTGTGGCCGAACACCTTGACGATGACCGAGTGACTCTCTGTGAACACTATCTCTCCACAGTGCACAAGTGGCTGCCCATGATCAGCCGCAAGCGCCTTTTCAACGAAGTCAACAGTGACGCAACCGAGGTCGATGGCTGCCTTGCCATCTTTCTACTGAGCATGAAGGCACTCAGCGCCAAGGATGGAGAGTGTGCCAAGAGCTCGTCATGGTACCTGCTGGCGAGGACGCTCTGCTCAGAAGCAGAATCGGCGGGCTTTGTGTCTCTGAGGCTGGTTCAGGCTCTTGTTCTGTTGTCGGTCTACGAAATGTCACATGCCATCTATCCCTGCGCATACTCTACTCTTGGTCGCGCATCAAGGCTCGGTGTTTTGTTAGGGCTCCATGACAGAAAGAACAATCAGCTGTTCAAGCCCGCAGAGACATGGACGATGCGGGAAGAGCAGCGCCGAACATGGTGGGCAATTTTTCTGCTTGACAGGTATGAAGCTCATCTCGCGCTTTTCTCCACGGTAAGGACGCAGCTAAGGCATATCTCAGGCTCATGAACATTGAAACAAACCTGCCAAGTACCGTCCCCGAACCGGTCAAGGACGAGCTTTTGCCAATCAACGACGAGGACTGGGACGAAGGCAAGATTGTTCCCAGCGAGCCTCTCTTCACCACGTCCTTTAGCAGTCTGACAGCCGTCGGCTCCTTTGCAAAGATGTGTCAGGCCGCCCATATGCTGAGCAAGGTCTTGTCGCACAGGGCCAGCAAAAGGTCCACGCAGGACGTCGGAAGTCTCCTCCCCGAAGCGCTGGCACTTCACTCAGCCCTCTCAGCGTTGCATCTCTCCATCAAGGAATACATCTCTGGAACAACATCTAGCAGCTCGTCCATCTCAGGCATCATCTCTCTTTCTCTCTGCTGTTCGGCTCAGCTTGTGCTCTACAACATGTACGGCTGCAATGAGCCGCTCGCTTTGGTAGAGCAGAGTCGGATCGCCATGGAGACGGAGATGCAGAGCGTCAGTCTGCAAGGAATCAAGTCCATCTCGTGCAACGTCATGCCGGCCATTGCGCGCGCCAACATTGAGTGCCCTCTCATGGCGCAGTGTCTGTACCATGTGGCCACGGAATGCGCGTGGTTCGTGCGCGAGGACCACGAGCCGCAGATGTACAGCGCTCTGGAGGATGTGGTGCGAGAGCTGAGGTCCACGGGAGCAAATTGGAATCTTGCGACGCAATATCTCTCGTTGCTACAGCAGGGTGGAGTGCTGGATTTGGTCAATGTCGACACGGATGCTTCGACGACGGTAACTTCTTCATCCGGATAAGGTGCAAGATGGGGTCCCTCAGGCTATGTAGTTGCTACCTGGTAAGTTGTCTCTTTTCGTGTTGAAAATGAAGATGTATAAAGCGAGGAAGTTCTAAAGTTCTAATTATCTAGAATCCATAGGTTACTGACTACCTGACACTAACAAGTCTCATACATCAGTCGACTTTGCCACATCGGCCATCTTTGCGAATCCCTTCTGAAACTCGCTCAGTCTCTGCTCAAACAGCCCATAGGAGTCTGACCCGAGTTGAACTCTCAGGGCCTTCGCCCTATCATGCTCCGCCCATATACTCTCAAACAAGCCCTGGCCCTCTACGGCATCAAGTAGTCTATCGCCAAACTTGACTGGATCACCATTGACCATGGTCAAGTCTTTCGAGGCCGCATTGACGAGATCCACCCAGGGTTGGATCACAGGCTTGTAGTCCTCGGAGATGCCACCATCCGCAAGAGAGTTGTTGCCAGCGAAAGGGGTTCTGAAGCCACCAGGCTCAATAATCATGGTCCTGATGCCGAACGGCTCGAGAAGAGTAGCATACGACTCCGTCAGAGACTCAGTCGTCGCCTTTGCAGCGCTGTAGAGCATGTGCTCCGGCTTCGGCACGAACCCCCAAATGGACGAGATGCTGATCAGAGTACCCGTCCGATTGCGCCTCAACGTCGGCAGCAAGGCCTTCCACACGCGAACGAAGCCATACAGATTGGTCTGCAGGTACTCCTGGATCTGGCCCTCGCTCATGTCCTCCACCGCTCCAAGCAGAGTGTTGCCAGCATTGTTCACGACAACCCAGTGGGCCGAGTCTTTGTCCTTGCCGAGCTTCTGCTCCTCTTTGGCGACGAGCTGCTGGATGGTTTGCTCAGCATTGGGCTGGGCAACGTCCAGCTGGAGCCATACGCCGCCGAGTTGGGCAAACTCTGGGTGTTTGGAGGAGGCCTTTTCGATGTTGCGGCCGGTGCCGATGACGCGGTGGCCGGCGCGGAGGGCGCTGAGGGCCATGGTGAGGCCCAGGCCTGAAGAGGCGCCGGTAATGAACCATATCTTTTTGGACACTCCGGTGGAAGCCATGGTGTTTCTTGAGATGATTCGATTGCGAGGTTCAAACTTGTGGCAGAAGATGGGGCTTGTTGGTGAAAGCGTCGAGGACATGAGGTGTCGTCGAGCCTCTTATACAAAGCAATTCAGCACCGGTTTCGATACCTTTCCTGATCCGAATCGACACAAATGATCGCATTTCGGTTCTTTGCTTCCTCCGCTCAGTAATCAGGCACCACCAGAGAAGATTCCTTCGTGGCTCCTAACCAGCCTCTCTGTCCGCTCGATGTCCGCTTCAGCTGTCCACTTTACGCCACATCCCCAGGCACCATGATCCTTATCAGATCTCTCGAACAAGATTAGATCGAAGCTCAACGGAGCTTCAGCTACCGACGCAGCGCGGCCCCTTGCCGTTCCCGCATGCAGGCGGACCCGGGGCGGACACAGAGCGGACACCGTCGGGAGATTCCGCCACTTGGCATGGAAGATGCAGGCAGTGCGGGCTGGGTCTCCAGTACTGGCTTGCCCCCTATCAGGGACGAATGGACGCGAGGGCGTGTTTCGATGGGGAAGACGGAAATACACTTCAATTGATACGATCATTATTAATGTGATTATTCTGTTGGCTGCTCGTTTGTGTCTTGACACTATTTTGTTAATTTCGTTGACAGTTCCATTTTGATCAGATGCATCTTTACAGATCTCAGAACTACTCGACAAACCGTATATAAGAAAGGCAACAACTCCAAGTCTCAACAACTCCAAACTCATCAACATCCTCTCTCAACTCACCTTCATCCCCAAGAAGAGCAATGTCCCCCACCAAAATCATCGCCGTCCTCGGCGCAACAGGCAACCAAGGCGGCTCCGTCGCCGACGTCTTCCTCTCCAGCCCCGGCTGGTCCGTCCGCGCCCTCACCCGCAACACCACCAGCGCCAAAGCCCAAGCCCTCGCCTCCCGCGGCGCCGAGCTCGTCCGCGCAGACATGGACGACCCGGCCACCCTGTCTGAGGCCTTTGCAGGCGTCCACGCCATCTTCGCCGTGAGCGACTTCTGGGGCCTGTACGGCGACCCGGCGAACAAGGACCGGCCCGCGCCCGGGCAGCCGCTCAACGTCTGGGCCGCGGAGCACGAGGTGCGGCAGCTGAAGAACGTGATTGATGCGGCGGCCGAGGTTGACTCGCTGGAGAGGTTTGTGTTTTCCGGCTTGTCGAATGCGACGAAGTGGTCTCGGGGGAAGTACACGCACGTGTACCACTTTGATTCCAAGGCGAGGGCGGAGGAGTACATCAGGGAGACGTATCCGGCGTTGTGGGCCAGGACGAGCGTCTTTCAGGCGGGTTTGTTTCTGAGCAACTTTGTTGGCAATCCGATTATGCGGCCCGTCAAGGTATATATATATATATATAGATATATATGACCACCTGCACCCAGTCTTTCGCAGTGAACGTGTTTGCTAATCAGGACTGACAGAACAAGGATGGCGTTGCGCAGTTTATCGGCAACATCGACGTCGACGTCAAGCTCCCGTTCATCGCCGCCGAAGAAGACTCGGGCCACTTTGTGAAAGCTCTGGTGCAGGAGCCGGCGGGCAAGAACGTCATCGGATACAGGGAGTGGCTCACCCATCGCGAGCTCGCGGCCATCTTCAGCCAGGCGACGGGCATTCCGGCCGAGGCTGTTCAGTTGCCCGAGGGCCAGTCCAAGGTTGCGTCGCCGCCGGAGCTCAAGCTGGAGCTGGATGACAACTTTGCGTACTGGAACGAGTTTGGGTACGAGGCGAGGGATGATCCTACGGTGATTCACCCGCGAGATGTGAGTGTTTGCGTGTTTCAAGATTTGTGAATATGTTTGGTGATTGCTGACGTTTGGAATGGTTGATAGTTGGCGACTCTTGGAAAGCTTGATACTGTGTACAATTACTTTAAGAAGTTTGACTGGGCCAAGATCTTGGACGAGGCATAGATGGATAGCGGTTGTCGATTCTGAATGAATGTCTTTGTTATTTCAAGAGACTCAGTTTTACCTACTGTGATGGGATCGGAATAGGTGGCAGTTGATATCGTCGTGATGCCGTCCAAATAAGTGTCCTCAGCTTACACGTTCCAGAACAATGACGCCCCTCCCACCAGACCACCTCCCTCGACTCCAATGCCATTCCATAACGATTGAATGCCTTTTTCATACAGTACTGAACGCACAGTCCCATCAAAAACTATTCCACCTAGCAGTCAAGACTAGTAGGTAGTTCCCATCTCCACCCCCCTTAGATGGACAAGCAAAAAATGACACCTGAGGGATTCGAACCCTCGCCTATTTCTAGACCGCGAAGAGGGATGCGCTCACAGTGTGAGCTATTCCTGAACAC